ATTAAAAATGTACTTACTTAATTTTTAAAATGATAATGATTATTAAGTATGTATTGTTTTATTAGACTTAGGGCCGGTTTACAAAACATTTAATTATAATTTAATTCTAATTCACGATTAATTTTGTTAGTTAACGTAATTTAAAACAGTTTAATTCGAATTTTGAAATTTAATATTGAATTAAATTGTTCGCTTTCTGTAAACCGGCCCTGAAGGAAATTGACTTCACCTTGCGATTAGATTAAGACAAAATAAATTACTTGAATTAGCAATAATTAATATCAATTGAATTCGAGTAATTACAATCCACAGTCTTTAAATTCGCCTCGTATCAAAAATATATTTTTTCATATCCTGTTCCTCTTCTTGCGTATCTTCTGGTGTGTAAATAACTCTCTGTGTGTTGTACTCATCAGTGACAACAATAACCGGAAGAAAAAGCACGATCGACTCTTTCTTCCGTTTCTTCTTCTTAATCACGACCTTATTCTGTTCATGAAAAATGATCACAACATCCGAGTCAGGTTTCGAGTTTTTGCAACCCATCACTGGAAAGCACCCATCACATTTTTTTCTTGTGATTTTTAGCACTTACCACTCACCACATGTTGAATTTGTAGCGCAAAGGTTATGTCATTGTCGACTTTGCACTTGAACTTTTGATGAAAGTTATCGAAAATTGACTCTTTCTGTTTACTATCACTGAGTTTGGACGAGTTTTAAAATTAGCTTTGGGTGAATTACGACAACTGAACCGCCTACACAGCTTTGTTGAGCTAATTTAAGACTTTTTATTTACAATATGTGGACCAGTGATGTGCCATAAAGCTGTCAATGTCGGAATTTGAATTTTCAACAGGAATGGGAAAATTAAAAAATATTTATCGCCTCGCTTATCGCTCTTTATCGACGAAACGATTATTTGAGTGTACTTCATCGCAAAGCTGGCTGTGAGTTGGAAAATGGAAGAGAAAATTGAGAAAATTCTCCGAATGTGTGAGAAGCAGACGGAACAACTGACAGGGGGTAAATCAGACTTCTCTTATCATAACACGAGAAATTCCCTTCATAACATATGGACCCAAGTGTACGAATCCGGAGATAACAACACTGAAACACTCAAAAAAATCAATGACTGTCTCAAGCAACTGGAGGAGAAGGTGCAACAAAATGAACAGAAAAAACATCAGCACTACTACGCGAAAAAATCTCGCACTAATTAAAAATGTTTAAAGAAATACCAAAACAAACAAAATTTCCATTCGGTTTTAATTAATTTTAAATGTAATTTGTGCTCTCTTGCAACGATTTTTGTTTGTTATTTAAATAAAATTCTCACAAAAAACTAGAGCAATTTTTGTCATGTGACCTGAGTAGATTAGATTATAATTCACTATGACAGCCAAAAATGGGAAAGTTGGCAAGAGTGTGGCTCTTTTTGAAACTGCTGGCCTCATTCTAGCAAAAGTAGAACGAATTATAACAAAAAATAAAATTTCTTATTCAAACGAAAAGATAAATTACTTGAATTGGCTACGAGTCTTATCCTCATGTTTCCTTTACTTTAATGGAAATGCAAGAAGTTAAAAAACTTTCTTTTATTTGTTCTATTACGAAAATTTAAAGGTGATTAATCGATTTAGGTTTTATCGCATTATCTTATCTTTACCTTATGTTAGTGCGAGAAATAGCGCCGAAATAAGTAAGTCGGAGAAAATTTCTTCCTAGTGCAAAAATGGGAGCTTTAACTTCAAAACAAGGAACTCTAATAGTCCAAAAACCAAGACGAAGAAAATCACTATTAAGTTTCAAACGTTCTTCTGTGAAGAAATTGGACTTGGCTTTCTTGGGCGAAGATCGAAAAGAAAAAGCTTTAACTGAAGAAAGTATAAACAATTCATCTGATCCCGTTGATGAAGAAAATGAAGAAGAAATAAAAAAGTTGAGTTATATTGAAGCTAATTTGGAAGAAGTGAAAGTGTCTGTAACCGACGCGAGTCAAGACTTGGACAAATTAAATAAAATAAGTGAAAAAATTGAAGAATTGATTAAAGAATTGCACAAGATAGACATCAAAAATGCCGAAAATGAACAACGAAAAAATGCTTTAGAGAAAGAGTTTTTCCGCACGTTTCAAAGATTAATTAAAAGTAAGAAACTCTTGATCAAGGCTAATAATCCTGACCACTGTTGGAAAGCAATGGACGAGCTAGAGAATTCAATAAATGAACATTATGAAAATTTGAACGAAAAAAATTGTGACGACTTGACCAAACATTTGAAAATTATGATAAAAAAATTGCAGTCGATTGATAATGTTAATGATCAAATTATCGAGAGGAAAGCTTCCATTTCTGATGCGATGGTAAAGCTTGAGAAGAAACAAACTGAAATAAAAATGTCCCAAAAAATGAAAACACTTGAGGGAGAATTCGAAAAAGTTTTAGCCGGCTTAAAAACCAATCTTTGTGACATTTTAGACGTTAGTGATGAAATTTCAAACCGAAAACTTTCACTTAAGAAAAAAATTTACAAGTTATTGATTAAAACTGATTCCTTGCCAGAAATTGAGAAAAATATTGAAAAGTTGAGGTCACAAATTCGTAAATTTGCGGATGTGGAAACGAGTGATGAATATTTTGAGATGATGGAGGCTTTGACTGAAAACGGTCTCGCACTGGAAGAACTTAACTGTGACGATGAAGAGAAGAAATGTGAATTATTAGATGAAATAAATATTTTACAAGGGGATTTGGATAGGACTGTTTCCGAAGTGAACGAATTGAAAAGTATTGAAGAAGCTGTTGAAGAAATCGATAACACTAATTACCAGTATTCGGAAGAGGTGCTCAAGAGACTTAAAAGTGATTTACTTCGATTAGAAGTCAGCCAAAAATTGGCCGTAATGAAGCAAGAATGTTGTAAAAAAATTGAAGAATGTGAAAGTAGAATAAATTTGTGTTTTTAAGTATTTAATTTATCTTTAGAGAAGTTTTATCAATAAAGTAAACTCTGTTTTTATCTTATCGTTTTATTTTGCAACCATATTTAACATTTATACGAACTCTGTGACTGAAATTTTATCAATGCAGTTGCAACATTGGTCTACTGGCCAAAATTTTACAACTCAGGTGAGTGAACTTACTTACAATCACACGTAATAATTATTTATCCTTAGATTTTTAACTTAAAATGGGCCAAAGTAATGCAACCCTTCGCCTCAAATCAATAAAAACCAACGTTTCCGAGATAACCAAAAAAATCCGAAATGACGACCTTTCAACTCAAGAAATAGACCGTTCACACGAAATTCTCTTGGACTACGTCAAAGAACTCAAATACATCCTAAGCAAAAATATGCGAGTTTCAAAAATCCGAAAAGTCGAGAAGGCCATAATTGCCGCCTTGCAAGATTTGGCCACGTTAGAAGGTACTTTAAAGACTATAGAACCCCGACTTAAGGCAAAATCGATGCAAACTCTCGCCGATATTGAAAAAAATATCAAAACAATCGGTGATAATTTGGTTAATCAAAATTTTGAGTTGGATAAAAAAGTGATTAGTAATTACAAAAAACGGATGAGTTTTATCGACGATGTTGACGACGAAATAGGAGTCAGAAAGACCGAATTGTTGGATGTGATGTCGTGTGTTGAAAATGTTCTCAGTGAAAAGGAAATTGAAGAAGAACTGAAGCAAGCGGAAGAAAAACATTACCTGACCAGACATGACTTAAGTGATAAGAATTTCTTGACCCAACTCAAAAACGAAGTTGAAGAAATTACAGAAGTTAGCGAGAAAGTGAAGAAACGGAAAGAGTATCTCTTGTACAACATTGACAACAGTATATTAGCCCTACAAAATAAAGACAAACAAGACTCAAGTGCCACCAACTCACAACTAGTAACAGACGTTGTTGAAAGTTACAACAACTTCGAAGATTTGTTCTCACCTAATTGCAATTTGGACGAACTTGAGAGTGTTTTTGACCAACTCTCGGCAATGAGAATGAGACTTGACCAAAGACTTAAAGTGTTAGAAAACCAAATCAAAATCGAGAAGGATGTCGATAAAATTCCGGTGAAAGAAAGTGAGGTCCATGGTCCAACAGTCATTGAAAAATTAAACAAAATAAAAGAAACAATTGAAAACATTCAGACTCAAATATCGCGTTTGTCCTATAGCGAAAACAGCCACATTTACAAAAATTTCCACAAAGTTTTGAAAAAATACAAGACTGAAGTAAACGAACTATCGAATGATGAGAATTTAATATTGTCAACTAGTGTTTCAAAATTAATTGACGATGTTTTAGTAATTTTGGATAAAAATGTGTCAACAAGAAATAGCACAAGTGGTGATGTTTTTGTCGATATAATGTCCATTGGTGCTAGTGTTGACAAACTACGGGCCCAAATTCAAATAAGCAGCAACACGAGAGAAGACCACGATTTAATCAGAAACGATCTTTTGGGACATTTGCAATATTTAAAAAAATTGGAAATACCACCTGCAAGAACTAATGTTTGCCAATTTAGAGATTATCTTATCATTCAAATTGATAGCTATTTGTCATATTTAGCCAAAAAATAAATAAATTGTGGCACAGTTTAATTTGTTTTATTTAAATTCTTGTTCCTTAACTTTCTGAAACTTGAGCTTGAGAAGTTCTCGGTATCAAAGCAATTACGCTAAGCTCGAAATCTCTTAAATGGAAGAGTAATTAGAAATGTGTATAATTTTATTAACTCATTATTGGGAAATCGATCCAATTTTTGATTAGATTTGGGCGAAAACTGAAAGCAATTTCTTTGTGTTTGGTAAAATTGGAGGCATGTTTTGCCTCATATTTCTGTGTTAACAAAGTTATTCAACATTAAATGTTAGTTTCGGTAGTCCAACCATCTCCATGATCGTTCCGGGATTCCGGACGTGACCCAATTAAACTAGTATCAGATCTAGTAATTTGTATTTCCCTCATCCAAATGAAGTCTTTTGTCCGCATTATCACCACCATGATTCAGAAAGCAAACAAACGTCAAATTCATAGACTAATTAACCCCCGACTATATTATTACCAATTACGTTCTTCTCTTGCCACAATTTGAACACATTGTCACCATATAATCCCAGACATCAAGCTTAAAGTAAACAGCTTTTACGACAAGCAAACCGGTCAATATCCCGGAAAAACTACACGAGGATAAGTGACCTTTAAAAGCGCATTACTTCACATAAACCCGCTACGAGTTTTAAAAGAATTTTACTAAAAAACCCAATTATAAACGGGAAAAATTTATGCGTTGGCAAATTTCAGCCTTGTAATCAATCATGGGGTAATTAACTCTGAAGAATGATATAAAAATTTGTCTCGGAGGGTGGAGATAATTACCTGTCAAGGTACATCTGCTCCTGATCGAAATGTTGCAATGTTTTAGTTTGAAAATTCGTTTTGATAAAATATGATTCAACTCGTGCGATGGCGAAGCTTGATAAAAAACAAACGTAAATAAAGATGTCTCAAAAAATAAAAAACACTTGAGAAAAAATTTGAAAAAATCACTATCAAGTTTCAAACGTTCTTCTGCGAAAAAAGTAGACTTAGCTTTTTTGGGTGAAGATAGAAAAGAATTTTTAACTGAAGAAAATACAAACAATTCATCTGACAAAGAAGAAATGAAAAAGTTAAGTTATTCAAACTTATTTGGAAAAAGCAAGAATGTCTATAACCAATGGCACAGCGAGGGTTTTGTTCCACCCAGAACAAAATCAGATAACATTATTTTGTAGTAGTAATAAAACTAAAATTATATTTTAAAAACAACCAAAAAACAATCAAATTTTGTATACAATAATTATTATCTTCAATGTTGTCATAATTTCAGAAGATTCACAAATTTTAATTTTTATATTTTGTAAATTGCAAAACAGTACATCAAACGTTATAATGTTTTTATACGTATGTTCATGTTGTGTAACATGTTTCGAGAAATCGATTGGCGTCGAGAAAACTGCAAAATTCTTGATCATTTAAAAGTTATAGTTGGATTAATACTTTGGATATTTTTTGGATAACTATTTAACGTATTTTTTTTAATATGATAAAAAATTAAATTTGCTTTTCAACAGTATCAAAGAAAAAGGACTAGCGTCAATAATTTCGAAGTTATTAACATAAAAATCTCAACAAAAATCAAAAAATTATAAACTTTAAAATTGAACCATTTGCACTCTTAAGGGTTTGAGAGACTTTTAAAAGTACAATAACGTTGTAAAAACACTACAAAAAATTTTTGAAAAATTTTGTATGCTTGTATGAAGAACAAAATAAGAACACATAGCATAATAAGAAAGAGAAATAGCATAAGAACAAATAAGTGAACAAAGCATAAGTAAGGAAAAGCGTTTTCAATTACACAAAATTCTCTTTGTGAAACTTTTTAAAAACATTTTATGCTACATTTTTACCATCACTGACTGTGCATCCTGGGAGAAATTATTGTAGATCAACGTATTTCATTGAAAATAATGCAATTTGAGCTATTTTCAAGTAATTAGAGTACCACATACATCAAATGTCATCAAAAATTTTAACTGTTAAATAAAATAATAAATTCAATTAAAATATGGCTCAATAGAAAAAATAGTATTAAAAACACGTGTTACTCACTTCTCATTGTAATACTCGTGCATTGTAACATTCGTATTACAACGAGAGTGTTTGCAACACTTGTTTTTTAATATACTATTTTTTATCTTAAGCGCGACATTTTTCATTTTTCTAATAAAATCAAAATTTTTACTAAGTGAATAGTTTTTTGAAAAATCAAGTTTTATAATTATCTCAAAAATTGTTCGTCGCAGAACAATGAGCTTTTTTTATAAGACAAGAAATTTAATTTGCATTTTAATAAAATTAAACACAAAAAACACTTCAGGAAGAATTTGTGATAGTTTAGACGTTATAGTGATGAAATTTCTAATCGAAATCAAAAAAATTTCAAATCAAAACTGATTTGTTGTCAGAAATTGAACAAAATATTGAAAAGTCGGGTCAAAAATTCGTAAATTTGTTGATGTGAAAGCGAGTGATAAATATTTTGAGTTGATGGAGGCTTGAATGAAAATAATCTAGCTCTAAATGTGTCGATGAAGAGAATAGATGTGAATTATCGAAAGAAAGAAATATTTTGCAAGGGGATTTGGATTGAAGTGAACGAATTGAAAAGTATTGAAGAAATTAGCAATGAAACTAATTATTACCAGTAAATGGAAGAAGTGGTCAATGTGATTTACTTCAATTAGAATTCAGCCAAAAATTGGTCGTAATGAAGAAACAATGTTTTAAAAAAATTGAACAACGTGAAAGTAAGATCATTGTGAATGAGAATAAATAAAATTGTTTAGTTGAAGTAAATCCGTTAAAAATTTCGAGAAAATTGCGTTGGAGTGAAGTCTTGTTTTATATCGGAATCAATCTTAGTCCAAGAAACAACAATAAGGCCCAAAAGAGGTCAAGAGTTGTTTTTCTTTACAGTTGACAATGACATATACCTGCCCGACATTGCCATAGAAGAGCCCTTTCTCTCGGGAAATCATGACTAATGGAAAGTGCAAACGTCCGTTTCTTATTTATAATCGTTTCCCGCACTGATTTCAACTCCGGAAAACTTTCGAAGCTCATTTCGATCGCCTTTTATCCACTTCAATCTGAATAAAAATAAAACACCGCAGTTTTCATAGACGCAGCCCAGCGGCGGCTTTCCCACCTCCCACATTTGTAACAACAAACTTAACAAAATAAATTAAATTAATGTTTTTGTATTGTTTTTTAAATAGTAAATAAAATAAGTGTGTTATTCTTCACCCTCTCAACCATTGACAGGCTGTCAATTACCATTTGGCCGTGATTGGTCGGAAAACATTTATTTGTGTAGATTTCCACATTCGGGCAAGATTAAGGTCAGGTAATTGGAGTTTTTTGTTTTTGATTAACTCCTCAGATGTTGTAAATTGCACTTTACCTTCGGTTGACGTTTTACCCAATTATCTCGACTTCGTAACTAATGTAAACTGTGCGGCTTGCAGGACGTGACCTTTTGGTGAGAAAATGTGAGAGCCAAGAAATGGCATTAGGGAGGTGGTGAGCGCTTATTAAAGTCGCTTATGTGGGAAATTTTGAGAAATGGTGTGTTTAAAGGAGAGTTATTTGAGGGAAAATAGAAGGCTTGATGAAAGTGGATGGATGTTTTTTCATTTAGGCGGTGTAACGTGGTGGTGAAAGCCTTTTGTTTTATTACAAGAGACGAAAGTTGCTTAATAAGAAAACAAGGGGCTTGGATTGACAATGCCGATTTAATTCAACGAAAGAAGGGGAAAATGGACCAGAAAACGACTTCTTTGTGTTAAAAGTATGACGAAAACACTCGCTAATACTATTCATATGATTCTTTACAATTTTCTGTTTCAATTTAATAAATAAAGCAAAAATGGTAAAAAAATATAATCAATTGAGTAGTAAACATCAACACATCTAATTAACCTTAAGTAACTTTGTTCTCATAAAAGTTAATGTATTTTTGGTAATATTTATGTCTGAATAATGCAATAGTTACAATAATTCGAATTTATGTTTTTCTCATTTTTAGATTTATAGGCTTTAGGGCTTTAATATTTTTTTCTACATAAAGGTAAAAAATGAAAAAAATTAAGAATTTTGAATTTAAAAAAATAGTACATTTTTAAGAGAAATTAATGTAGACTTGTTTAAAAAACAACGAATTAAATCTTTTAAAAACATTAGCGTTTTTTACTGTTTCACACACCTTTCTTAATTAACTCTTGAAAAACGTAAATTACGTTTCGGTGTCTCTGGGGCGCAAAAAGGCAAATAATTAAACACTAAAGACTTAACAACTCACGATTGTAAATTACAAATGATCCTTTGGGAGGTTTTATTTATTCCATTACAAAAGGTCCAGTTAGCATAGCTTTGTAGTTCTTGTTATTTTCTTCTCCCCTTTCATTCTCTTGCATCCACATTAGCGAAACTGTAGTTCCTTTGTGTTTGTTTCATCGATGTACTTTGTAAATCGAGAAATATGTTACAAGAGTTGAGGTTTAATTAAACTGTGACCTTGACTGTTTTTCACGTAATCCTTGTTTGCTGAACGAAGTACAAGTCTTAGATAAATCCCTCGTCTGAAAATTCCATTAAACCTTTCAGTGGATGCAAATATCCCCGATTCTCCTCCCAACACGTGAAGCAATTAATATAAATTTAAACTTAACGTAGTGAATAATTTCGGCTTAAGCAACACACGTTCCTCGCTCAAAATGACGTCGGTTACACGGAAGAGCAGCTTTATTAAATTTCAACCACACAAAATGTAATTATCAAAGCGAATGCCAACTCCTTGAAGAAGCAGAATAATCAGAAAACGTGTCCCCCACGTGGAGCAACCGATTTTGCAAGTAAATACGAATTGTGGGTTGCCTATTGCCGGGTCAATAGCAGGACGCATCCTGCTGTGCAGGATTACACTGCAGCATGTGCTGTTTATTACGAGCGGTTGCTTTCTGCATATTCGATCCCGAAACGTGATGATTTATTTAAGGGAAGTTTACAAAGTTGGAGGGCTTATTTATTATTTCTCCACTAAATTTTAAATAACTCCAAGATAACGTGAGGACTTTATTGCAAAATTTACAATGGGCTCTGTAAGCCCTTCGCTGAATTATCTCAACCCAAAACTTGTCAAACTCCGACTACGATATATTCATGTGGTTTCGGTAAAGTCTGCGAACTTGAACAAGTTTCTAACGTATGGTAATGGTAATAATAAAATTTTCTGTCGGGGAATAATTTTCGACTGGATGAACGTAAAGCGTAAAAGTGTAGTAAAATATTTGGATAAATTCAGTCGTAAACACAGGTGTGGGTTTTATTGATGAATTTTAACTAAAGTACGTAATTTCGGTGAGCAATTTGCGATAAGTGAGTGGCAGACCCATTTTGGAGCACGAGGGAACTTTTTTTCGAGAGAACGGTACTCAACTACGCAAGAATTTTTAGTTTACAAACAATATCATGCCCCAGTTTTGAAGAAAAACTACTTCATATATGCCAAATTAAGCTCCTCTAATCTGTGCAGTCGGATTATGGAACATGTATACTGGAAGAAAGCTCTCAGAACTTCATGAATATTAAAAACACGGTCCTTATATAATATTCTGAGTTTCAGAAACGGATTATTCAAAAACAATCAACAATTCTATTTATTATTGAAAAAAAAAATAAATATGGATGCGAGACAAATTTTTTCGAAGGACGCTTCTGTCCTATCGCAATTCTTGAAGTCTCTCGGGGAGAAAAAGGAGCAGTTAAGGAATACCCGGATTTACTTTACGGTTTGGAGAAGAGTAGACGTGAGAAGCTGAAACGCGTTGGGATTTGGATGCGACTTTTAAATATTTGAAGAATTGTGATTTAATTAAAATTTTTCTTTGTTTCTGGTGATATAAAAATTTCTGTCGCGTCGCACTCAGTTTTTTCCCTAGTTTTGCTGAATTCTATAAGACGAGAGCAAACGATATTTGTGTTAGTTTAATGAAATTTGCTCGCCGAGTTTGTTGGAAGACATTTTGTGAAAGACAAGTGGCAAGTGACTCGTTATTTTCGTAATTGTTCAGGCGAGTGTACAAAAAGCCACCCTTATAAATATTAATACACCCTTCCGTAATCAACCGGAATTGCACTGAATTACGCGAAATAGTTGTCGGGGTTTAATTAAAATTCGTAAAGTTTGGATTTCGTGCCTAATTCTAAATCGATAGTTAATCATACAAACATCCAAATCGATGATGAGACCCTCTCATGTTCTCCCTCAACGTAATCGAATGATGTTCCTCAAAATAGCTCCTCATTACAAAATGGTGACTTTATTGATCTATAAAATTTGATGGAGCAAGATTGACTTCAATTATGTTTTTTCGACTGCTGCTAGCTTAAAAAACGATGTTTTATATTTATTATTGTCATGGCGATTGTTAAATTCAAGAAAATGAACACAGACGGTTTTACAGACAATTTTATTACGTCATAAAGCACTGTTTTTAATCTCGCAGTTGAGTGGAATACGAAAATCAGTAAAAAATTAAAAGGGAAAAGAGTTGGCTTATCTAACATCATACAATATTTTAGCTGAAAATAAAAAATCCAAGCTTTGGCTCAAAAAAGAGAGCTTTTGGTTATCAGTCTAGGATTCATCAACAAACAAAACAGTGAAAAATTCAAATACAACTCAGAATTGTTGAGAAAGTTGCAAAATCATTAAGATGAATAAGACTAACATTGAAATTTTGTCCCGAAAAATTCAAAAGTTGATTTTACTGTGTAACATTTTGACTTTTTTCTAACTATTAATTTTAAACCGAAAACAATAAAAATCATATAATGGTAGCAAAAATTTTTGTCATCTTTTACACAATAAGAGAACATTTCTGTTAATTTTTTTTCTTGTTTATAAAAATTTTGAAATTATAGAGGTTTAAATTTTTCACTTTGACTCTATTATTCCTGTTGAATAATAATAATTTTCCAAGGTTTTTTACTGAGGCTATTAGAAGAGAAAACAAAGAAGCTGCATTCTAAGCTGTAACTCTGTTTAATGTTATTTGTGGCTTTTATGGGCAAAATTTTTGTACTTTTACTAAATAATAAAAAGAACTTATACAAAATCCTCAGTATCATTAAATAGACATAAAAAAAATGTTCATTGTCAAAAAATAAATGTCAAAAGTTTTTGACAGATAGAATTTTTTAAACATTTTTTCCATGCTCCTGGTATCTTATCTTACTTGAAATTTTTCTCTGAAGCGCGAGCTCTGACACATCCTGTACACATTAATCAAATTTAATTAAAAACCTTTGAATTTTTCTAAAGTGGAAGCTTGCAGTTGGGAAATGTTTAATTGTTAATTGTTTAAGTCCCATATGCTAAAAAGATGAACCATTTTTCACTTTATAACTAATATAATTGATAGACTGCAATTCATTTATTAACATTTTCAAGTTTTTGATCAATTTTTTTATAACAATAATTCATTATGTTTTCCCTCTCGTCTATTTATTTTAGCAAAAAAAAAATAAAGGAAAATCTTTGATTTTATAATATAAGGACGTTATTTTAACTGAAAATAAAAAAAAAACAATGTTAGCCTTACAAAAAAGGCGCAATATGTCTAAGACACTTTGTATACTTGAAAATAATAGATGTTTTTTGATCAAAAATTTTTCAAATGTCAATAGCAGACTTTACAAAATCGTTACAAGAGCAAAAATTCCTGTTTAGAATAATTTTGTTAATTATTTACTCCACAAGCCTCAATTTATTTTTAATTACCCTCCGCACTTTACGTCAATCAATTAAACACGAAGTGCTAAATTTAATATTGGCAATATTTTTTTAATGTAATTCAGGTTGTTAAAAATTCAGTCGGGGCTAAATTTTTTATTGTTTAATTTACCCCAAATTATATTACAAGAAAAATTGTCAAGGGATTCAACGTCAAGGCCATTGTATTCAGCCAACAATGGCCCTAAAGCGCATAATACAGACGCATTCTCCAGCTTAAATCATTTCTAATTGTTCACAGACAAGGCATCTTCACCGTAATTTACAACTTTTCTAGGTTTTGCCCCAAATTCTGTATTCACTGAATGCAAATCAAACGTGTTAAATCACCCTCACACAGTCTAAACCGTTGCAATCCCAGACACGAAATATTTAATTTGGAGAAGGAATAAGTGTGCTATGGAACATATCGGCCAATCACAAGCTTACTACGCATTCACAGCACGCCTGATTAGGCCTAATTGGTGAACGCAGCGGCGTGTAACAACGATAACAGAGAGAATAAGAATTCAAAAACAGTTATCTAATAGAGAAAAGTGGCCCTTCTTGAACCAACATACAGAGTGGTTATAAATGATTTTCATCTAGCCAGCTTTGGAATTTTTTTGCATGTAACTTTATTTGTGCCGCTCTACTTTTTTGAAAGCTCTGTATAAATTACTACATCCTATACAGGATGCGCCAGAACTCGCGCCCTAGAGAAAATTTTCAAGTAAGGTAAGATACCAGGAACATGGAAAAAATGTTAAAAAAATTTATCTGTCAAAAATTTTTGTCTATTTAATGATACTGATGATCTTGTATATGTTTTTTCCTACGACCATATACGAAACTAGATCATAACGCACAATTACATATGCGCGAAAATTAGCAATATCGTACGAGATCAAAAACCTGTGCGATTTGTTTTCGCACTGTGTTCGTAAGAAAAAAATTATTTATGGTCGTATGAAAAATAGTGTACAAAACTTGCAGGAAAGTGTCTAACGCGTCGGCTAACGCCTCGTGCGCAACTTTCCCGCTTGTGCGTTATTTATCACTTTCCGTGCTCGTTATGTAATATACTATTTTACAATTGTTTAGGTAAAGATTTTATTTTGCAAATAAAAGCCACAAATAATATTGAACAGAGTTACAATTTAGGATACAGCTTCCTTGTTTCTTCTGTTAATAGCCTATAGCTAAAAAAACTAGGAAAATCATTTTTTCAACATAAATAAATACGCGCTATTAGACGTGACGTCACAGACGCGACTGTACCGAAGCTAAACATACAGTGTTGCCAGTTGTGATATTATAGTACCAAATTGATACTAGTTTTTTTTTTACTAGATGTCTATATTGACTTGTAAACAAATAGTAATTTATATTCTCAGCCAAATACACATTGTGTGAATGTTGATACTTTTTATTTTGTTTTGGTACGACCTAGCCACTCTGTCGTTTGCAACATTCTGGCAACTCTGTAAATATACTTTAAAGTTCACATTACACAAAAAGTGAGGTTAGAACAGATTAACTTACAGAATTGTTGACTACAATTGTTAAAACCATTACGAAACGACACAGATTTTTCATAGCAACTATTTCCTTGGAAACAATAAACTTTTTTTACGTCCATACGAAAAGCATTGGTAACAAAGTATGTTTATTAGTGTAGCTTCAAAGGTACAGTCACGTACCTCACTGACGTCACACTAGAATAATAGCGCGTATAGTCAAAATGCAAAATTTAAACCCTCATAACTTCGAAATTTTTATAGATGACATTTTTTTAAATATTTTTTCCATGTTCTTGGTATCTTAACTTATTTTTTTTTTCTCTGGGCCGCGAGTTCTGGCGCACCCTGTATAAGACTGTAGACTATATGAAAAATAAAGTGTGCTAATTTTAGCAACCCTCCCTTACATTAACCCAAGTGGCAATTTAATTTCGCATTTAATCAGATTAGAATTGTCAAAATTGGCGTAACAGATGGAAGACATGCAATTGCGCATTGAAATTGAATGGCCGATGCCATGCAATATTAAATACGGAAGGAAATCCGGAAAATGACATAGAACCGACTATTTGTAATAAATCAACAAACCAAATTTTACTGTCCAGTGTAATCCACTTACCTCCTCTCGCGTTCCTTTTTCTGCAATTTCTTCTTCTTAAACGCCTTTTTGACACGCAGCAAGAGAAAAGCGGCTCGGTCGATCGTCAACGCTGAATATTGCTTCTTTTCCTCCATCCTGATTGGATAACTTCACAGTTTTAAATGGATTTGCACCGTAATCCGATTAATATTCATCTGAAAAAGTTAAGCGTTTATTAATTCACAAATAAATCGGGAAATTTCATTTCAAGCGGCTTTTGTTATTTCGATACAAAAGAGTTGGAACTTTTACTTGGAACTATGTGTACATTGCGGAAATAATTGCTTCTAATGAAGAAATATTTTACAGTGGAGATAAATTACCAAAAGCGGAGAAAATAAACGATTTATCTCAGTCTAATCAAATAGTTTGCTCTTGTAATTTAACAATAAATAATGGTTAAAGTGGACGGTTCTGCTCTGTTTTTGCCTCGTAAGGGCACAACAAATCTGCAGGGATCCTTTTTAGTCAGCAGATCGTTGACAAGCTAGAGTAATCGAATATATTTTTATAAATCAATTTTGGTGATATGCTTGGCCTTTGACCATGTCTTTTGCTCTTGACCTCAAAAACTTTAATCAAAAACTTTGAATTTATTAAATGATCCGTTATCAAAATTGTGTACCAACTCGTTGAAAATTATGTTAATTTCTCCTAATTCCTGAAATAATGACGTGGTTAAGCTTGTTTAAATCGAGTTTAGCTGCAAAGCCACATTGTAAACATAAACCGTAATATTGTTGTTTGCCACAATAACTACCCCACAAATCCATCTCAAATTTCCCAATTTCTCAAGAAAGGCATTTTTCGTGTAGCCAAAGCCATAATTCTGTTATTATCACATAAAATTAAATAAGCTTGAACCCAACAACCGATCGATGATTTATTCAAATTTATCGACGTGTATGCAGATTGAGGCCGATATTAATTATTTTTTACATCGACGTAATTTGCAATTAGACTTTTCACGGGAGGGGTTGTTTATGTGGGGCATTAGGGCGGATTTGGATGGTCATGATGCATCGAAGGGCATATTTCAAATTGTTTATTGTTGACGTTTATTGTCACAGATTTGATGCATGACTATGATGGATCTGACTTCTAGTGAGAATAAAGCTGTATTAAATCATACGTATTTATTACCAACACATTCCCAAACTTAAGATATATTCACAACAAGAAAAGTATTTTTACGGCCAATTAAACGCTAAGTTCTATTTATATGTTTTAATTAAAATTTAATGAAACAATTGTCGTTATACCAAATCCCACACTTAAACTCTCTGTATTTAGTCTGCTTTAAAGTTTTTTGTTGCAATTCAGTCTTAATTAAACGTCACAAATTGACATTTTGTAAGAAATATTTACCAGACTCATTTAGGAAATAGCCTGAAATTTTTAACATCTTCTTAATTAATTATACGGGATGCGCCAGAACTCACGCCCCAGAGAAAAATGCCATGTAAGGAAAGATACCAGGAACATGGAAAAAATTTAAAAAAATTCTATCTATAAAACTTTGAAAGTTATGAAATTTTGCACTTTGACTCTATTTATTTCTGTTGGAAAAATAATTTTTCAAGTTTTTTCGCTACAGGTTATTAGAAGAGGAAACAAGGAACCTGTATCCTAAATTGTAACTCTGTTTAATGTTATTTGTGACTTTTATTGGCAAAATTTTTGTACCTTTACTAAATAATTATAAAAAAACATATACAAGATCATCAGTATCAGACATAAAAATGTTAAATGTCAAAAAATAAATGTCAAAACATTTTTTCCATATTTCTGGTATCTTATCTTACTTGAAATTTTTCTCTGGGGCGCGAGTTCTGAATCACCCTGTATTTGTATAATTGGTTTATAACACCAAAACTTTTTTTCATGTATCACATAAAAATAAAGCAGAGCGAACAAAAAATGTTGAATTTCGGGTTAAAACACATTTTATTGATTGCATAATTAGCTTGATTTATATATAATTCATAAAGGGACGATCACCCATAAAGCGCTTTGTCACCATAATGACGTCTTTCAGAACCCACAAAAAACTGAAACGGCTTTATAAATATAGCTTTTGGCCAAAATTGCAAAAGCACACGTCGGCTTATTAGTAATAAAATTAAATGGAAAAAAACTGCTCACGTTTTAGAGCTGAGTGAGCTTTTGGCTTGTTTATCTGAGGACAATTGGGGATAATGCAAGAACACCACCCAGAATGCGTTTTTATTTAGTATAATTGAGCTTCCGCTTCAAAAAATACTCCGGAACGAAACAATTCCTGTAATTATTGAAATAGATTGTGTTTTTAGGGAAATTGTAAAGCTTTTAAATAGAACTGTGTTGGCTGCAATAACAAGTTTTTGTCGGTTTTCGCGCGGTTTAAATTGAAAATGGAGCTTTAGATTTGATCTTGCAAAAAACATTTTTAATGTTATTTGAATTAGCTGAAAATACAGTTTTGAATAAAAGGATTCGCTGAAAAACTACGAATTTAGTGCATGACATTCAAAGCTATTGTTCTGTGAAAATTATATTGAAACATGTTTTGTCGGAACACCGACGCAAAGTAATTGGAAATTGCCATTTGTGGGGTGTGGCAGATTATCATAAGAGATGTCAAATGAAAAGGCAATTGTAATTAAAAAATGTGTAGAAAAAATTCACTAAATTTTTGAAATTGGCTGAAGTTGTTTCATTGTTATGCAAACATTTTTATTCTCAACGAAAACAGCACGCCTTGCATACAAACACACTTAAATAATGGCCAAATTCTGAACGAAAAAACATATATTTTTTTGTAATAATTCAATACTTTTTGTATTATTCCGAATCGATTAGTTATTTCCAGCCATCGATTTATAATTTAACACAATTCCAATTGACTTTTAGTAGAAATAGAATCACAGAATGAACGCTTTCGTGCTTCCAATACCATCACAGTGTCTCGCTTTTTTACGACACTGTTTTGTTTTAAAAAACAAGAAGATTACTTTTACAGAACAAAAAAAATTGAATCAGTGTTTAAGAACTATCCCGGCGCATCCACCATTTTTGCAAAACAATTATGTTTTTTAATTGCAAAGAAATTAGTTAGAATTTTATGTTTAAGAGATACAGAGTGGTAAAATTTTTATTTACCATAGTTGTGTTAGATTTCTAAGTTTTGAGAAAATTCCACTCGCGTGAACGCGCACATTTGCAGGAAACAGACACCACGAACAGCTAGAAAGCGTCGCGACGACTGGCAGCATCATGTTGGCCATAGAGTTCGGTAGTCCACCACGTCCTTCTACATCGATCTGACAAATAGAAGGGGCGTGCCACTTATAGCGCTTCTTCAGATAACATAATACGACAAAACTTAATCATAAACTGAGTTATCCACTTTGCTCTTACTTTCGGAGCTTTTGAAAAAATTACATTTCAAATAAAAAACAAGTTTTTTAAATATTATGTGCTTTATTTCGTAAAAATTACAACATTTCTGTATTCCCAAAACTCAGGCCTAGTAGTGGTAGTAGTCTTGTCTCTCGTAGCTGCGGCTGGGGTAGAACTGCTCTTGGGCGTAGTTGCTTCCTTGGGCGTAGTACTGTTCGGGGTACCGTCCTTGGGTTTCGTATTGGGGTCGGACGTAGTTTTTGGGAACACTCATATACTTAGAAAAGTCGTGTTTCTTGCTTTGGTACCGTTGGTTGGCGAAGTTTTGGCGCCTGCTGTAGTAGTAATCCTGTTGCGAGTAGTTAACAGCATCGGAGTCTCTGTGGTAGATTTTGGTTTCGTAGAAGTAACCATTGGGGATTTCGTAGTACATTTGTCCGTAGTAGACAGGACGGTCGAAGGGATAACCCATTGGATACCCATCAACGTATTGTGAGCCCGTACCAATCATTGGTACTCCAGCTTTTTGTTCCTTGTATGGCACATATTTAGTGACGTAGACGTAGAACTGGTAGGGGAAACCTCCATAGGTACCTTTTGGTAGCATGTATCTCTGTGGGAAACCGAACCAGAATTGAGTGTATTTGTAATATTCGCCTTGTTTTTCGTCGAAGACACCCATGGCTTTTTGGTACAGTTGGTAGTAAGAAGTCCTGTCGTGCATGTAGTTGTAGATCTCGCGGGAGTTTCTACTGATGACGTTTTGCCCGGATTTGAGTTTATAGACAAAGTGGTCGAATTGGACAAAGTTCATCCAATTTTCAGTCAAGTTCATGTAACGTCCATACTCATCGTATTTAGGACCTAAGAAGACTTTAACAACGGCTTCAGTGTCAACACTAGAGTCGACGTAAATCTTGTATGTGAAAGGCTTGTAGTTGAGACGTGGTTGAGCCACTTGGACCTTGAAACTATCTTGGACAAACTCTTCAGGAGTGACATAGACAGCACTGCTAATATCAGCGTAGTAGTAGTCAAAATAGGTGACAAGACGGTCGAATTCAACATTCTTAACTTCAACACCTTCAAACGTTAAATCTTGCTCGGTGTAGTACTTGTAGTATTGAGCCTTGAAGCGGAAGAAGAAGTTGATGAGTTTCTTGTACAACATGTAGAAAGCAGGGTCGCGCATCGAAGTTTCGAAATGTTCAAGAGCCGAAGGGTAGGTTTTGTGGTAGGTCAAGGGTTGGTAGGAATACCCCAACAAGTGGCGGGCAAAGACTTGGTAAGCTCCGTAGTACCTGTAGTAGGGGGAGTCAGGATTGCCTTCAATCAAGTTGCCCAAAATGTTGATACCGTCACGGGAGAACAAATCGACTTTTTGGCCAGATTTCTACAAAAATTTTTGATTAGAAATAATTTAGAAATTTGGAAAAACTTACAGTAACGACGTAGCCACTGTCGATGGCATCGCGAATCCTTCTTTCGTAATCCTTGACAAAAGTGTAGCTGTAGGCGTATTTGTTGTAACCGTAGTGTTGTCCATAGTTGTAGAAGTACTCATAGAGACGGGCATAGTTGGGCCTTGTTGGGAATTGGAGGCCGTTGGGGTAGCACATCGAGGGATAGTACCCAGTTTCGAAAGGTACTTCCCAGTTGAAGTCATCGATTTCGCCAAAACCGTTCGAGAGACGTTCCAAGTAGTACCTGGCTAAGATTTGTTGATACATGTAGTAGAAAAGTTCGCCACGGTTGTCATATTTCAAATTGTACTCTTGGCCACTCATCCAGAAGGGATAGTACAAGTTGTAGTAGTAGTAGAAGGAGTTGACACCGATATCTTCGGTGAAGTACGACATGGATTGTTCGGGGTGCAAGTTGAGGTAGTACCCAGAGTAGTTAGCATAGATGGTTCTGCCATTGAAGTGAGCACCACTTTGGCTGCTGTACATCTGTTTGTAGTATTGAGCTTCTTGGATGACTTCAGTACTGTAGAAATAGTACGGGTAGACTTCGTAGATTGGTGGAAGGGCATAGTAGTAAGTGTCGGGTCTGTGGACTAGAGCAACAGAAAGGGAATAAAGGTACATCCCTTCGTTGACATTGTTCCTAGCCCAGACGGCGGTCTTGTAGAAAGTCTCCCAAGTGTTGGCGTAGTAAAAGAGTTTGAAAAGAGCAATAGCTTGTTTCAAGTGCTCTTTGTTGAACACTGAGAAGATTTCTCCCCTTTCGAGGATTTTACCATAGTAGTAGAATCGGTAAAACTCTTCAACAACTTCGGGTTTCTAAACACAATCAAATTTTATATTAACGTAAAAAATAATGCAGGACTTACCATATAATCAGCCTTGAAGTCATAGAAGCGGTAGCTTTGGGCAATTTCCATATAGTCAGGGTAGAAGCTTGGTTGGTTGATGTACTTGAAGAGACGAAAAATTTCCTTCTGTTTCTCTTGTGAATACTTGTACGTATCTTGGAAAAAAAGTTAATTTTTGCAAAAAAAATGTGAAAATGCTTACCATTTTCCACAGAGACGGCCGAAACGGCGCAAAGGCCGGCCAATGTAGCTACCAAAAGGAATCTCATGTTTGTTGGTGAACCAACCACTGAGAATGATTCGAGTTTGGTGGTGTACACTTTTTATATGATTTTAATTGAACCTTTGTGTGACCTTAATGATAAAATTATTGTGGTATACCTAAAACAAACAATATTATAAATTTACGTAATTATTTACCATCAAACGGATTTGATTGTTGCTAACTTTGGAATATTTTCTTCACTGACTTATCAAAATAATAATGATTAAAGAGATGTTTATGGCCGAGGCGTTTATTGACCATGATTTGCATCCTGTCTCCAAGGGGCAGATTAAAATTTTTTGGACATGAATATTTTCACCAACTGATTTGCTTTAATTATGTTTATTTATGTTTTACTAGCTAATATTTCATTTATTGCAAAATTATTTTGACAGATTTCACAGCGTTCAAATTTATTTTCTAACAAGTGCATTGAACTGAATTAGAAAAACATTTTATTTGACCTCTAATAGTAATTAATTCGGGTCAGATTTTTTCGTTTCTAGCTCATTAGTTCAATTTTGTACACAAAATTTGCTATTTTTATCGGTTTTATTTTATCCTCACATTTTATTATCAGTTTGTTTTAATTAATGAGTGTGATATTATTCGAAATGATAATTTATTTTTAACAAAGTAATACGTTGATAAGGACAATGCATTTGTTATTTTTGCACTAATCTACGAGTAATTCTTTTATTCTTTTATTTTTGTTTTATTGTCACATTTGTCACAAAATCATATTTTTTGCTATTTTTTTTCAAATAAACTTGAATTTTACAAACTCATATTTGTACATGAAAATATGTTTGAAGATAATGGTCACTATGCAATTATTGCAATCAGTTTTTTTTTATTAAACCGATAAATTATGTTTTTGAAGTCTGTAACAAAAATAAATCGCTCTTAAAATAATGATTTTAATCGCTTAGTTTTTGAACCCTTGAATCTAAAATGTGAAAATAATAAGATTTTCCAAACTTTTTATACTACAAAGTTGTAAAACACCTAAATGGATACCAGTTGAATAAAAAATATGAGACCAAACGTTTTTTGCTTAAACTATTTATATTTTGGAAAAACTAATTGTTGAATGATAAAGTACTATAAAAATGTAATCTTTTATCAAGAATAAAATTTGTCAAAATTTTCTTTTGTTTTTAAGTTCTACAATTTTTTTTATTTTTTTAAATGGCAACCCACTATTAAACCATTTTTCTCATGAAGGTTATGATCTAAGGATCACAACTATCTACTTTATATTTAACTTTTTCAATATTTTTTTTTTCATAAATTGCAGTTTTGACAAAAAATATTGCATAACTCAAAAACGAAACGAAATTTCATTTGTAAAATGCAATCACATTTTTTATATTACTTTAATTTATATTAATTTCTGAAGACAAATATGTAATTAAAAAAACGCTTGGGTACATACTCGTATATTTTGAAGAATATTTGTGTTTTACTTTTTGTACTTTTTATAGATCTTACTTAAACACCTTTACAAAACGTCATATTTGTGCCTTTTTGCAATTTTTTTATAAAAAAAATTTGTATTTTTAGTAGAATAGTGTAGGTAGGTATTTCTCTTCTACATATCACATTTATTAAAACTATTATTAGTTTTAATTGCATATAAGGCAATATTTTCCAAGTCTAACCGCCATTTTGAAATGCTCGTTGTATAGTATACTAAATATCTGAAATTTAAACTTTATAATTTTTGTTAAAAAAACAAAACTAATAGGAGATGCTAATGTACGTTTTTTACTTGAAGAATTATTGTTGTTTATTATACAAGATGAGAAAAAAAAATTGTTTATCTACGAGTGAAAAGGTTAAGTTTATGAGTGACAAAGTCACGAGTGGACTTTTTTCGCGAGTAGATAAACAATTTTTACCGTCGTGTATAATATTTCGCTTTATTTTGTACTCACTTACCAGAATTTCTTGTACAAAATAAAGAATATAAACAGTAGATAAAAATTACTTTATTTCACTAGACGATAAAGAACTAGTTTATCTACTGAAATTAGTTGATAAAAGCATTCTTTATAATCGAGTACAAAATAATGTATCTTTTTTTTAGTAAATTATTATATGTATTTTTTTTCAATGTCATCTAAAGAGCAATTAAAACACTCTATTTATATTAATACTACGACATCATTTTCCAAAAAGTCTCTTACTTTTGTATTTTTACATACTCAGGTTGAAAGTGTAAAAAATACATTTGGAAGAAATAGCAATATGTAGATATGACAAAACCGAAACAAGTATAAACATAAAATAAGAAACAAAGATGGTAAAAATGAGTAAAAATGAAGAATAAAAAATGAAAAAACAAATAATTCAGAAATACGGATATTGAAGTAGAGATACGTGCAGTGTTATAGAACGTATAAAAACAAAAACATTGGAAATTTAAAAAAATATATCAAACCTCGACGAAAATGTTCAAAAAAATACATAACTGTGCAACCAGAATACTAATTTAAAAATACAAAAACAAAAAGATGTGTATTTATTTTACATAGAAAGTAAAGTACAGAAAAAAGAAGTAAAAAGAATTTACATTAATGCAACAATAAAAAAACATGCAGAAAATAAAAACTAAATTTGCTTCAGAAAACATGTCTTTCGTATTTTTCAAATACGGTAATAAACAGAATGTGTCTTTTTAATTAATTTTTTTTTTATAAAAATTGAAGTTAAGTTTAATCAAAAACATAAGTGGCAACAATTTCATCAACCCTGTACATCAGCTATGTTTAAATAGTAGCTACAAATTTGTATTTTTAAGTACACTTGACTTTCAGTTTTGTCCAAATTGCTTGTAAACACAATTATTACAGTTGCTGGAATAGTAAGTAGGAAAAAGGAAAATATTTGCAGAATTTTTTAGCAGCTCTAAGCAAGCAATAAACAATAATTTAACCTAACAACATTTTTTCTAAGGAGAAAACGTAAAAGTCACTAAGACTTCTGTCGTTGGCGTTGTTTTAACGATCGTCTTGCTACTATTCATTTTAAATTATTGTCAACATTAAAGTTTATTTTTCTTTTAGACTTTGAGAAATAATATTTTCATTTTGAGGTTGGGATAATGAAAAGATTGAGATATCATTAACATGAAGTTTATTTCATATCAGAATGAACCATAATGCATTGCCTTTGCCATAACAACATCAAACTTATGAATAAATTAATAATGATAGTATTGGCTGTCGTAGTTTTGTCCCTTGTAGTACTGTCCTTGAGGGTAGTACTGTTTAGCATAGTTGTACTGCGAGTTGTAGTGTTGTGGTTTGTACTGATGCTGATGATGTTGGTAATAGTTTTGTTTGTTGTAGTACTCTTGTTGGGAGTAATTAACTGCGTCAGCATCCCTGTGGTAGACTTTGGTTTCGTAGAAGTAACCATTGGGGATTTCGTAGAAGACTTGTCCGTAGTAGACGGGACGGTCGAAGGGATAACCCATTGGGTATCCATCAACGTATTGGTATCCAGAACCAACAACTGGTACTTCGGATTTCTGGTTCTTGTAAGGCACGTGTTTGGTGACGAAGACGTAGAATTGGTAAGGGAAACCTCCGTAAGTTCCTTTTGGTAGGTAGAACCTTTGTGGGAAACCGAACCAGAATTGGGTGTGGTGGTAGGATCCACGGTGTTCATCATCGCTGACACCCATAGCCTTTTGGTAGAGTTGGTAGTAGGAAGTCCTGTCGTGCATGTAGTTGAAGATCTCGCGGGAGTTCCTGGTGATGACATTTTGCCCAGATTTGAGCTTGTAGACAAAGTGGTCGAATTGGACAAAGTTCATCCAGTTTTCGGTCAAGTTGATGTAACGGCCGTACTCATCGTATTTAGGCCCAAAGAAGACTTTGACAACGGCGTCAGTGTCAACACTAGAGTCGACGTAGATCTTGTAGGTGAAGGGTTTGTAGTTGAGACGGTGTTGGGCCACTTGGACCTTGAAACTGTCTTGGACGAATTCCTCAGGAGTGACATAGACAGCACTGCTGATATCGGCGAAGTAGTAGTCGAAGTAGGTGACAAGACGGTCAAATTCGACATTCTTGACTTCCACACCTTCGAAGGCTAAATCGTGCTCAGTGTAGTACTTGTAGTGTTGAGCCTTGTATCTGAAGAAGTAAGTGATGAGTTTCTTGTACAACTGGTAGAAAGCAGGATCGCGCATCGAAGTTTCGAAATGTTCAAGAGCTGAAGGGTAGACTTTGCGGTAGGTCAAAGGTTGGAAAGAGTAACCCAACAAGTGGCGGGCGAACACATGGTAAGCACCATAGTAGTGGTAGTAGGGGGAGTCGGGGTTGCCTTCAACCAAGTTACCCAAAATGTTCAAACCTTCATGAGAGAACAAATCGACTTTGTCGCCAGATTTCTGCAAAATTTTAATTAGATTTGACAAACATGGACTTGAAGAAACTTACGGTGTAGACGTATCCACTGTCGATAACATCGCGAATCCTTCTTTCATAATCCTTGACAAAGGTGTAGCTATAAGCGTATTTGTTGTAGCCGTATTTTTGTCCGTAGTTGTAGAAATATTCGTACAAGTGGGCGTAGTTGGGCCTTGAGGGGAATTGGAGACCGTTGGGGTAGCACAAGTTGGGGTAGTACCCAGTTTCGAAAGGAACTTCCCAGTTGAAGTGATCAATTTCACCAAAACCGTTTGAGAGACGTTCCAAGTAGTACCTGGCCAAGATTTGTTGGTACATGTAGTAGAACACTTCACCACGATTGTCGTATTTCAAGTTGAATTCTTCACCACTCATCCAGAAGGGATAGTACAAGTTGTAGTAATAGTAGAAAGAGTTAACACCGACATCTTCAGTGAAGTACGACAAGGCTTGTTCAGGGTGCAAATTAAGGTAGTACCCAGAGTAGTTTGCGTAGATGGTTTGGTCGTTGTATTTAGCTCCATCAGCCCCACGGTACAATTGCTTGTAGTACTGAGCTTCTTGGATGACTTCAGTACTGTAGAAATAGTACGGGTAGACTTCGTAGATTGGTGGAAGGGCATAATAGTAGGTGTCAGGACGGTGGACCAGAGCAACAGAGACGGCATAAAGGTACATGCCTTCGTTGACGTGGTTCCTAGCCCAAACAGCGGTGTGGTAGAAAGTTTCATAAGTGTTGGCATAGTAGAAAAGCTTGAAGAGAGCGATGGCTTGGTACAAGTGCTCTTTGTGGAACACTGAGAAGATCTCGCCTCTGTGCAAGTACTTGCCGTAGTAGAAGTAGTTGTAGAATTCATCTACCACTTCGGGTTTCTATACAAAAAAATTCAGATATTTTAAAAAAACAAACAAAATTAAATTTTCTTACAGTGTAGTCAGACTTGTGTTCCCAGAATTTGTAACTGTTGGAAATTTCCACATGGTCAGGGTAGTAGCTTGGTTGGTTGATGTACTTGAATAAGCGGTAAATTTCCTTTTGCCTTTGTTGGTTGTATTCATGATGATAGTCTTTGAAAAAATATTTGGAATTTGTAAAAAAAACTAGTTATTGTGTCTTACCATTTCCAACAGAGACGGCCGAAACGGCGCAAAGGCCGGCCAATGCAGCTACCAAAAGGAATTTCATGTTTGTTGGTTGACCAACCACTGAGAATGATTTGCTTTTGCCTCGTACACTTTTTATATGATTTTGGATATCACCCTTTTTGACCCCATGATACTGCAGTACCTCAAATTATTCATTACGTAATTCGAGTTATCGCTATTTTTGATAGTTGCTAACTTAGGCTTATTCCATCTTGTCTTATCACATTCGTAATTAAAAAAATGTTTACCACTCTTGATGGCGTTAATGACCACGATGTTTTGCAGCCTATCACTAAACAACGATTACCATTTGAATTCAAAAAAATATCTTAATTTTTTGCATTTTACAGGTATTTTCAGAATTTCATTGTTATTTTTGTCAAGGTTTTCATGTTTGTCACAGTAATAGTAAATTTACTACGAGGTCAATAGTCTTTATCATATTTACGATTCAGAACAGATGTTTTAATTTATTATATAATACGATTAGACTTAATTAAAAACATATAAATAATATTTATAACAAATTAAAGTGATACAATATCACAGTTTTTCGGGCCAAATGTTACAGGATGCAGTTTTATCTTAAAAATGGTCGCATTTTATGACTTCAAAATTTTGCATCTTATTTTTGTAAAAAGGAAAAAAATAAATTTTTCTTCTCAAAAATAAAAGAAAAACATTTTTTACCAAAGACAACTTCAGACAATACAGTTGAGAAAAGAAAAAATTGAATTTTTTTATCACATACAAGGTGTTAAAAAAGATTGTAAAATATTTAAGGAGGTAATAGTAAAAACTAAACAAAAAAGTCTTAATAAACATAGGTCGGCAAAGTAACGGTTTCGGAGATATCGAATATAAAAATTTTTAGAATTTTTACTAGAAGCTTCTTTTTTTGTTTGAAGAAATTTAAAATAAATTTTTCAAAAAACAATTAATTTTCAAGATCTCCCAAACCATTACCCATGTTTATTAAGACTGTTGGTTTGTTTTGATCCATACTATTACCTCTTCAAATATTTTCCATTTTACAATTTTACACCCTGTATAAGGTGTAGATTAGAGAAACCAAAAGTAACTTTCTGTTGCAGTGTTAAAAAAGGGTTATCTTTTATGAAAAAATAATTCTAGATAAGTTAGAAAATATGTAGTTTATTAAAAAACAAGTTTCATAAGACCAGTCTCGATGCACGAATTTAAGTTAACAAAACGAGTGGCGTCGCCACGAGCTATCTAGAAAAATGAGTGCTTTAAAATCTTATGAAACGAGTTTTTGTACTTTTTTTTGTAATTAACTTTTTTGATGCCGTTTTTAAACAAAATTTTTTACATTAATCGGTTTAGGGATTTGGTAATGTTTTAATTTTAAAAGTCAAATTTGATCTAGGTGCATTTTGACTATTAAGACATCGCACATAATAACATCGTGTTGTTCAATATGTTTATTGGAGAATCAAAATGAAAGCAAATTATAAAAAAAATTAATTCAAATCAGATTTTTTTTCTGATTCATTTTAATTCTCATCCGTTGTATATAAATTAGTTGGAACAAAATTTAAAACATTTTCATGTTATAAATCTAGATAGAAAATCATAAGTTATCAAAGTAAAAGCTTTCGTCATAGAAAAGTATTATTTTAGGGCATCCACCCGCTTATTTTTTTGAGTGAGACTAAACATAATTTATTCTTATCAATTGCTGTTTTTATTTTTCTCGAATAATTTAAATGTAATTTTCCAGAATCCCACAACACTTGCTACAAAAATAAATCGATTGCGTATACACATTATCTTACTTAGGTACAACAATCTTAAAAATAAATGAGTGCTTAAATCATATCGTTAAGAGGTCACGGCTGCTGCAAGGGTTAAAGTAAATTTCATATAAAAAGGAAAAGCGACAAATTTGAATCATTCTCGTTGGTTGGTCTAACCACAAACATGAGATTCATTTTAGTAGCTGTACTAGCCGGCCTTTGCGCCGTTTCTGCGATCTCAACTAGTGGTAAGTAAATTTTTTCACCTATAAATTACAATTTTGACGATTTTGTGAAGAGTCTAGCAACTACTCACAACAACAAAGGGATGTGTGGAGACTCTTCAAATACATCAACCAACCAAGCTACTACAAAGACCACGTCGAGATTGCACACAGCTACAACTTCTACGACCACGCCAACAGTTATGCCGTAAGTTAAAAAAAATTAATTGTTTAGCTAGTTTAACTCAAATTTGGTTAGAAACCCGAAGTTGTCGAAGAATTCTACAAGTACTTCAAGTACGACACGTTCCTTCAACGTGGGGAAATCTTCTCAGTCTTCCACGGTGAACACTTGAAACAAGCCATTGCTTTGTTCAAATTGTTCTACTATGCTAACGACTTTGATACTTTCTACAAAACGGCCGTTTGGGCTCGTCAATACGTCAATGAAGGCCTGTTCTTGTACTCCTTCTCCGTCGCTTTGATCCACCGCCCTGACACTTACTACTTCTCTCTGCCACCAATCTACGAGATCTATCCTCATTATTTCTACAACTATGAAGTTATCCAGAAGGCCCAACACTACAAACAGATGTACTACGGCCAAGAAGGTGCTCATTATAATGACAGGACCATCTATGCTAACTATTCTGGATTCTACGTCAATGTTTACCCTGAACAAGCCTTGGCTTACTTCACTGAAGATGTTGGTATTAACTCTTTCTACTACTACTACAACTTGTACTATCCCTACTGGATGAGTGGTGAAGAATTCAACTTGAAATATGACAGCCGTGGTGAAATGTTCTACTACATGTACCAACAAATCTTGGCAAGGTACTACTTGGAACGCTTGTCGCATGGTTTTGGCGAAATTGACCATTTCGATTGGGAAGTACCTTTCGAGAGTGGTTACTACCCTTCAATGTGCTACCCCAATGGGCTCTATTTCCCCACAAGACACGCCTATGCTCACTTGTATGAATATTTCTACAACTATGGACAACATTATGGTTTCAACAAGTACGCCCATAGCTACACCCATATCAAAGATTACGAAAGGAGGATCCACGACGCCGTCGACAGTGGTTACGTCCATACCGTAAGTACTTTAAATGAGACTAAACCAAGGTTTTAATCGACAAAATTTCAGCACTCTGGTCAAAAAGTCGAAATTTTCTCCTATGAAGGTCTCCAAATTTTGGGTAACTTGATCGAAGGCAACCCCGACTCGCCCTACTACCACTATTATGGAGCTTACCAAGTCTTCGCTCGCCACTTGTTGGGCTACTCCCACCAACCCCTCACTTTCCACAAACTCCACCCTTCGGCCCTCGAACACTTTGAGACTTCCATGCGCGACCCTGCTTTCTACCAACTCTACAAGAAACTCCTTGGTTTCTTCTTCAGGTACAAGAGCCAACACTACCACTACTACGACGAACACGATTTGGCCTACCAAGGAGTCCATGTCAAACATGTCGAAGTTGACCCTCTTGTCACCTACTTTGACTACTTCTACGCCGATTTGAGCAACGCTGTTTACGTCACTCCTGAGGAATTCGTCCATGACAGTTTCAAGGTTCATGTTGCTCAAGAGCGTCTCAACCACAAACCTTTCACCTACAAGATCTACATTGATTCTGACAGGGATACCGAAGCCGTTGTCAAAGTCTTCCTTGGGCCTAAATACGACGAGTTTGGACGTTACATCAATTTGACCGAAAACTGGATGAACTTCGTCCAATTCGACCACTTTGTGTACAAATTCAAACCCGGAGAGAATGTAATTTCGAGGAACTCCCGCGAAATCTACAACTACATGCACGACAGGACTTCCTACTACGAATTGTACCAAAAGGCCTTCGGCGTGTACAACAAAGACCAACACTTCCAGTTCCACGACAACCAATTCTTCTTTGGCTTCCCACAAAGGTATTACTTGCCTAGAGGATCTCCCGAGGGAATGACCTACCAATTCTACGTCTTTGTGACCAAACACCACCCATACAAAGCCCATGATAAGGTACCAATGGTCGGTTCTGGCTCGCACTACGTTGATGCTTACCCAATGGGTTATCCCTTCGACCGTCCGGTCTACTACGAAGAGTTGTTCTACGCTCTCCCGAACTCCTACTTCCAGGATGTCAGGATTTACCACCAAGGACACACCTACGACCACCATGTCAACCATTTGATCGAAATGTAAAGTCTGATTTTATGATAATGGCAATGTATTGAGGTTAATTCTAGAAAATAAAGTGCAACAGTGATTCCGAATTTCTGATTTTTCATATCCTTGATATTCCGAGCGTCTCCCGACTTGCGTTTAATTTAAAAACAGAACATTATTACAGTCTCTCTCGCATGAGATAAGCTTGATATCTTTCCGAGATTTTAAATTTAGTTTGCATTGCTGTCCTGGAACAAGACTGACTGAAATTAGTCAATTTATTCGAAAAAATTACAAAACTGGAAGTGGAGCTTTTTTAATCAAAATCATCCCTCACATCTGAAACGTAAATCGAACTGACAGAAATGCTGATAAGGAGCATGGATCGTATTATGATAATAACACGGTTTCTCTTTGAATATGTTTTCGGAGCTTATCGGAGTGGAATTGTCACGTTATTTACACGAATTGATTATTTGAGAATTTGCTAATTTTCTGTACTTACAGATTTTAACAGTTTAAGCTTATTTGGTGCAAGGAAATGAGGTCAAATTACTTCTACTGAAATATTTAATTTAATCAGAGAGCCGAGAGAAAGGTGAAAATTATGCTAAAGCGAAAGAATTAAACATGTTAGGTTTGGGTGAGTTCACTTGATTCGGTTTTCTTGCGGCTTTCGCAGATTTTAGATTATTCGGATTCAACAAAGTTGCTTTTAACATAGCAAGAATACAAAAGAAAAATTACAATTCAATTTTAATTAAAAAAAAATTATATGTATATTATTATAAAATCTGTATACCTACTGAAAAAATCTATACTTAAAAATTACAGTTTTTTAACAAACGTCAAAAAAATTAGTCTACTTTATTTTTATGTTTGTGGTAATTTTGATACACTTTTTCCTTCAATAAACATAAAAAATATAAAACTTTGTATATTAATTTTTATTTATTTTACTTTTTCCTTTTTTACTTTATTATTTACCTTTTCTTTGTATTCTAAAGTTTTTTGGGTTTAATAATATTTTTACGTTGTGTTCCTTGACGCTTTTCTTGCAATTTTTTAGTCTCATTTTTTACGTACTTGTTTTTTTATTGTCATTATTTTTTAGTTTACATTATCTTTCATTTCTTTTAACTATTTGTGCTACTAATTTTTGCTTGTTTTTAATTAAAACATTTAAGATTTTTTTTGCATAGTGATTATGAAAGTTAAATTTTCATCACGATTAATCGTATATAGAAAGTTATACTTTTTAAACGATTTCTATAGTTGTATTTCTATAGTTATTTCTATAGTTTCTATAGAGTTCGTTACAAAGAGCTCGCGATACATTACGATTTGATTTATCAAATTGATGTCTTTTTCGTCTTTGGGGTTCTTGGGGTTATCACTATGCAAAAATTTTTTGTGTACAACTCGTTTTAAAAGTCGTTTTTTCACTCATTTACTTGAGTAACTCGGACAGAGCCCTCGTTAATCAACTGCAAATTTGTGAAAAAATGTATGACTTTCAAAACTAATTCTACAAATAACTATTTTACGTTACGTTCCTTAGCTTTTTTTTTCAGTCTCATTCTTTATATAGGTACTTCTCTTTTGTATTCTATTGCATTGTCATTATTTTTAAGTTTAAAGAATCTTTTATTTTTTTATCTATTTGTGCTACTAGTTTTTATTTGTTTTTAATTAAAACATTTAAAAAAAAAATTACGTTGCGATACATTACGATTTGATTTATCAAATTGATACCTTTTTGGTCTTTGGAGTTCTTGGGGTTAGCATTAAAATAAAAATAACTATTTTACGTTGTGTTCCTTAGCGCTTTTCTCTTCTTTTTTTCAGTCTCGTTTTTTATGTAGGTACTTTTGTATTTTTTTTATTGTCATTATTTTTAAGTTTACATTATCTTTCATTTCTTTTATCTTTTTTATCTATTTGTGCTGCTAATTTTTGTTTTTAATTAAAATATTTAAGAATCCTTGAGGAAAAAATAACGAATTCGTTTTTTTTGGGATATACTTTATTCTGTCTAAAAAAAGCAGAATTTTACATAGTTATGAAGTTAGACAAAAGATTTAGGTTTTCAAACATTGCGAAATCACTGATGGGCGGAAGTCGAAGCATTGATATCATCGGCATGTCTATGGTAAATCTTGGTAGTGTAGAAATGGGCATTTGGTACATTATGGAAGATCTGGTCGTAATGGATGGGTCGGTCGAAGGGATAACCAAAGGCATAATTATCGATATGATGAGCTCCTGAGCCCACCCTCGGATAGTAGTACTTGGAGGCATCATAACCCTCTTGGTGGTACTTGTAGGGCACATATGGGCTCACAATGACAAAGAACTGGAATTCTTGACCGCCGTAGTTACCTTTAGGCAAGAGGAACCTGGAAGAAAATTTCAAAATTTCCTGAAATCATTTAAACTAGACTAACCTTCTCGGGAATCCGAAATAGGCCTCGTTTGCGTTAACGTTAAACTCTCCGTTGCCGTTCAAAGCCCCTAGTACTTGTTTGTATAGTTGTCTATAGCTTGTGCGGTCATTCTGGTAGAAGTAGTTTTGATGAGAGTTCCTCTCGATGACATTTTCGCCCGATTTGAGTTGATATTTAAAGTGATCAACTTCGACAAAGTTGAGTCTATTGTGACTGATGTTGATGTAGCGGCCGTACTCGTCATACTTGGGCCCTAAGTAGACCCTCACCACGGCTTGTTGGTCCTTATCAGAACTGACATGAATCCTATAAGTGAAGGGTTTGTGGTTGAGGCGGTATTGGCGTACTCTGACTTGGATTTTCTCACTATCATACTCTTGAGGAGTGACATAAACAACATTACTGATATCGGTATAAAAATGATCAAAGTAGGTCAGAAGCCGGTCAAATTCGACCCTCTTGACCTCCACGCCTTGGAAGTACAAGTCTTGCTCGGTGTATGACGGCAAGTACGACTTGTACTTCTGGAAGTACAAAACGATACGCTTGTAGAACTGGTAGAAGGCAGGATCACGGAGGGACGTTTCGTAGTGTTGGAGGGCCGAAGGGGCGACGTGGTACTTGTCCAAGGGCTGGTATGAGTACCCCAAAAGGTGGCGAGCGTACACGTGAAGAGCCCCATAGAAGTGGCGATCGGGGGAATCAGGGTTGGACTCGATTAAGTTTCCAAGAACATTGATACCATCCTCAGAGTACAAATTAATTTTTTGACCATCATGCTGCAAAATTTGATCAAATTAGTGTTACTTTAACACACCACAAAAAAACTTACGGAAAAGACGTAACCACGATCGATAGCATCCCGAATTCTCCTTTCATAGTCTTGAACAAACGTGTAACTGTAAGCGTACTTGTTGTTACCATATTTTTGCCCATAGTTGTAGAAGTACTCATAGAGGTGGGCATGGTTTGGCCTGACTGGGAATGGCAAACCATTGGGGTACTGCAAGGAAGGGTAGTACCCATTTTCGAAGGGTACTTCATAGTTGAAGAAGGGAATTTCACCAAAATCGTTCGAGAGGCGTTCCAGGTAGTACCTAGCTAGGATTTGTTGGTATACGTAGTAATACTGTTCCCCACGACGGTCATGGTGGTAATCAAAGTCTTCACCACCCAACCAATGGGGGTAATAAATGTTGTAGTAGTAGTAGAAGGAGTTAACCCCCACGTCTTCAGTGAAGTACGCCAAGGACTGTTCCGGGTGCAAATTCAAGTAGAAACCCGAGTAATTCGCATTGATTGTATAACCATGTTCTTGGTTGTAGTACTGCTGCTTGTACCTGTAAGCCTCTTGGATCACTTCATTGTTGTAGAAATAATGGGGATAAATCTCGTAGATTGGGGGCAAAACAATTCCGTAAGTGTCTTCACGATGAACAATAGCAACAGAAAATGAGTACAAAAATAACCCTTCATTGACATGTTGTCTTGCCCAAACGGCAGTTTTATAAAACGTATCGTAGTCTTTAGCGTAATAGAAAAGTTTGTACAGGGCTATAGCTTGCTGCAGGTGCTCTTCGTAAAATACTGAAAAGACTTCACCTCTTGGGAGAAGTCCATATTCGTAGATTTGGTGGTAATGTCTTGCAACTTCAGGTTTCTGAAAAAAAAAAGTTTTAAAATTGTTTTGGAAAAAAATAGTTACGTACAGTGTAGTGGTCGTAGTGGTCATGAATGTGGAAATTCTGGGCTATTTCCACATGATCCTTGTAGTAACTTGGCTGGTTAACGTGTTTGAAAAGTCGAAGGATGTCTCTTTGCCTTTCGAGAAATTGTTTATTGCCTATAATAATAGTTAAGAAAAAGTTTAGGAAAAAGGACACTTACTGATTTTATGTTCCGGGAAAGCCAAAGCTAGGGCACAACAGCCAAGAATCGCCACTACAATGAACCTCATGATTGTTTGAGTGACCAAACAACAGTGTTAACTTCTTCGGATTGACTATACCTTTTATAGTGGAGAAGCGTTGACCCGTGATCCCTTTATTGATGTTTTTTCTTCCACATTAGTTCTCTTCCAGTGTGATAGCGTGGCCGAATTTTTCATATTTGTGATAAAACTAGACTTTATTGACATAACTTAGTAATTTGTTTAAGATTATTAATTTTCCATTATTGGTGTGTTCCAGAATTTGAGGAAATTTTGCTAATTCGGATTTATTTCCAATGTTATTGCAACTTGCAGTCGCTGATAAAGTGTGCCAAATCTCTGTCCTAGAATTCCTATCATTGATTTTTAAAATTGCTTCATTAATCACAAATCAGTATTTTACTGTCGGATTACATTTATCCAAATAAATTGCATTGCTTTTCTTAAATTATCAGAAGAACTAAAACTAAGTGGATTTATCTTGATGTCGTAAATAACCCCCTCAAGAATAATTTTCTGGTAAAGTGAAAACATTGTAGGAAGTGATTATTTAACAAAAAGATAAAATAAACAAAAGTTATAAATACAGTGAGCGGCAAAATTATGAAATAATCTTATTTATTAAAACTGAAAATATTTTGTTTTGACAAAAATGCTCAATTTTCAATTTAAAAAAATACAAGACTCTCATCTTGATTTAATATTGTATGTTTGTTTTTTGTTATATTATTTCATTTCTTTTTTGGAAAATTTTATGTAATATTTAATATTTTGATGTTGTCATTTATTAAAAAATCTATGAAATTCGTTAAGAAATTAGACGTTACTATTTAAACAAAAATGTCGCTTACGTCTTTACTCAAAATCCAAAATCTGTGAAATTTTAAATGAAGTAAAGGATTGTATATGTTTTAAAAAGAAAATTGATCTGTTCGATCAGTTTTGTCAAAACACAATATTTTCAGTTTTAATAAAATTATTCCATAATTTGGCCGCTCATTGTATATTTTTTAACATATCGGAAATAATATTTAAATATGCGATAAAAATAAAAATGTTAAGTTCCTCGAGTTTTAACACATGAGATGATCAAAGTGCGGTAGAGTAAAATAATATTAATATCGTATTGTTATTGAGTGTTCTTTATTTAAATAACAATAAATTTCATTTTATACAAAACTGATAAAAAAAACGAAACTATATCCATTTTTTCACCCTCTTAAATGAGATTTGCTGAAAGACATTTTTCTAAGAATTGTGGTAATTTTTTTTGTACATTGTGAAAATAGTAAATATTCTCCATATTTGATGACTTAACCACATACATATTTCAATTATGTAATTCGTTTTATTTCAATAAAAACTAAAAAATTATTTGTAGAATGTTTTTTTTTATATTTATAAACCCAACAAATTTTATGTCCAATGTCCATTCAATTCGTGAAACATTTACTCGTAATTCGATATCAAAAATGTTTCCGGTGCTTAAACAAACATATTTACAGGTCAATGATCACACACATTATTGAATTTTTATTTTATCTGCCCAAAAAAATCACGAGACAAATAAATTAAAATGCAAATAAAACTTTTCAGACTTTCTTAAATTAAAAAACTACAAAGACAGCGTCAAAGTTGTTTACATGCCGAAGCCAAGAGGAAATTCAAATACAAATAAATTCGATTAAAGTGATTATTTATTCAAAAAAATACATTTCATGACAAAAATCAAATTTTATTGAGTGGAGGCACTGGAAGCGTTGATGTCTTCGACATCCCGATGGTAGATTTTCGCACTGTAGATATAAGAATTGGGGATATTGTAGTAGACTTGGTCGTAGTAGACCGGGCGGTCGAAGGGGTAGCCCAGGGGGTAGTTGTCAAGGTACTGTGCACCACTTCCCACCCGCGGGTAGTAATATTTCGAGTCGGACTGTTGGCCTTGATAAGGCACGTATGGACTCACAATAACGTAAAATTGGTACTCGTAGCCTCCATAATTACCTTTAGGCAAAAGGAATCTACAAAAATAAGCCAAGTTCAAATTTTTTATTACCTGCGCGGGAATCCAAAATAGGCCTCGTTGGAGTCAACATTAAACTGTCCATTGCCGTTCAAAGCGCCTAAAACACTCTGGTACAGCTTTTGGTAACTCGTCCTGTCGTTTTGGTAGAAGTAACTCTGACGGGAGTTGCGTTCGATGGTGTTTTCACCGGCTTGGAGTTGGTACACAAAGTGGTCAAACTGGACGAAGTTTTGCCGATTTTGGCTTATATTAATGTAGCGTCCATATTCGTCGTATTTTGGGCCTAAGTAAATCCTCACACTGGCCTTTTGGGCTTGATTAGAGTTGACGTAGATTTTGTAAGTGAAGGCCTTGTGGTTGAGGCGGTATTGGCGTGCCCGGATTTGGACTTGCTCTCCATTGAACTCCTCCGGAGTGACGTAAATAGCGTTGCTCAAGTCCGAATAAAAATAATCGAAATATGTGACAAGTCGGTCAAATTGCACGTTGGTGACTTCTACTCCTTGGTAGGCCAAATCTTGCTCGGTGTAGGCCGATAAGTTGGCTTGGTACTGTTGGAAGTACAAAAGTACTCGCTTGTAAAACTGGTAGAAGGCCGGGTCGCGAAGCGACGTCTCAAAGTGTTCCAAGGCCGAAGGTGCGACTTGGTACTGGTTCAGGGGTTGGTACGAGTACCCCAAAAGGTGTCTCGCGTAGACTTGCAAAGCTCCGTAGTACTGATAGTTGGGCGAATCAGGGTTGGACTCAATTAAATTTCCAAGAATGTTAATGCCTTGTTGTGTGTACAAACTGACTTTTTGGCCTTCAGGGGTGTAAATGTAGCCTTGATCGATAGCATCCCGGATTCGTCTTTCATAGTCTTGAACCTTGGTGTAGCTATAAGCGTACTGGTTGTTACCATATTTTTGTCCATAATTGTAGAAATATTCGTAGAGATTGGCAAAATTGGGTCTTGCGGGGAAGGGCAAACCATTTGAGTATTGTAAAGATGGGTAATAACCAGTTTCAAGGGGTACTTCATAGTTGAAGAAGGGAATTTCACCAAAACCGTTCGAGAGCCGTTCCAGGTAGTACCTAGCTAGGATTTGTTGGTACACGTAGTAAAACAATTCACCTCTGAGGTCGTTCTCGTAGTTAAAATCTTGACCACCCAACCAAAACGGGTAGTAAATATTGTAATAATAATAAAATGAGTTAATCCCAACATCTTCAGTGAAGTACGACAAAGATTGCTCCGGGTTCAAGTTCAGGTAGTACCCAGAGTAGTTGGCATTAATAGTGTAACCATTGGAACCACCTCGTTGATTTTCACCGTAGTATTGTTGTTTGTACTGCGAAGCTTGTTGAATGACGTCATTGTTGAAAAAGTAGTACGGATAGACCTCGTAAATTGGGGGCAAAACAACCCCATAGGTGTCAGGTCTGTGCACTACTGCAACCGACAAGGAGTACAAATAAACGCCTTCGTTGACATTCTGGCGTGCCCAAACGGCCGTATTGTAGAACGTTTGGTAGTCCTTAGCGTAATAAAACAGCTTGTAGAGAGCTATAGCTTGTTGTAAGTGTTCTTGGTAAAAAACTGAAAAGACTTGGCCTCTGGGAAGCAAACCGTACTGGTAGATCTGGTAGTAGTACTTTGCAACTTCCTGGTTCTTTTAAAAAAATGTAAAAAAAATCTTTAATTTCTTTGGTACTTACAACATAGTTGTTGTAGTTTTGTTCAAAATTGAAATTTTGTGCAATTTCGATAAAGTCCTTGTAATAACTCGGTTGGTTGACGTACCGGAAGAGTCTCAGAATGTCTTTTTGCTTCTGGAGTAGCCCCTTATCAGCTAAATTTATGAATCAATCAATTGAAAAATTAAAATAAAGTCTTACTGATCTGCTGCTGGGGATAAGAAGAAGACAAGGCACACAGGCCCACCACAAGTGCCACAATGGTTAGTTTCATCTTTGTGTTTGATTTGACTCAAATTGTGATCCTTTTTATACAAAATTTAGCCCCCCTACAATTGTTGACCTCTGACAATTCGCAATTTTTACCACGCAATGACCATTTTGCTGATAAGTTGAACTCGTTCTTTTCGTCTGGGAGGATTTTTTTGACAGGAAATAGGACGGGTGATAAGGAGAAAAATTGGTTTCAGTTGTGACACCTCGACAAGATAAAAAACTTGATTTTCTTCCCGTTTTTACGAATTTTGAGGTGATTTTCAACATTTGGGTCTTATTGCATCATTTTTTATTTTCGATGAATGCTCATCTATATTTCTACATATGCCCAGGTTTCTTGGTCTATTTACTTGAATCATTTTTGAAAAGTCTTTTTGGGATAGACGAAATAGTCATTAAAGTATTTTACGTTTCTAGTGGGTGTTTCATAGTAAATAAATAATGTTGTATGCGCCCGGTCAAGGGTCATATTATTTATAAACTTTGAGTTGTAAAAAGTACGTTGTTAGTGTAAATTTATCAGACCTCCACAAAGAATTATCTCATTTACAAATTTTAAACCAAATATTTATTTAATTAATTAATAAGCAATCAAGGATCAATAATTATTATGATTAGCATTGCATCACTTCAATACTTGCTATTTTTTCCTCATACTCAAAACAAAAATTAAAAAATCGAAAAGTGATAAACATAGATTTTTTAAAACAAGACTCCGTGTTTTGATTTAAAATTTAATTTTGTAGGAACGAGTTTAAAAAAATAAAATTTTGTTAGTGAATTAATATTTTTACTTTGCAATAACAAATTGGAATAAATATACAAATGAGTAAACGTGACAGAGAATCGTAATCGGTCGATAACCTTTTGCTTTTTCATTGATAAATTTATTAAAATATTGCGTATTATATATTTATTTATCTAATACCTTCAACTTCTTAATAATTAATAATTTGAAACGTTATATCCATTTGTTAAATTTTGTCTCTACAACTTCGAACACTTTGCCCTAAATTATAATTAATAATTATTATTAATTGAAAAGAATATTTAATCTTTTTTCGGTAGGGGAAGGTCGGATAAGATAACGAAAATAACTTCTTTTTCTCAAACTTGAGAAATACATTTTTTTAATTATGACTTTAAACTAGAAAGTATAAGAAGATTTTGCCGAAACAATAACCCTTCTGCAACAAATAATAAAGACAGGAAAAATCGCCAAAGCTTAAGTTGATCATCTTTCGAATTTTCTCTACATCCAATTTTTCATTTTCTAACTTAGAATTTTTTTAAATCATTGAAATCTTCCACAATTTTCCAAAATTCTTCATAAATAAAAAGAGCAGTTGTTTTTCAAGTATATCTTTATTTGTGCACTTATTCCTTTCTAATAAAAACAATAAATTTCAAAAAGAAACATTTAAAAATAACAAAATCGCAACCAAATGTGGACAAGGTCTCCTCCTACACCATTTTATTTTTGAAGGTAGTTAATTTTGGTTTTGAGACAATAAAAAAAGAGTACAATTTTTTTTTACTTTGTTTTTTATTATTAATCAGTGCCACTCATGAGTTTTTAAATTTTAAATTGATACAGTAAACATTCCATTTTCCATATAAGTGGGTGGAAAACGGAAAATTCACATTCTGCCTATTCATGCCAAGCAAACAATCGTGTGTGAAGCTTGAGAGTTCACACTTGTCAACGTCAAATCCAGCATTCTAATTTGCAAAAGATTTTCATATTTTTTTTCTTTCAAAATAGAAAAAAATATTTACTTTTTAGCTTTTTATGACGGAAAATTCCAGCGGATTCGATACACGCTTATCACAATCAAATTTTTGCCCCAAGTTTAATGAACCTCCACACAGAGGGCATCTTAACGAACTTGACAAAACACAAAGTCATCAAAATGATAACAAAGCGACTCTAATTATCCTTATCAAAAAAAAAACGCAATGTCTCGCCATCCAAAAAAATCGCCGGACAAATTCCTCTCTCTTGAATAAGCTCAATCAGGCCACATTATCTGTTCTTAAGCCCCCGACCTGAAATGTTGTTTACTCTCTTAAAGAAAACAACTCGTGAATTTGTAGGTTAACATCCATGTAATTTTCCAATTGAATAAAACAAGCAAATCGATGAAAAAATTTATTTTCTTAAATAAATAGTACACTCGCACTATACAGATAAATTTAAAAATATGTATGATCAAAACATAAAATGTTTACACCACCTTATATCTAGCCTTATTGAACGAGTGATGACCCGCTGTTTGCAATTTAAGCAATTCTTCTTTAATTAGTCGAGTTATTTCGGCCTTTGCTTTAGCCACGGCGATATCAGACGTGCTCTCAATGGCCAAATACAATTTTCTTTCACCCTCTGGAGGATTTTTACCGTTTGGCACATACGTACCACGAACGGTAATCCCGGCCTCGGAATATTCCGAAATTTGCGCTAAAGCCTCCTGCAAGAAACTCAATTTTAAAGTCTGACAATTGAAAACAACCACAAGTTAATAACCAAGAGAAATAACTGAATAAATTAAAACCTCGACAAGTATAGACGAACAAAATAAAGTATTCAAATTAAAAGCCTCAACTTTGTTGGTTTCTACAAGTTTAATTAAAAACTCTTGATATTCTTATTTCAAAGAAATCGCGAAAATGCTTCAAAAACCAATTTCAAAATTAGCTTAACATTAATTTTCACCGATCAGCATGTTTTTAATGCTAAAATCGTAACAATTTCTGCTTTAATCATTCATTAAAATAAACCATCAAAAGCCCTAAAAGCCAATTAAAAAACATAAAAGTCGTACAAAGGTCGCTGGGATTAATTATAGAGCTTATCGGCAATATTTTCCATCAAAGATTTTTCCTCCATAAATTACGATAAAGCAACACATAAATTCAATAAAATTTATCAATTTTGAAAAACAAATAAAATATGGAAATTTTCTGTCAAATGCGACTTTTCCAACAGATAATTTAACTTTGTGTCAGTTTCTACGTAAAATAGAAAATAAACTTTTCCATACGACCCCTAAAGTTCGTTGAACTTCGAAGTGAATTCCGTGAAGAAAAAAGTTTTCACAGGATTTACATCATGTAGAAAGCGTCCGCAATTAAATTTATATAACGCGAGTAAAAATTTCAGAGTTGGATCGATGATCCAAACTCATTTCCGTTGCAAAAAAAAATGTATGGAAACAAGCCCCCAAATGTAATGCGAAACTTTATTAAGCAGGAAAGCGTCGACATTCGTGCACATTAATAATTTGAAATCGGAGCCGAATTAAAACTTTCCGTTCCGAATGGGTGAAAAATTTTGAGGAAAATTTTACCGAAGAAAAATTGTCAAAACTATTCTAATTTAATTAATTCAATAATGTAGTAATAACAAAAAAAAATCTTCTAAGAAAATATCCAATAATGGTCGTCACTTCACAGTCACAATCATTTTTTTAAGACCTTCACACCCCGATTTTACAAGAAATACTGAGTGAAAAACAAGTGGATAGATGAAATTTTAATCAAGCTGATGCAACTTTTCAATAACTTGCTGGAGTTTTTGATGATACAATTTTCCGATTGTGTTGCATCATGCTTTGAGTATTTTTTCCACAGCTCGTAACTCCAATTTTAATTTTCCTTTGTAGACAAAAAATGCAATAAATAAAACAGTTAGCCACTTATTAACCATTTTTAATTCAAATTTACCCTTACTTACACAACTTGTTTGATGCTAAGTTGACCAACCGTTCTAAGTTTTTTTACTTGTGTTTAGTAAAAAAAAAAAACGTTTTTGTCTTGATTTTTTCAATCGCGTTTGGGTTTTATGATTTCCCCCCTTCCAATAGAGATAAAGTGACGCTTTATTCCCTCGTTTTTGCCTAATAATCGGTATTTTTTCACTCAAAAATAAGTCAGTCAAAAAAGTCTTCATGCAGGCACTAATTTCAGTAATTTTATGACATGTTTCTTTCTTCAAAATATTTTTCATTATATTATAGTTTTTTGTTGTAATAGTTTTAACAATGAAGATTTAGATTAAAAACTAAAATTATTATGGCGTATTCGTATTTTCGCAGTTTTAAATGTCTTAACACACCAAAATTTCGCTCTGTATGAACACTTTCGTGACTGACTGTAAATGAAATATAATAATACCATATTTTACTCTTCAAATAAACTAGAATCGAATGAATGAAATCTTCTGAAAGTTTTTTGACAAAAACAAACTCCTTTATACAGATTTTTTCTCTTAAAATTTATTAATTAATTAATTGAACAAAAATGACCTCGGGATTCCTGCGGTCGCTTCTGGTATTACTTACATTCTCGGAATTAAAATAGTTGTTTATTCCCTTAATACTGTTTTTGCCATTAGAGTATTTAAGTCATAACAAAAAAACAGAAATGAAAAAAAAAACAAAAAGTGAGCCGTTTAATAAGTTTTTTTTTATTTAGATCAACATAAATTTTTGATTATTTAAAATCGCAGGGCCATGACTAAAATTTTTTGTTAAATTTGCAGATACTTACTTATTTGTTTTTCTACTTTTTTGTAAGTTTCGTGTTTTGTAATAATTTATTAATAATAAAATGTATATTCTTTTTTAACGTCAAGTGTATAATTTATATATTTTTTGTATTATTTTTCATTCTCCTGGTTTTATTTCATTCATAGTTGTCTCCTGTATTGGAGTAAAATTTTTCGGAATGAATAAATACCAACAACAGATTTATTACATCACCAACAAAAAATGTTTAACTTACTTGAATCGAAAAAAAAATCAAACAAGCATTAAATAAAAAATATATTTGTTCCAAAATGCCAATACTAACCTTTGAGGTAACCCTCCACCTCGCCTGCTGCGGGAAATCATTAATCTCCAACTCCTCCTCATACTTCCTAAACGTCTGTTCATTATCAATATCGTCCCTCTCGTCATCATCCTTCGGCTGATAATTCAACTTTGTATTCAACTTCGCCGCCAACTGTTCCGCGACCGTTTTAGCAGTAATCGGTAACGAACTACTACTCCCTTTTAGGATACTCTCCGCCGCTTGCTGCGTCGCAAACTTCGTATCCAGACTGATATTTTTCGACAGATTGATCCTCGACGCCAACCTCTTCGCCAATTCCAACTTATCCATCGCCGTTTGCGTATTCATCGCTGCTGGATTTATCAACCCTAGCGGCGCTTTAATCTCCTTCACAGTGCGTTTCGTAGCAAACATACTTTCGATATGTTGGTCAATATCATGTTCCAAGTCCTCATCATCAGAATCAGCGAGTCCTAAAGCAGCCTTCTGGAATTTTTTACGCTCAGTTACAGCCGCAGCTTCATTTTCGTCGAATTTGAAACCTTTCCCGCTGAAACCACCCCCGGTGTGAACCTTTTTACCTTCAGCTTCTTGCTTGGACTTGTACGAGTCCCAAAGGTTCCTCAAAGGCTCCGGAACAGTGACTGAAGCGAGTTCAAAGGCTCTGATTATATCACCGGCGTATCTGGATTGCTCGGGGGTAATAAAAGTGTAAGCGAAACCTTTATTACCGGCCCGACCTGTCCTACCACATCTATGGACGTAGTCCTCGTAGTGGTTAGGACAATCGTAGTTTACAACAAGGATCAAATGTTTGACATCGAGGCCTCGCGCCGCCACTGAAGTGGCAATCAAAAGTTTGACTTTTCCACTCTTGAAATCAATAATGGTAGAATCACGATCGAATTGGTCAATACCTCCATGAAGACTCAAGCAATTGTAAGCCGCTTTCATCAATTCTTTTAATAAAATATCGGCGTTTTCCTGCTTGTCGACAAACACTATTATACTGCCGTGTTCATGGTAGAGTCCTAACAACTCCAACAACTTTAAAAACTTCTGATCCTCTTCGAGGATCACGACATGTTGTTCCACGTCCTTGCAGACAACCGATCGTCCACCCACTTGGACTTCGATCGGTTTTTGTAGTATACGTCTCGCTAGCGCTTCCATCTGTCGCGGAAATGTCGCACTAAACATGACAGTCTGTCGGTCAGGTCTCACATTATCAATAATTCGCATAACTTGCGGCTCAAACCCCATATCAAACATCCTATCCGCCTCATCTAGCACAATATACGTCACTCGTCTCAAATTGGTAACCTTGCCTCCATTCGCCGCCAACATATCGATCATTCTTCCCGGTGTACATACAATAATTTCCGCCCCACGTTTCAATTCGGCGATCTGTTCGGATATCCCGGTGCCCCCATACACGCACACCGCGTGCAAATTCAAACTCTTTGTAAACTTCTTGATGTCTTTGCCGATTTGCATGCACAGTTCGCGAGTTGGAGTCATGATTATGGCAATGGGGCCGTCGGTTTCCTCCAAAGAGGGTTGGTCGAGAATGTGACGGAACATGGGCAACAGGAAAGCGAGTGTTTTCCCACTTCCGGTTTTCGCAATGCCGATTAAATCGCGACCGGACATTATCGCAGGGATGGCTTGGACTTGGATAGGGGTGGGTTTCTCAAAGCCGAGCTTTTTGAGGATGTTGAGTTCTTTGGTCGAGACGCCGCATTGGGCCCACGTTTTGATCGGCTTGGGACAGCCTTTGCCTGTAAGAAAGTTTTGGCTAATCAATAATAAAAAAAGACTCACGGGATCACTTACAGCCTACTTATAATCATATAAAAACGCAAAACAAAACAATTATAAAATCAGAAAAACAATTGAGAATAAACTTTTTTCAGAGCATCAGAATTTTCCATTCTTTGTAGAAAGTTTGTAACCTTTTTAAAAAACTGATGTCTTAAAAAATAAAGAAAGTCTAATGCATACTTCTAATTATGCAAAGAAAAAATTCCTCTACTTCAAGATTTAATAAAAATTTTGTTTTTTTTTTCAATTTCGATACAAATGCACTTCTAGGATAAGAAACGTTGTAGAAACGTAAAAAAATATTTCTAGCTATTTATTCTACGAGTTTGAGTGTAAATCGGACGTATAATTACACCGAGTGGATTTTTAAACGACTCGTTACACTCGTGGATTATCATTCACGAGGTGGAATAAAGCGTCCGATTTACATTCAAACGAGTTGAATACAACATTTTATTCTTCCAATTAGACTCAACAAAGCCTACACTTGCGTTAAATTAAAAAAAAAATAATCTGACGTTTCGTATTGAGAAATGCCAAACAGTTGTCAAAACTTCCTTTCGGGAGAAAAACCGTAAATTTGGGCAGTGTCGAAGAATAATGTTTTTTTTTATTTGAATGAATACAGGTTGTCCGGAAAAAAAACATTGAAAAAAAGTTCCTACTTCCTAAGGACCTATGTCCGAAAATGCATTCTAAAGGATATAGGGCGATATGAAAAACCTCACTGTATGAGTTGCTTTCCGGAATAAAAATCGATGCATGGTTTAAAAAACTTTAAAGAAAATTAGCCAATATATCCAATTCTGTAAAAACAAACAAAAAACCTTCTTCCAAAAATTCTAAATATAATTAATTAATTACAAACACACAATTTTTGATGTCACCAATAAATTCAGCGCCAAAAAATTACTCCAGATACAAACTTTTGTAAATTTATGTCCACCGGTTACTGAAATGATTTAAAAAAAGGCTTTTGCCCGCCATCTTCAGGAGGTTTTAGCTTCCTCAAGAAGCTTTTCCGAACATAGATCTACTCTACAGTGCGATCACAAAGTCTTTCTATCAAGTAGACGTCCTAGTTGAGGACGTATGGCAACGTATGACGTTGCATGGCAGTTCGTATGTTATCTAGATGTCAAAAAATTATTTTATAAAAATTAAAACATTGAGCTAATTAAATTGAATTATTCTATGAAACGTCTCAAAACAAACTAAAATAAGATTTTGTTGGTGTTTATTCATAAAAATCGTTCACTACGGTTTCCTGTCATAATTTACATAAAAAATATTTTAACATTTCTCATTTGTCATTGTGATATTTTATCTTCCACAGACATACGTTTTAAATCTCTACGCTTGCTTGATAGACAGACTTTTTGATCGTACTGTATAAGAACTATTTTTCTTATTTTAATCTAGGGAACCACCTTTAGAATCTTTAAACGTTTTTTACACCTGTATATTAATTAAAGCAGAGGACGTAGTGACGCAGAAACATAAAGTCCGAGATTGAAACCCCGGACAAGTCAGCAATTTTTCTCTAATACTAATAAGCATAATAATTAATATGAGAGCATAAGCGCATAAGAGCAAAGTATAATAAAAAAATATGTGAGATGTTTTTAACAAAAAATCAATTTTTTTTTTGTGTTTCTAAGATGCTACCTGTAAATGGGTACTTCTGAAAATGACCACAAAACCTATGTTTTATAGCCGTTGAAAAGCAAAAAAATCTACATACATCTTCAACATAAACCAGAAACTACTCATCCTTACATCCTGTTTATTTTTAAAATTGCTTCAACAAAAATATGGAATCTTAAAATTGAGCACAGGTAAATCAAAATAGAGAAATAATTACTGATTTATTAATTAATGTTGTACGTATTTCGAGGTGGAATTGCGTTTTTATAACGTGTTAGAATAAAAAAATATATACAGGATGATTTTTAAAAAACGGAAGGTGCTGCAGAATATTTATTTACGGTTCTTTACTTTAGTATAAGTTGACAATTTTACAATTTTTCTAAATGTCATAGTATACATATTTTGAGCTATATTTAACTTTCTTACTTTAAATTGAAACCCATCATATTTTTTTTATTAAAATTTGGAAGATATTAATTTTCTTGGCACAGACGTGTGCAATTTGTACTTCTTTTACTAAAAATTATCTTTTTCAATATCAAAGTTGAAAATATTAATAAAAATTAATAAAATCTGGTTGCATGGTGTCAATAAAAAAATTGACGTTAATAATAATCTTTTTAAAAATAAACAAAATAAATAAGTATAATAAAATAAGTTATTAACACTAAATTAGATGTTTTTCTGAATTGTTATAGGTTAAAGCAAGTATTATTGTCATTTCTTTTTAAAAATTTGGAAAAACATTGGCAATATTTTCTTTCATTTGTTGCTTTTTAACATTGCAAAAATGACATTGTCTTATTTGACACCATGCAACCAGATTTTATTAATCTTTTTTTCAACCTTGATATTTTTTTAAAAACAATAATTTTAAGTAATATTACACATGTCTGTACTAAGAAAACTAACACCTTCCAAATTACGATAAAAACTATGGGTCCCAATTTAAAATAAGAAAATTGAATATAGCCCAAAATATAATATGACATTTAAAAAATTTTTAAAATCGTCAGCTTATACTAAATCAAAATCCATTTAATTATTGTTTTTAATCTTTGAAATCGGACCATAAATAAAAATTCTACAGCGCCTGCCGTTTTGCAAAAATCACCCTGTATTTAGCAAATTTCAGTAATTTTTTAGTAAAGTTATGTCGTGCGCTTTTTCCTCCAGCCAATTTTTTTGTTAAAAATCCGTCAGAATGAATTTCGATGCACGTCTCGAATTGAGTGCCACCACCCTCGCGACACTATTGATGAAAATTAAAACAATAAAACCTTTACGTCCCAATAATCGGATTTATTAGCGCGTCGTTCCATTATTAAAAATCTATACAGCCTCTGATGCAAACAAAGTCTTAAAATTCCTGTTTCGTGTTCAATATTATTGCCTCGTCAAGCGTAACACTGAGATAAAAGGAGAGACGACGATTGTACGACTCTCGAACCCTTGATTGTATTTCTTTATGCTCGATACACTCTCCCAAGTTAACTAATTAGGACACGATAACAGCTCGGCTTATGAATCGACTACTACGAAACTTTACTCACAAAAACCCCTCAATAGTTTCGCTGCTAGTAAATTAATCACGAGGAATTTTTCAGTTTAAAATGCAACCATAAAACTAGTCGACAATGCGGATTAGAGCACGTTGTTTAGCAAGAGATTAAAGCTTCTGTACAAACTTTAATAACACAATTCGTGCAAGGTAAGCCACTCGAAACTCATACAACGGACGCTTAAAGCAGCACAAGTGCTTTTTACGATAATAAAATTCAGATACGAGTTTTTCGCTTGCTTCAGACGTTATTAAAAATTATTTAGACTTTTGCATTACTTCAAAAATAACCAATACGACTTCCGTATATTGAAAATTCTCCCGCGTTGTAAATTATTTTCGCTCGAGTATATAATTTATCAAGGGTCGCATCCGACGTCACCCTGTGTAGACATTAATTTTTAGAAACGTGGTAAACAGAAATTCCACAGCAAGACATTATTTCGTCTACATATAAATTAGAGTTTATTGATCCGAGATGCCGAGCTGTCCCGGATCGTAACCAGAAATGTGAGCAAAAATTGTGTTTGTTGCTCGATTTTCGAAACGTAAAATTTATACCTTTGTTGAAAGAGGGAAAAGAAAACGTATTTGGCGATTTATTTCCGGTGAATGGAGCGATCCTGGAAATCTGCATTTTAACAATACAACTGGCAAAAATACGAGTCTTTTGTTAAAATTGGAATACTCTAAAAAATTGAGTGTTCCGAGAGGTAAACCGCAACCCAAAATTTTTCCCTAATTGATTGAAAAAAACCCTGCATACAACACCAACTTACCTTTCACTCTAATTCCCTCCATCTCCTCCTTGTAAGCCTCCACCTCCTCGTGCGTCATCTTGGCAATTTCGGGCACCTCCACATAAAAACTCTTCCTAAACGGCAAATATCTGACCATATTGTGGTCAATTTTCGCCAACTCCTTCTTCTGCTTATTCACAATACTCGCGGCTGTGTCCTTCAAATCCTCAATTTCCTCCTCGGAGGAGTACTCCAACCCGTCTTGATTCTGCTCAATCAACTCCCCCTTATTTTTATTAACTTTCGATTTCGCCACTCCTGTTACAATAACTAAGGCACCTTTTTTATTCCCCGACTCAGTTTTGGGTTTCTTCATATCAAGTTTGTGCGTCTTTCTCACTTCCTCTTGAACACCTCTCATATACTCGTCCAAGGGGTCAACTTCCTCTTCCTCTTCCTCTTTCGCCTCTTCCTCTTGTGGTGGTGCTTCACCGTTGGTCTCCTCTTCAACTTTTTCTTCTTTAGCTTCGCCCTTGTCCTCCTTGTCTTTGTCCTCGTCTTCGGAGTCGTTTTCCAAGGACCATTTTTTGGCAGTGGCTTCGTCGGTGGATGCGGTTGCATTCGGAGTGTCTTTCTTCATTTCTTCTTCTTTTTTCTTGCGCTCGGCGCGCCAGCGTTCGATGCGTTCGCGGCGTTTTTGCATCTCCAATTCAAGCTTTTTTTGCTCTTCTTCCTTGTCGAGATTCGCCGGGTCGAAAGCCAGGCCCGAATCATCGCCTTTTTTGCGGTCTGTTGAGCGGGAGCGTGATCTGGACTTGTCTCGTCGACGAGATTTGCTGCTTCCAGAACCGCGCTTCTCCTTACTGTCACCCCTGCAAAATTATTTTTGATTACAAAGAAAATTAAAGTTGATTGATACCTTCTACGATCCCTGTCTCGACTGTAAGAACGTCTGTCACGTTCCCTTCTCTCGCGAGACCGACTGCGTCTATTATCCCTAGATCTGCTTCGACGATATCTGCTAGATCTAGATCTGTCTTTGCTTCGGGACCGCGAACGGCGGCGCTTTCTATCAGGAGAACGACTCCTGTCGCGTCTAAAAACAAGAGATAAAAGTGAGGTTAGCTTCGCAAAACTTACAAAATTTCAACACAACATGTTAACTACTAATTCACTTACCCTCCCCGTACCATACTCCGACTTTTTTTTTCGTTAAAATTGTCTCAAAATCAACTAAACATAAGGTTTTGTACCCGCAACATAACCTAATTTTTGTTTACGAAATTACAGGTTCCTGCAAGCATTGATAAAGAAGGGGTCGGTAATAACGACCAACACCCGGGAAAATAAAACTCGTAATTGAATGATCAATTTATTGGAAAATAAGTTATTATAACACTAATCTGCATGTTCATGCTGGGCGTGGGCTTCTGACTCCCGCCAGTTGCTCTGAATCGTCTCAACAATCCATTTCCAGCACTTGGATTTTGTAAAATAATAAGCTCCACACATCGTGATAAAAATCCATGAAATGATGAGAAAAATATCAAATTCTCGTGCAGGGACACTCGTGACAGGTCCTTTGAAATCTGCTGAGGTCACAATTGACTTTTCAGCAGCCGCAATTCCCGTGTGTTTGTTCAAAAATCTCGAAAAAAGCTCAAGTGTGTATTCAGATTCATTGAATTTAGCGACAGGTCTCCCGTTATGAAACAGCATTAATGTGGGGACCCCCACAATTCCGTTCTGTGTATTGAAAAGTCGATAAGCTAGTGCGTTAATAGCCACCATTTTAATGTCAGGGAAAGCCCGTGGTAGGGCGTTGAAATGAGGGGCTGCCATGCTTGAAAAAGGGCAGTATTTTGAGTAAAACAGCACTAAGATGCACCCCGCAAGGGTGTCGCGACTGGTAATGTTGCTTTGAGTGAAGAGAAGCTTGATGAGTTCAGTGTCGTTGACTAATTGGACTTCGGAGCCTCCGAAATCGGGTAAACATTGTACCAGTTTCAGGGTTTTGTTAGAGGTTTCTGTTGTGTTTGCTACAGTAGCATTGTTCGTGGAGTTGGTGAATGAAGTGAGATTGTTGGAGATGTCTTCCACGGTTAATTCAGTCTCAGTGGGATCCTCCACTTGGACTTCGCTCTTCTCGCAAAATGTCAAATGTGAGGTTAAGACTAAAAAGTTATTTATAATGCTGTTGCAATAAAAAAGCACTTACTTATGAAGAAAAAAATTAAACAATTTCGTGTAGAAAAAGCCATTTCGTAACTTTATTTTATCATTTTCGAATTAGTGATTTTGTAAGCTAAAAACTCTAAAGCAGGATTTGCAGAAATACAGAAACAACGAATTATGATGTCTGACGTTTCAAGAAATTTAAATTTTAAGAAATTTGTTTAAAAGAGTATGTAAACAGAACAAAGTTATACTCAAAAGTTTTTCTCCAGAAGTCCGAGACCAAATAGGCAACGTTCTTTCAACTCTTATCAGTCCTATCGCATATGCATGTTATTATCAAGTTTGCAATAATTTTAGTATAACTAAAAATACCAACGTCAACTGACATCTGCTGTAAAAAACAAGTAATGTCAATTAAAATATAAAACATTTTTAATTACCATTGTTTGAAGGATGCAAAGTGCGTGTGAACGCATTAATTATGTACCTTTTCCTAAAAATTTACTAGTTTTTCAAATTTTGTTTCAATCAAATTGTATTCACTGTTTTAATATTTCTTGCAAATATGTAAAAACAATGAGCGTTACTTACTATCGCTGTTATCACTTATCACTTTAAACTACAAGTTTGCATTTACTGTAAGCCAAGAAAAGCTTTTTTTCGTATATGTATTCAAGGCAATTTTCAGATTTTCAGAAAAACATTTGTTCGTATGCTTTTGTTTTGTGGCAAATGAGCAGTTAAATGAAGTTCAATAAATTTATTTTATTGTAAGACCGCACAAAAAACTATTTGAAATCATTTATTTTTTCTTATTCTCTTTTACACAGTTAATTCCGCCGGCATTTCCTTGCCCCCCAACGCTGTTAAAATATTATTAGCTGTAAGAACTGCCATCTGATTCCTTGTCTCAATGCAAGCACTCCCAATATGCGGCAAAATGACGCAATTTTTTAGCCCCAAAAGAGGATGATCCAAAGGCAAAGGCTCCGGAGTCATCACATCTAACCCTGCTCCCCAAATCTCACCATCTTTGAGCGCCCTAACCAAAGCATCTTGATCAACAACACCCCCTCGACTCGTATTAACAAAAACTGCACTCTTTTTCATTTTTTTAAACGCCCCCTCATTGAACATTTCCTTCGTTTCTGGTGTCAGTGCACAACAAACCACCACAAAATCGCTCTGTGAGAGCAACTCGTCAAAGGTGACTTTCTTAGCCCCGATTTCCTCAGCCTCTTTCCTGACCGATCTATTGAAATAGAGAATTTGTCTCGTATTGAACGGTTTAAGCCGCTTTGCCACCTCCTGGCCAATTCGGCCAAACCCCACGATACCCACAGTGGACCCGCCTAAGCCCGGACCACACATCCAAAATGGGGCCCACGCTTGCCAGCCCCCAGTCCGGGCCTCGTGATTAGCCTCAAGGAGGCGTCGACTTGTGGCCAAAAGCAAAGCCACGGTCAATTCAGCTGTAGCATCAGTGAGAATGTCGGGGGTGTACCCGATTTTAATTTGGCGCTTTTTAATCTCGGGGATTTCCAGATGGTCGTAACCGACCGACATTGTTGCTATCACTTTAAGCTTGTTGGCTTTTTCGAGCACTTCTTTATCGATCTTGTCGGTAAGCATGCAAAAAAGGGCGTCTTTGTTAGCGATGTTTTTCAAAAGTTCGGCCCGCGGAACTGGATCCGACCCTGGCCATGATGTTATGTCACAACTGTCAAAAAACAATTTTGGGGTTAGGTTTACTTTTCTTATATTTTTTTTGACTATTGGGGTACTTACGTCGCTGATAATAATTTAAGGGCCTCTTCGTTAATTTTGCGTGTTATATAGACGGCCGGTCGGGTCATTTTTGGGCTGTTTGTGTGAATTTGGGTTTTTTGCACAAGAACTGTCAGACTCGACTTTGGATGAAATCGGCGAGAAGTGATGGTAATAATTGCCGAAAGTCGAGTTGTAACAAGACAGAACCCATATTGTAAGGTCATTTTTGTGATAATTTTAAATTTCGTTGTAATTATACCGATAAAAGTTTAGTGGGGTCAGGTTGGTATTTCATTAACAGAGCGGTAGTTTTAAATTTTTATTAAAAAATAAATAATTGACAATACTGTCTAAAATATAATACTTATGAATTTTTAGCAAGGTCAACGGCAGCCTTAAACGTGTTATGCATGAGCATTGCGACAGTCATGGGGCCTACGCCCCCCGGAACTGGCGTAATGTGTCCTGCGATTTTGCTAACACCTTCAAAATCGACATCGCCGACAATTTTGCTCTTCCCTTCAGGAGTCGTAATCCTCGTAATCCCCACATCGATCACACAAGCCCCCGGCTTGACCATATTCGGTTTAATCAACCCCACAACCCCCGTGGCACTTATAATAATATCAGCCCTCTTGGCGAAAAACTCCAACTCCTCCAACGGCGTATTCCTATGGCACAGCACCACTGTGGCCTCCGCCCCCGACAGCTCATTCCTCGCATCCGAATGCAACATCATGGCCATGGGCAGCCCCACGTTCTTCGAGCGTCCGCAAATCAGCACATTTTTGCCAAAAGTCTTGATATTCGAGCGCTTGATCAGCTCGATGACCCCCAGAGCCGTCGCGGGGACAAACGTGTCCATGTTGAGGGTGAGTTTCCCCACGTTGAGGATGTGGAAGCCGTCCACGTCCTTCTTGGGGTCCACCGCGTTGCACACGTTTCGTTCGTCGACGCCTTCAGGCACCGGGAGTTGGACGAGGATGCCGTCCACATTGGGGTCCTGGTTCAGCTGGTGCACCTTGGCTATGATTTCCGCCTCGGTGGAGGTCTTCGGGAGGCGGATGGTCTCGCTGGTGATGCCGACGTTGCGCGCCGCCAGCATTTTATTGTGGACATATTTTTGACTCGCGGGATCTTCGCCCACCAGCACGGCGATCAGGACGGGGCGACGGTGCCCCGAACTCACCCATTCGTCCACTTTCACCTTCAGCTCCTTCTGGAAGTCTTGAGAGATTTTCTTACCATCGATCAACTTCGCTTGAGTGCTAGAAAAAATTCAATTAGTCAAATTCCAAAATTTTGGAAAAAAACATACTCCCAACGCATTTTTTTGAGTTTTTTTTTAACAATTCCCACTAAACTAGATCTGAATTAATCAGAAGTGGTCAATTAACTAGTGAGTCAAGGCTGCAGCTTTGCTTTTTATACAAGATATTGAGGATACGATTTTTAAAAATAGATTGCACAAGACTGGTAAAAACATGATAAAGATTACCCCCCATGAATGTTACATCAGGCGTCACGAGACCACGAAGACTTTCTTTGCTTTTTATACAAGATATAGAGGATACGATTTTTAAAAATAGACTCCACAAGACTGGTAAAAAACATGATACAGATTAGGTACCCCCCATGAATGTTACATCAGCCGTCACGAGACCATGCAGACTTACTGTTAATTGCTTCACTTGGGGATTTCTTAATCACGATAACATAAGGAAATTGACGTCAAATGTTTAAATTACCTCTGAAAATATTTTTGTGATGCTGAAACGTTCCAAACAGTTAAATTGCGGCTAGAAAACCTCAATAGAGTCAAACAATTTCGTATCATTGTCAAAAAATGTAGCACTCGACAGGTACAACAAATTAATTTGATTGATTAAAATGACAAAATTCATGTCAGGTAGATTCAGATTTGCGATAAACTGATTGATTTTTGCACAATTTCCGCGATTTCGTAAAATTTTCCTGATTAGAAACAGATTTTTTCCTTTTAAAATTCAACATTTTTTAAGGTTAGGGCATTCTACATATCACACGTGACACCTGTCACATTGCTCCAAATTTAACTTAATTTTTCATAATTGAAATAAAAAGGGTGTGTGTCTGTTTGCATTATGGATAATTTCTATAAACTTCTCCCGATCGAAGGTAGATTTCCTTTGCAAATGCAGTTTTTTTAGGTTAGAGTTTTCCACATGTCACATTGACACCTGTCAAATTCCTCCAAATTTAAGTTAATTAAGTACTCTTAATTAGAATAAAAAAGGGCGTGTGCGTGTGCTTATCGCAACCAAAGTTAGTTCTTATCGGTCATTGGGCAATAAATCGTCAAAACAAGTTTATGATAATGCGAGACACGTCACGGAGCGTCACAGATGTGCTCTTAAAAATTAGTAGTCACAAGTTTGATAATTTCAATTGAGATTACTTACTTGGAACTTTCCGATGGGTGATGGGACTGGTCCGACATTTTCCACTAGGTACTAACTACTAAAGGAATAAAAAGTTGATAAAGTGATAACGGGACTTGTCAGTCTGCAAATTTCTTCATGGGCTTTACCTGAGATAAGTGGCCACGTTGCCAGACGTATTGCCCATTAGATAAATTATTTTAACCTTGTGAGGGTATTAAGTTAGACTCCAATTAGAGTTTTGATTGTTTGCAAATGAGTTTATAAACGTATTGTACTTATAATACGGTTACTACAAAAATATAAAATTTTTTGATCACTACCTACCCACTGCAGCAATTGGCTACTTGGTTTTCGAATCCTAATTAATTAATTTTAATTAATTACTTAATTAAATTTTGTTTTTTTTTGCGTGTTTTTTTGAGTTTTTGAAGTGAGTTCATATTTTATTATCTATAAATGTAACTATTTGAAATCGTTTATTCTTTATTTATCCATTTTCATAGACGGAAATTAAGTAATTCTTAAAGTACATTTATTATAATAAAAACGCACTCAAACAATTTACTTTTTTGATAAAATAATTTGAAAGTTAGGAATTTGATCTCTAAAATTAGTAAAATTCCACCAAGAGTTAATTAACCCGTGTTGTTTTTAATATTTTTCCATGTTTCGAACATAAAAATGATTGCATCAGTAATACTCCTATCATTTTTGTCGATTAATTGGTGTAGATGGTTTCCTAAAATGTATTTGAGGAGCAGACTTTCAAAATGCAGTTTGTCCATGTTTTTATTGAATTGACATAAAGGTTTTTAAAGTTTTTTTGTAAAATGCCTAAAAACTCCAGCCGTAAAATTAGTGTCCAATTGTGTCCAATTTGTACAAATTTTTTCACATTTATTGTCACTTATAATTACACGAGAGCTTTTTTTTCGAAGTAAACTTGTCATTTTAATGAGAATTTTGTTTTCTGGCAATTTAATGAAAAAAACTGTTACTCGTAGGACGAGTAATTTTTTCTGGTAGTTTTTTGAGTTAAATTTCCTAAAGGAAACAAAACTCGAATTAAAAATGTCAAGTTTTCTTCGTAAAAAAAAAGCTTGAGAATCAGTGGCTTGAGTGTAATTCGGTCAGACAATTTAATGAATACATAAATCCGATAATGCGGACCTACTAGATTCAGACGCTTTCAAAAGTTAGGTTCCGTTTTGTCGCTGTAATAGCTATAGTTGGTACCAACAATATTTGAGACCCATTATAGAATAAGACGATTACCCCCCACGGTGGTTCATGGGGCTTGCGGTAGAGATGCCATAAACAAATTTGCATTTCTTAGGACAGGCACGTTTCAAAGGTTTGTAGGAAGGATGGTCCGTAACAGAAATTTGTTTTTGGGCTTTCATCAAAAAAAAAAATTAAATTAATTTTAATATTCAGCTATATTTTGAGATTGTTTCTATACAAATCTGCATTATAACATTAATATTAAATTAATATATAAATTCCCAAATGTTTGCCTGTAATAAATTAAAAGCATACCACGAAAATTTCTGAATACGGCTCTTTTGTAAATCTTCAGGATAGTACCACCAGCAGTGAAAAATTATTACGGCCGACCGGAAGGCTGTTTAACCCTCAATAAAGCTTTGCATACGTCAACCTCAAATATTTCTGGTGACGACTATATTTTAGGGCAAACTTTTGTCGCTGTCATAGTGACAAAAACACCGCGGCTTATGGGATTTTTAGTGTATGAAAAAAAATGTCACTGATATAAAAAATTAAAATTATTTCTTAAAATGACAGTTTTAGTTCTGTCCCACAAAAACGCAAATTTTCACAAACAACTTTTTAAAAGTCTGCTCCTCATTTGTAAGGATTTTTTAGCAGGATAAATACTGAAAATGAAAATTAATCAAAATTGCTTCTTATGTTTTATATTATTAACTGCTTAAATCATAAACATTATTATTAACAGTTTTAAAACAAAAATTTATCGAAAGGGTGGATTATAATTTTTCTTATCCAGAATATTCCCATTGTAGTTAAACTTCAGAAAGACACTTTTACACAAATTATAGAAATATTATCTAAAACGTTATTGTGGGGTTTCAAATCAAAAAATTAGAAAATTTCTGTATATTACATGGTTAGTTGCATAATTACAATGATAGATTTGCTAGGAAAGTCTCCTCAGCAACAAGAAGTTGCAAAGTGGAATTTGATCTTTGTTACAATTATTTAATAAAACTGCAACGACATAAATAATTTGTTAGTAGTATTAGTTTCTGATAAACATTGAGATCAGCATTTTTTTAAATTAAAGTTGAAATAAATAAATTTTATTTATAATTTTTTACTAGATTTTTTGTTGTTTAAACGTTTCTGGTTAGTAATATCCAAGTACTCTACGAGTAAACTCCCCAATGCCCTATTGCAAAAGTTATTTGTAGTCAAACAACATTAATTAATTTACTGAATAAATTTAAGATAATGACAATTAATTAAGATAAATTCACTGATAATTGATAAATTAATGACAAGTATGTTGTTTAATTGGTTGCCTATACTAGCTGAAATTATTTATAACTTACGTTAGTAATGTTACATTTTGTATTGTTTATTTGTTTATCTTTATCACAGACACTTCTTCTTGTTTTTCTTTGAAAATAAAAAGTGGTTTAAGATTATCCGTAGATATTTTCTCATTTCATTTATTTATTATTTATTAATGAAGGTAATATCCGGAAACTGAAACGCAGTTACAATTCTGAGTAATGACACTTAAAAAAAGTTAAATTGTTTATGTCTGGAAATCATTTTTGTGTACATTTAAAAAGTAAATAAAGATAAATGATAAAAACTGTGTAAAGTATTACTTCATTTAAAATTCCAACACCCCCAAAGTCCATAAAAATGAAGAACGTGAGAATTTGCTAATCCAGCAATTACTCTGTTCACCGGCAAAGATCACTTTCTTCATTGTTAATGACCATGTATGAATTATTGTCGACGATCTAACAAACCTTGAATGAGCAAACACAGACATGTATATCGGGAGAAAGCCTCATCAAACGCATTTTTCCTGCACTTGTGCCCCATTTGTCCGACACTTGCTCGCAGCAAATCGTTGCCACCTCCTGCTGGTAAGCCAAGAATCAACAATTCAGTCGGCATTCGATCGTGGTAGAGTGGGTTTGTGATACTCCTGCTAGTGCTTGCGTCGTCTCTACCACACACATGGTCACGATTTGAGTCACTTCAGTGAGCTGTGCAAGTGCCAAAGTGCCTTTCCATGGAATAATAGCCCCTTTTCGAGACTTTCAAAGAGGTGAGTATCGATTTGGGGGACATCTGGCCTCCAGACATGTGATCCGAAGACGGATATGTTAGGCATTTGGAATAATAAACCCGACTTGAGGCAGGGTACCCATTTCGAACAATAGGAGATTTTTTACTTATCCCGAGGAACAATGGGTCATTAGCATCACATATCCGTCTTTTCCAACACATGTGCTTGACGTAAGGCAAGAAAAACTATTGATTTTATGCTCGATGGTACCGTTTGGTACAATTTCGCCCTGAAAACGGTACATACCAACTGTGCCATGGGAATAACTGTGTCTTGGTGCTTCAAGAAGATGGTACTTTTTGCTTGGTTGCACTTTATTGAACCATTTTCAATGAAATAAGGGTTTGAATGGTTTGATGGTTATTGTTTCTTGGATCTAATCTTGCAGACAAAGAAGGATAACAACAGTTATTACCCAGTTTCATTCATTAAATTGTGGTTTTATCAGATTATTGGCTGTTTAGAGGTAATTGGTGTTTCTGATGTCTCAATAAGTGGAAAATTGCTACTAATGGATGATCAAAGGATTAGATTTTACAGTTTTTTTCTTGTGTTTTTTAATTTTTTTATTTCTTTAGTTGGCGGAACTGTTAAAATTCGAAATTTTTTATGGTGTGATCATGGTCTGTCATTAGTGTCAAAATAATATCTGAACATTTCTGTAAATCTCTTTTGTCAAGATGCTAATTATAATAATTGTGTTGGCAGAACTGAATTTTATTTACAAATGTCGTCTGTTTTTTATGATTTCATTAATTTGGCGGGACTGATTTGACAATTTTCATCGTGATTATGATCTGTCATTAGTGTCAAATTTGTAAAAATGTCAAGAGTGATAGTAATGTCAAATTTGTCACCTGACTGACTAAGCTCATTTTGCATGTAAATAAAAAATTTTTGCTAATTACAAATTTAATGTACAATAATTTTTAATGATAGCATCGTCGAAAATAGGCCAATTTGGAAGAGAAATTATTGACAATTCTCTAATTCTCTAATAATTCACTGTTTTAATTATTATTACATTTCGTTTCCGCATAGTTTTCAAATATTTCACATTTCTGTTTTGAGTTGTTTTATTCCGAATAGTAAATAAACATTTCCTGTTCCAAACGCTCGATTAAAATTCATCAGTGTAAACTTGGCTCCGGCCACACATACAAGATATTATAAAATTAATTGCTCCACTGGGGCCATTTATTATGCAAATGACCCGCAAGCGAAGTAAATTTTGAATTTTTCTGCCTCCGAAGATAAAATTCAAGGTTGAAAATTGGGTATTGTGTTGATTGTTAATTAAATTTTTAATTGAACGAGACCCACTTATGAATGTGGGTGAAAACGGGAAGATGAAAGCAAAATTTGAACAGGAAACTATCACCTAATGACCATGTGAACTAAATAACGAAGGAAAGAAAAATTAAAAAAAATTGCTCTCACTTTATCGTTTCCGTATTATCTTTCTTTCCTTCATTAGTGATAATTAGTTTGATTAAATTTGCATAAATCATAAACACACTTATTTTGCGTAATTATGGGGTTGATTGCTTTTCCCCCTCACCGGAAACAACAAAGGGAAGCACTTAAATTGATACGAATTGAACTTTCTTGCTGTCATTAAAACTTATCAGAACTTCCGTCCATATCACGAGAGACTCTCATTTGCGCAATTGTCAAGGTCCGAAAATGTTATTCCTCATCGAACAAAGGAATTACAACTAAACTTTTACTCAATTTTTACTTTTCTGCAAGGAAAGTCTATGCATTATTTATAAAATAGTCAATGGTTACGTAAACTCGGGTCTAACGAAATTAATTAGACGAATTCACGAGGGTGAAAATATGATAATTTTGTCTTTCCCGTTATTACGGTTCTAATTCCAACTTTGCACTAGTTTTAAGTAGAACTGAGTTACTTTCATGACAATATAATTTATTATAACAGTAACTACACACGAGATAAATCAAATTTTGACTTGGCTACCGGAAAACCTGTCCGGATTTCTCCGGAGGCTACGCCGGATTAATCACCACAATTATTGCAGTTTTATCTTTTGTGAAACGATTTGCATATGTCGCAGGCGAGGGAAAGGTCACAAGTGGAATTTTTTGTGTGACCTTTTACATTAAGTGTGATTGCTAATGAACTGGAGCTGGGGTTAGTGGCCGATTTATGTAAATATTTGACGGAAAAATGAGAAAACGTTGAAACAGCAGGATTTCTCCAAATCGGAGAAAAATAAAACATCGTTTGCTGTCATTGGTCAACGAACCTGAATTTTTAATAGTCGAAAAACCTAGAACAAATCAATTATTTTCCGGCGTATGTCACGACTTTAATGAAAATTTACTTTTTGCACGAAAAGTTTGACCTTCTTTCAGGTACAGTGGTTTCCACCAAGGTACTAGCATTGTTTTAATTTAGATATGCTGTGCTGACCCTTGTGTTCAAGATAAACTAAAAAAATAAAGTTTGTTTTTGGGAAACTCGCTCCAAGTTCACCCGATTTTGTCCACGTGATTTGCTTGGTTTCAAGAATATTGAGAATTAATTAAAATGGTTTGTTTTTAATTGCTTGATTGTGATGGATGTTCCCACGAAAAGTCATGAGTGAAAGTGCTCCAGTAATAGATTACACTATTTTCGCATTGATCAACTTGAAAATTTCAACAATTTTGTCGAAAGTAGGGAAGCTGGCGAGATATTCGCAACATCTGCTAAATGCGAGAGATGTTAAATGTCAAGAACGAATTAGCACCAGCATGTCGAGAGCAGCAGTACCGTTTTTCCATTCTTCGAATATCTGACTCAAGTTTTTAATTGTAATCGAAATTACTGAGTCATTTTTTATCGCTAACCTTGATCCCATTAACATGAAATTTTGATGCGTTTACTTCCTAATCGTAGTAATTAAAAATAGTTTTTTGGTGAGTACTGCCAACCTTCAGTTCTTCGAGAATGTACACCAAAAAGCGGATGTTTTGAGAAAAAATTGATACTTTGTGTGTAACCGCATGGAAGCATGCCAAGGATAACACCAACTTCAAATAAACTAGAATGCAACACAATTCTATTGAAATGCAGTCTAAATTTTTGGGGTCAGATTTTAGTCTTTTGTAAAAAATGATTTTTCATGCTTGGAATCGGTTTTTGGTTCCAACAAAGGCCAAAACACGTTTTATGGACATTTTAACATTTAAAATAAATGACGGAATCTGTATTTGGCTTGATACAGTCCATCAACCTCTAACTCCTTTTCGATACCGTTGACCTTGTATTCTGATTCAGAATAAATAAATAACAGAGAGAACCTTGCTGGAAATGCTTTTCCATTTACTGATTCCAATTAGAAAACGTAATTCCAATTTGTCGTTTCAATCAAGTAAACCTCAAGACCAGGTGTTACTCTTTCTTTTCTTTCTTTATTTCCTAGTTGAAATTAACTAAAAGTTTCGACAAAACAAATTGATAATGACTCGAGATTATCAGACTTAACGGTTCCTAATGTTTATCAGGGCCAGTTTAAGTGTTTGTTTTGTTGTATCAACACCTCCTGATGGAAGAAGGTAAAGATATTAATTCCTTGGTGCTAAATGACTTGCGAATAAAACCGTGAAAAATTCAAGATTTTTGTAATTAAATCGATCGATGAAGAGTTTTTGTTGTGGCCGAAATTAGGTCAGTTTGTAAAGTGATAATAAAAGTTTTAAAGCGTCGTTAAAATGCTAATCAATTTTGATAGTATGTACCTATGATTTATGGCGGTAAACTCATAAAGAGGCGACTAGGAAGGGCTTCTTTGGAGATGATTTAATCAATTTTCTCCGTGCCAAATCGGCTGGAAAGTGTGAAGCTTTTTTCCCGTTATTTTCCGTATTTAGTAGGAAGTGCATTGGGGTCGCTACGGCAATTAAGAAACTGCAAGAACAACTTTTCAGAATAAGAAGATGCGAGCGGAATGCGGCTGTACCGTAATGTTGAAGGGTGAATCTTGTTTACCTTTAAACAGAATTATGAACATTGTCACATGTTTGTGTTTATTTATTGACCGGAAATGGAGTCTTGAAAAGTAAGAGCCGGAAGTGGTACGACAAGTGAAGATTTGTAACTACATTGAATAAATCAAGGCTGCCTTGTACAGTAGACAATTACGTTTGTTTAAGTGACGCCTAATTAACTTGGACAAGCAACTGGTTTTAGAAGACAAGTGGCTTGGGAGCGGGTAGGCCAGGTGGTCTAATTGGGTGTCAATTGGGGCGTCTGCAGCCACCAAGAAATACTTTGTTTTTTTTTTTTAATTTTTCTTAAGAAAACTTTTGAATCTTTATTTGCAAATTTTTATTGATTTAAATTTCAATATTGATGATTTTTTTATATTTTGTAATGCCTTCTTGATTCTGTTTAAGTCCTGTGGACGGGACCCAAAATTTTAAACGTTTCAGATGAAATAGAGTTCGTACACAAATTTTTTTGCGTTCTAAAATCCTGACACTCAGTATTCGTCCTAAAACGACAAATATAATTTTTTTTGTCCTAAAACCGTGATTTTAATATTTTTTCAAATTTTTTAAACACTAATCATTAGTTTATTTTTTTAACTTTATTTCAGGACTTTGTTATCGTCTTTCTGTTACCTTCACTTTAAGTAAGTCAAGATTACTATTTTGATTTTACAGCCTTAACCCGTGCCCTGGACAAAAAACAAGATCGTCAAGTTTTTATAAATACTTAGTTAAAATTTATCTTAAAAGCAAAATTACAGTTTAGTTGCCAGTGTGGCCATAGAAAAGTCTCAAGCTACAGAATGTAATATTTTATTGTTATAATACAGTTACCGCTACTTCTGTCACTTCTCACAATGTTTTTTCTGTATGAAATAGTGAAACCCCCTGACTCAAAAGTGAGTTTTCTTTTACACAGAAATCAAAATTTTATGATCAATTTTTCCCCAAAAAACGCGACGTTGCCAATGTGACGATAGCTATAGCACGAGGTTTATGTCCTCGGATTTAGAGTTCCTATATATCTAATATAGAAACTCTACCCGGATTGAGTTTTTAAGAGGAGAATTTTTTTTTCGATTTTGTACCAAAACTACAAAGGAATAAAATTTTTACTTAACCTGAAACGCACAAATTTGTAATTAAAACTTTATTATTATTCTGACTCAGTGAAAGTTTATTTATCTCTTGATTTCGGACAAAGCAAAAGAGTTTACGCAAGTCAAATAACAAAGATTATAACAAGTCAATAGAAAAATAAATGACTTTTCTTAACACTGAGTCAAGTTAAGCAAAAAAAATGTGACTTTTGAAGATCTGACGTAAAATCAATGGTACAATTTTACTTGTATTGTAAAACATATATTATTATCTGAGATATTATAAATTAAAAAAAAAAAAAACATTTATACCTTAGGATTTTATGATCTATTTTCCACTTATTTCGTTCTATTTTATGTTTGTACTGTCTTTTTTTAGAATTTTTTGACATTTTTTACTTATAAGAAAACAAAAATATGTCAGATTAATTTTCAGAAGTGTTCAGCTCTAATTTCAACAATTTAAAACTTCAATTTTTAAGACTAATGATAGTAGACAATTATTTAAACGGTATAAAAAAAAGTATTGAAATCGCTTTTCTGTCTTCTTTTTTTTGTGTTTTTGATTTTTTAAATTTATGTTGAAAGGGTTTTTCTAAGCTGTTCTAAATCTTAATTAAAACTGATCAATTCTGGCATTTGATTTTTTATAATTTTTGTCAATTTTAATCTTCAAATGTTTTTTTTCTTTTTTAAGATTCCATTTTTACTATTGTTGAGTTTATATTTTTGACCGGAGTTTCTTTGAGTACTATTTTTAAATAAAATGAAGATTATTTTTTTATTTTGCAATTTATAATTTAAGTTTGGGGAAATTCAACTTTGATAACTGTGTCAATATTGTGTAAAAGCCAAATAAAGAAAAAACAAGATAATTTTTAGCCTTGAAAAATTAATAACAGAATTGCTTTTGATAACATCAGGATTTTTATCAGTTTAAGTAAAACCAAAAACCTCATTTTGTGACAAGAGATTTTTAATATTTAAAATTTAAAATTACCTCTTGTAAAACATCAAGTTTCTGATTCCTCCTACGAGTTCTACGATATTAAAATTTTGCATCTTTTACTTCTATTTTTTTGGAAAAAAAACACTGCAATGCAGTTTGTAACAGTTGCAATTTTCACAGACTTTTAAGGTCACGAGGCCGTAGCTCTTGGCAAATTAATAGCCATTTTAATTGGTCCAATGTTTGTTAAAAGCGTCTGCTTGGTCATGCGGGTCGCGACAAGAGTGGCCCTTGAGCAGAGCTGTGCGTGCCACACCAGAAAATTGCAATAATTGCCGAGGGAACACACCCATCGAACCACAATTTTATATAACAAATAACTAGAAAAAAATAAATAAAAGTTGTCCCGACCATATAATGGGCGTTTGAATAAATTATTCAAAAATATTATTGTGAACAGGTTGTTACATAATCTGGTATTATTTCAATCACCATTACCAAGGTTTGAGTGAAAGTTATTTTCGCAGTGCGTGTGTACAAATTGGTTTAATAAATAATAATTTTGGCGAAAAATTAATTAACTTCGCAATGACAGAGGAATGAATCATCATACTCAAGACATGCTGCACCCAAATATGGTAAAAACAGGCGTGCCAATCAAAGAAAAAAAGTCTTGGCCCTTTTCCAACAAGGGTTGCACGTAAAAGGGTATCCAGTTGAGTCACCACTCGGTTAAAATTATCGCTTTATTTATAGAAACGTGGGGAAATTGCCCTCGCAGTCGTGCTTGCATTTATACAGGGTGATTAAGTAAAATTGTAAACAGTGAGTGAAAGTCAATCTGACCTTTTTTAAGGCCTTGATAAGTGTATTTGCTCCAGTCACGGTTCAAAGCTCGTGGTAGATACTTATTATTTGGGTAATCCTTGCCTCACCCATTGTGGTATTTGTTCGATAACAAGGAGGATTTTTAAACCAATTCAAAGAAACATAAGTGGTTTGAGACCACCTCTTTGTGAGTGAGATAAGAGAGGCTTTAGTGGAAATAGAAACGGAAATCAGATTAACCAGAATACTTTCGGGTTCAAAATTATAAAAATTTAAATTAATATTCTAAAAATGAGAAAGCTGATTGCGGTTTTTTAATTTTTAAACACCAAAATTCCACGAAATGAAAGTTAAATACAAGTCATAAATCTTCAACTTTACGTTAAAATTCTGTTTATCAAAACACAAAAAATTCAATTTCGTTTTCAATTTTTTTATTAATATTTTTAATTTTAACATTTTGATGTAAGTAATTTACTAAAACGGGTTTAAAATCTTGAAAAGTAGAATTTACAGTGAAAGTAATTTTTTTGCGTATTTTTGTTTTCAAGGTTTTGAAGGTTTGTTTTTTTTACAGTTTATTTTACTAAAATTTTGTATTTCTTATACAATTTTAACTCCCGTTTTCGAGACAAATCAAAATGTAAATGAAGAAAGTCTTATTTTTGTATTTTTGGTTGTTAATTTTATTGTAAAACTATAGTGTTTGAATTCTTCCATTTTTTGTAAAATATTTGTTTTAAGGTTTTATTGATAACTAATACGCTTAAAAATTGCGATAATATGTCTAAAGCAGCGTATTTTAATCCTTTTAGACTCTACTTTTAATCACTTTACAGTGTTTTTTGCCATAATTTTTTTTTGAAACATCTTTAAAATTCCATGAAATGAAGGTAGAACGCGTCTTAATTTAAAATTCACATTTCTTTGTATGAAAAACTAAATTGTGTCTGAAATTAGATTTATGGAAGCATAATTAAATATTTCATTACTTTTAATTTCAACAAGTTTTTGGAATAGTTTTAGAAGCGTCAAAAATAGAGAATTTTTAATCAAAATATTTTTTTGTGAGTTAGAGGTTTCACTTATTTTTTAACAACTAGTTGCTGATATTTATGAAATTAATTTCTTTTTTTTAACATATAGATCAAATAATAATAGAGATCTGAGATTATCTCAATTTTTAAATTTTTTAAATTTTAATTTGTTTCTTTGAAATAATAATATAAAGGCTTTTTCAGGGTCTAGAATGGCAATTAAAGTTTTATGTGCTATATTTTTGATCTTTAAATTGTTCGAATTCCTGTTTTTGCAATTTTAGTGTTAACAGAGAACAAAAAGATCATCAGACAAGTTTTAATCCTTTTAAACCTCATTTTTATCAAAATACTCGAACAATCCAGTTTGTTTTTCGTCACGATTTTTTTCTTTTTTGAAACAAAACTTTCAATTAAAGTCCTCAACTCCCTCTTTATGCGAAATTTATTCGTCTATAAAAACCCACACCCATTACCATTTATTAACCGATTTGTCATGGCCTTCGTGACCGGTTTAGCTTATTCGCATCTAAATGTCTATTTGATTTTACAAAGTCTCATTGCACGAAATTAGCGAATAAAACAATGCCGCCAACACAATAAACTTGTCCCATGTCACATTTTCTGGTCTATTTAACTTATAAAAAATGTACCCATCGTAGCATACCGAGAGCATTTTTATGTAACAAAATTTTCCACTTTCAAGACATAACAATCAAGTTAGATAATTTGGAATTGTTTCAGAGCCCATAATGTTGCAACAAATCCTTCGGGATATGTACGTCGATCCCGATATCCTCGCCGAGCTGGACGAGGCCCAAAAACAGACCCTCTTTTGCAAAATGCGAGAGGAGCAAGTCCGGCGCTGGAAACTCTGGAACGAGAAACTGGGCGATGAGCCCAGAACCATCCAACCCTCGAGTAAGAAAAAAACCGTTAGTTTCCTCAAGGGCGAAGATGGGGAGCCATGGGTGTGGGTCTTGGGCGAACACAAAGACGACAAGACCATCGAGGAGATCCTCAAGGAGGAAACCATAGAAAAGGCGCGTAAAATGGCCGAAAAGGAAGCAGAGGAGTTGCGGAAGCAACTCTACATTGAACTCACCCCCAAAATCGAAGAAATAGAAGCCCCGAAGCTACAAATCGACGATGAGATGATTTATTACTCGGTGGATGAGTTAAGGGAGAAGAACAACAAGCCGAATCATTTTAATTATAGTTTGAATTCGTACCAGAATAAGAATAAGTTTCATGTGATTGACACGAGGGATGTTTTGCAAGAGATCTCGTTGAATACGCAGAAGGTGGCGCAGAGGGTAGCTCTGTGGGAGAAGAGACTGACTGAGGAGAGGACGTGTGAAATCTTCCAGAAGATACAAAAGGAGCAGCAGAAAGTGGCCAAGGAGGCGGAGGAGGCTGAGCAAAAACAGGAGCAGCTTTGGAGGGAACAAGGTACAATTTTCCCTTTTTTTGCCAAATTTGACATTTTTTTTCAAGAGCGCAAAGCCAAGCAAGCTGAGCAGCAAATCCGGGAGATTGCCCGCCGCGCCCGAGAGGAACACAGACTGACATCGAATTTCGAAATCGACACTTCTTACAGCACGGTCAACACCGGAGTTCCTCCGGGTCGTACCGCCGTCATCGAATGGTACAAAAGCCACGAAAGGCCCAAATGGACGGGTTTGGACCGGTCCAACAACGCGGAATCGTGGTTTCATGGCCTGATCACGCGATCCGAAGCCGAGAAGTTGTTGTTGGACCGGCCTTACGGGAGCTTTCTGGTCAGATTGTCGGAGAGGATTTGGGGATATGCGATCTCCTACAGGGCCAAAGAGAAGTGCAAACATTATTTGGTCAGTGCGGGGCCCAAGTACCAGTTTTTAGGCAACAATCAAGTTGAGCATGAAACGCTACGTAAGTGATGACTGACGTAAAGGCGCAGGAATGCTGCGTGTGATTGCTTTATTTGAATAAATAGACAGTGTTGTCAGGTGTAGTGAAATTGCACCAGATCTGGTGATTTTCATGTTAATCTGGTGATTTGGACAAAACTGTTGTAAAAATTCTAATATCTAAAAAAACTGTTTTCAAGCATTTTTCACGCTTTCAACTAGAAACTTGATTATTTCGTCAAAGTTTTTCGAAAAAGTCACAAACCACCAAATTGCTTAAAAATAGCTCTGTTTGTTTTTTACAAGATTTTATTAGACAGGATCAAAAATATTTTTGTCTTTTTCGAATAGCTAGAAACATATCTAAGTAATTCACAAAATTTCGTTAAAAACAATTCAAAAATTCAATAAATTCGACCAAAAACGACGTTATTTTTGCCCTTGTCAAGTGTTTAAGCACGTTTTTTGAGATAAAAACAAAGATAATTCTAAAAATTTCGTTGAAGCAGGTAAAAAATTACAAAATTAAATCGAAATTGATACTCCTAAAAAATTATAAATAAATAAATATAAAAATGACATAATTTTTTCCTTTTTCGAAAGCTGAAAAATCTGTTTTTTCGCGAGAGTTTGCTACAGCGTGTCAAAAATCACTAAAAAAAGATTATATTGTAATATTTATACCGAACTCTTAGGCTTTAACTTGATTATTTCGTCAAATTTTCTCCAAGAAAAAATATAATCGAAAACCACCAAATTGGTTAAAAATAGTTCTATTTGTTTTTTACAAGGTATTAAACGGTGTCGAAAATAACAAATTACTTTTGTTTTTTCCAAATGCTTTTTCCGCTAGATACACAATTGTTTTGCAAAATTTTGTCAAAAACAAGTCACAAATTCAACAAAACAAGCCCAAAAAACGGCGTTCTTTGTCTTTTTGAGAGATAAAAACACAAGAAGTTTGAAATATTGCATTGAAAAATTATAAAATTAAATCGAAATTGTAGCTTGTTCGCCAGACTTAGTTCGTTTTTAAACCAGAGGTTCAGTTATTTACAAAATATTGTTTAAACACGCCTAAAAATCACAAAAAGGATTGATATTAATGTTATTTTGTTTGTTTCACTTGATTTATCTAGTTTTTGAGCAAAATTGAACAAAAATAAGCCAAAAATGCTCGTTTTTGTACCAAAATCTCAGGTTTTTGGCTAGATTTCGCTAAACAAACTAAATAATTAAGAAATTATAGGTCTAAAATTACATTATTTTTGTATTTTTCGAGCATTTTAGCACGTTTTTCAGCTAGGAACGCAATTATTTCGCAAAATTTTGTTGAAAACAAACCGAAAAATCACAGAATTAGGCCGAAAAACATGTAATTTTTGCTTTTTTTTTAAGAGTTTAAGCAGATTTTTAAACTGCGTTTTTTGCGAGATTTTGTCGTAATCTGGTGAAAATTGGGCAAATTTTTCAATTCTGATCTGGTGAATTTTATGTTTTTGGCTTGGCAACACTGTAAATAGAGGATGTATGAGTAAGATGGGACAGCTTGCATGATGCAGAAGTTCGCGAAAAGCATTAAAAAATTCTTGTTTGCAATTTTTTGCTAATTATTTTATTACTTTTCAAAATATTTCGAATTTAAACAGATACATTATTCAATATATGAAAGTATGATCATTGAAAAAGAAAGAGCAAGAATATTTCACTTTAACCTATTTTTTTAAATTTTATGTAAGATAAGAAGTTTCAATCAAATACATGAAGTTGATACTCTGAGTCTTTTTCTTTCTTCAGATTTTTCTTAATTTTTTGTTTCGTGTTGTTTTTCTTCTTCTGTTCATTCATTCAAAGAAAATAATGTTCACACGTGTCGTAATAATTTCCAAAGGAGTTATCGAAAACAATCATTTGAGTGCTATTGTAATCAAATAATATTCTTGAAATAGAATCAGTTTTGAGGTTTGATTTTTTGTCTCATATTACAAAGATTATGAGTCACCAGTGCAAAGTTTTTAAAATTGTTGTGCCATTAGAATTCACAGCGTGCGAAAAATTCAAATAGCAACACGTTTTATTGTCTTGACTCGAGATATTAACCCGAATGATGTATCAAGTGGAATTTGCATTATCAGCTGTGGGCAAATATCGCGCTTTGTTTATTTTGCAAGCCGTAAAACAGACGTAAATACTCGAATCGAAATTTTTTCGCAGTTACAATAAAAACATTCATTAGAACGTTATTGCAGTTGTAAACAAGCTAATTACTCAATTTAACAACTTGATGAAAAATTCAAATGCATTTATTAGAAATACTTTCTACTAATTAAAAATATAATTCGGCGAAATTGGAACATTTGTGCTAGAAATCTGATCATTTTCTTGCAGGTGATCTCATCGAATATCACCGGATTAATCCCCTAACCGGGGGTGAAAAACTGGTCGAAGCCTGCCCCCGGAGCCCCTCTTCCACACTTAATGAACTGTTCGACGAATGAATTGTTCAATCTCAAAGAAAACTCTGTGATCGTTTGGCATTTTTTAATTGTATGATATCAGTTTTTACTACTGGAACGATTCTATTTCAGTATTATATCGCACTTTTATTATAATCGAGTTTGTTTCAATTTGTGCCTTGTGTCTAGTTATTTTAATATTTATATGATAATCGGTTGTATTTGCCCCAATTTTGACTTAAACTGTTGGGAGCCTGTATGAAAATATACGATTTTTGCTTTATTTGTGTTTTATTTAAAAAAAAATTCCTTGAAATGCGGCAACCCGCACCGCCGATTGCATATTTAGTTGCCTACACCACTTATTAAAACTTGTTTTTTTTTTCTATTTTTGTGGTATTTGCACCAATTTTTACGTTAACAGTTAGGAGTCTGTATGGAACTTGTATTTTTGTATTTTGTTTATAAGAAAAATTGACAATATGGCTACTCCTAACGCATGTTGCATAACTGGTAGCATACACCACACACTGAAACTTTTGTTTTTCGAAATGAAAACGCACAATTAGGTATAAATATATCCTTTATTTAAATAATATAACATGGTACATAATAATTGGGTTCTATAATAAAAAACTAATCTCCTTTTTCTTTAACAGACAAAGGGAGTGAAATATCCAAAATATTGAGTTTCCTTTTAGCTTTCTTATATCTGTAGGCCTAGAAGAGAAAGAACGTTTACAAAAGACGCTCCTGTTTACAAGAAAAATTAAGTAATGAAATCACATCATAGGAAAACTACTCGAGTTTTTGGATGGTGAGAGTTTTTGTGAGGTAGATGATTGTATTCTCTGAAAGAAAATCGTGGAGTTAGTTTGGAGGGTGTCCTACATGTCAGGGATTAAAAAACTGAATTAAAAGACACTCACTGGTGTTACGGTAATGTTCGATTGCAGTAGCTCCGCCTCCGACTTTTTCCGGTTTTTGTTGGGACTTCCTGTAGCTGGTATTGAATTAAAAAACATTTCTGTAATAAAAAAACAATTTTCCGTTTCATCAACTCACCTCCAGGTAAATTCGGAAGCGTGAAAACATCGTTTCGAGCTTTTTGCTCCTTCTTCTTGGAGAAGCCCACCCAGGGGTCCGTCACACTACTCTCACCCGGAATTTTTTTCAAAAACTGAGTCCGGGGGTTTGTCAACAGCGGCACTTGATTCAAGTTCGATTTCACTGTTAAACTTTGCAGCAAGTTTGGGGATTTTTTCGGGAAGTCTTTGTTGAAACTAATGTTGTTGATGCTGGGGTGCAAGACGTTGGGGGATTTACTAAAGTCACTAAATTGTTGCAAGGATTGGAATTGAGGGGGCGACGGGGGGAGCGGGCTTTCGGGTTCTTTTCGCGCAGACACTGGACGTTCACTGAATTTTACTAAACTTTCTAATGATTTTTCGAGCATTTGCATTTCGGCGTTGCTCCCACTTGGCTTCTTATCTTTTTCTTTGGACGAGTTGTTGGGTTTTTGACCGGATTTTTGTACCACGTTCAGTCTCTGACTTGTCTTGGACAGACTTATCAAGTTTTTATCACTCTCGTTGAATATATCGTAACTGTACTTTCGTTTAATACTGCCTTCGGCGAGACTAAACCTCCATTTGATTTGGTCTCCCCCTCGCCTTTTTGTCTCTTCTTTCTTATCCGTTGACATCAAAATCTCAGTCTTGTATTTTCTCAAAAGTGGATTATTGTTGAATTCTGTGTTAACTTTCTCGCGTAACGCCGGCAGAAACTTCTGGGGGAACCTATCGTGGGTAAAATAACTATTCTTCAACAACTCCTCCGACGTGGACCTCTCATGGGGGTCCATTTTCATGCAAGTCGCGAGAAACTCAAGGGCGAAGAGCGACCAATTGGGGAAGAGTTTCCCGAAATCTGGCTCACTGGACGCGGATTTGATCATCCCTCGCAGATGCGAACTCCTGGACATGAGATGTTGGTGTCGGTGGCACGGTTTCCCTAAAAATGTGATAGTAGAGGACCTGGGGGTGCTCCTTGTGGCAACTCACCCAACATTTTAACGATGAGGTACAGTTGGTCAATGTCGCTCTCACCGGGAAATAGGGGGTCGCCGGTCATCATCTCGGCGAAGAGACACCCAATGGCCCAGATATCGACCGGGGCACCATAATTCGACTCGCCGACGAGGAGTTCGGGGGCGCGGTACCACCGCGTCGCCACGTACTCGGTGCAAGGCTCCCCCGAGATGCACACGAGACGGGCAAAACCAAAATCGCAGAGTTTCACCACGCCGAGGGAAGACACAAGGACGTTTTCGGGTTTCACATCACGGTGGATAATCTACAGGGGAATAAATCAACTTTTTGCGAAATTAGCCACTCACATTGTTGCTATGACAGTAGTTGATGGCCCTCGTGACTTGATAGATCCGCTCCCTGCACCTTTCATCCCCCAACCCCCCCGGCATCTTCTCCAACTCGTCCAAGACCGTCCCTTCCAAAAACTCAAAAACGAGGAAGAAGCGTTTCCGGTGCCTGAAAACTTCGATCATTGTGACGAGATTTTCATGTTTCAGTCTCTGAAACAAAACTGATTGCTTTTCATCAATTTTCAGGTGAATTCACTCACTTTGAGCATCCGAATTTCGCGTAACGCCATTTTGCGAATCGTTGCATCTTCTTCCGTTTCAAGAAATTTCTTGATTGCGACGATTTGATCGGTTTCTTTGTGTCTGCATTTCATCACCAAGCCGTAGGAGCCTTCCCCAACCACCGAAATTTGTTCGTATTTGTCCATGGCGGCGCTTCAACTCATCTGAAAAGCAATTGTGGACCCCTCAATTCGCATTCAAATCGATTTAATTTGATTTTCGTAAACACAACTGTCGTGGATAACCGACGACAAAAATAGAAAGCAGTCGTTAAAAATTGATTTTTCATTTAATTCCAGTCACGAATTGCAGACGACTCTCCAGTTTTCAGAAATTGATAAAAAAATATGTTCAGGGGTCACTGAAACGCTGAAAAACAGTAAGGGTGCGAGGTCTTTGACCCCACTGACCACAACCGACCCACGCAACGGTGGTTATCTACACATGAAAATCGTAGTGGAGAAAACTCGGAAGCTCTTATTTTGTCTGGTGAAAGCTTCCTGCATTATTTATTCGGGCTTTTTTAATAAATTATCGCCAGGTTATTGTACATTATTACAACTAGGACATTTTTAAACTAGTTTGGTAACGATTTATTTGAATTTTTCACTGTTATTACCACAAAAGCAATTTTCAGCCTTGTTGACCCAGAAACGCAAACGCGGGTTGTTAGAATCAATCAAACGCTTACTGAAACGTAATTTTGGGACTCAAAAATGATTTTTTTTCAACACCAAGAGTGCAGAAAACGTCCCAAGACTTGTGTTTATCTAACATTACGACGAATATCTTTGTATTGCTACAAATTGTGCTAAAACAAATAAATCATTTGCAATTATCATAAATTATGGCAAAATATTTTGATTACGGAACACAAGACTTCAATTTTTTTTCTGTTTAAACAAATAAAGTAATAAAATGTTGAGCAAACTTCGTTCCAGAAGTCGTAAAACTCGGATTGATTGTCGGCAACACTCCAATAAATCCAGTGAAACTCGAGTGATTTTTTCGCCTTTTCTAACACCTTTATTTTAACCATCTGTGAATGAATTTCCCACACTTGGGTGTTGTAATTTATGAGGAATGGAATCCGAAAATTTACGACCAGAGGGGTAATAAAAAAATTGGCCTTAGAGGGCAAAACCGATTTTTTCTCCAAAATTAGTCCAGAATCGATAATAATTTTTGATTAAAATAAAAACTAATGACTGCCGAATCATTTATTTTCCAGTCGGCACGCAATGATCTAATTTGTTTGAAATAAACATGATATTGTTCAATTGTACATTTTTCAACCCCTTTAAAACTAATCAAAAAACCTACCGTTGTGATTAGAAACTTCCCGATTTGCATTTTGCACAAGACCATGAACTTTCACCTTTTCCAATGCACCGCTTTTCACGACGCTTTTCCACCGACTGAAACCGCACGCGACCGTCGAAACACAACCCAATAGGAGGAAACCAACTTCGATAAATTTCCCAACGGTTTCCACAGGTGAATTCACATGTCACGCAACGCCGAACCCAGAATTTACTTCCCGAGGGGTTCAAAACGGAGAATTGTTTATAAATTTTGCATAAATGTCGGCTTGAAATAGACACAAAGTAGTGACGTCATGGCGTCGCGACGTCATCGAAGCTTTCACTTGATTATTTACTTTCTATAATTGGGTTTTTTAGTGGAGACGTCATTGTAATTATTATTGATTGGTGGGGTATTTACATGGCTTGCATGAGGTATTACAAGGGTGGCGAATTTCAATTTTTGAGTTATTTTTAGAAGGCGCAACAACTAAAAATAGGTTTGCTTGGGTTTTCGCTTGTTTTCTTTATATTTAACCGTATTTGGATGGAAATTGTGGAATAAATAATGTTAAATAACCTTTCCAATAGCTTCTATAAAATTGGTAACGAGTCGATATTCTCAAACAGCATGTCAAATGGCCGTTCATGTCGTTACGATATGTATAGGCGGAGTTTCTGAAATAGTAGATAATTTTAAATCGATTAATTGTATCTGCATAATATTCAGTTTTGATGGAATAAAAATAAAGTTCGAGTTTTTTTTTGTCCGATTAGAATAAAAAAAACTGACAAATTCTAATAAATAAATAATATATTTCAAGTAATTATTTCAAAAACAAAGCTTTAATCAATATTGTTCATCATTTCGACCTACCATTACCTACAAAACACTAGAATGTTTACGACTTTGTTCCTGTATTGATCTTCTATTTCAGGAATTTCAGAATTTGTATTATCTGGCGATGATTTAGAGCTTAATCCTATTTCGGGTGCTTTCTAAATTACCCACCTTCAACAGGAAATAGTAATCTCCGATTTTATAATAGCTCTGCGAATGTTTTATTGTTAATTTTTACCAAAATAATAAACAAGAAAACTTAACAATAACAATAACAATGCATTTTTTGTGGTGGATTTCTTATTTTTTTATGTTTTAGCATTTATTTAATATTTTTCTTATAGTTTGCGATTTTAATTTTACGTAATTCACTTCTCTTAGTTGTTTTTTTATTGTTCATAGAGGTAAGAAAAAAACAACATTGGTAAATGTCAATAATGTCATGGTAAAAGTAAAAACGCTTAAGCGAAAAAAACACAATTTTTACTCCATGCTTGAAAGGGAAAACTTTTTACTAATAAAAGTAGTCACTTTTGTGACGTTTGCGGATAAATCATTTTTATTGTAGGTATAATTAATTAATAATTTTTTTTTACAATTTTCATATTTATAACACTAACACAGTAGAAAGAAATAGCTCTTGTAATAATTACATTAAATAATTAAAGCAAGCCTCAAGTAAAAATTGTTAAATAAAAAAAATATTTCATTCATAATTATATTTTCTTGAAACGGCGGTACAGGATGCAATGTTTTGTTCTTTTATAACTGTATGAAGGAAGTAGTCGGTAATTTGGGGAATCCAAAGAGGATTATTAAAATTTTACCACCTAATCCTATTGCGAGTTCGGTATCTACTAATTACATTTCGTAGAAGGTTGGAAATCTTCTTCACCATCCTGCGTTATGAATGAACTTCAGAATCGCAAGGGTCATTCATAAATTTTCACTTGTTTTTACAAGTTTTTGATTTAATACTAAACTTACGTAGATTTCTGTTTTTTTTTTGTTAATTTTTAGATTACAAATGCAAATAAAAATAAAGAGACACATTGGTCAAAACAATGATTTTTACGTAAAAAAATCGTATTATTTTAATCAATTTGAGTCAAAGAACTTCCACACAGTGTGTCCCCGGATAGGTGAAACGAATCTTGTAAAAAAAGTTAATTTTTTTGAAATGCAGCTGTGCTTGGCTAAAGACTAATTTTTAACATAATTTTAGTTTTAAAGAAACAATTATGCCTTGGAAACTTTCAAAAAAACTTTTTTTTCTATGAAGTAAAGTGTCTTTTAGGATGTTTATATTTTTTTTGTTTGTTCACAAATCAAAAAAATATTTTTTAACAGTTATTGTTTTATTATGAATAAAAAAAATAATAACTTTTTGTCGTATTTATCACATAAAAGGCACTTTACCAAAAAATAAGTTTTTTTGAAAATTTCCAAGACATACCTAATGTTTTTAAATTAAAATTATATTAGAAATTAGTCTTTAACCAAGCAGGGCTATATCTCAAAAAATGAAAATTTAAATCGAGCATTGTTTATCTTTTACAAGAGTCATTTTCACCTATCCCGGGACATACTGTTGCAAAAAATTGACTTTTTCAAGATGTAAGTAAAAAATAAAATTAAAAAATGATCAAATTTACAATTTTCCATTTCTTTGGCATTGAAAAATATTGAAATCTTGTGAAGCATGAAATATATTAAAAAAAATCATTTCAACGCATAATATGATATATGATATGAATCGTAAGAAAAAAAACGTAAAGCAAAAATGGATCTTTTTTAATTTTTAAACAATTTCTCGTTTATTTTGCAACGAATGAATTCAAAGGTTACATAATTTTGTTCCAGTGGCCTTTCCCATAAGAGAGGGGAGGACAAGCACCTCCTTTTCGAATTCTGGGCCAATGACCATTCTGGACCCTCCCAGAAAATTGCAAATTACCATCTTTGGTCTTTTCTTACAATTCTCTTTAATTTAATCAATTAGCAATTTAAATTAATTTCCTTTTAATTAAACTTTTAACCCTCTATCAAAAGCATAATGAATGAGTTTTAAACACGAACAAAAATTCATTCAGTCCTAATTTTTGGACAAAATACTGGTCTATTTTTATAGTCCTCTGAACAATTGGAATAACTTTGAATTGTTAACTTATACATAGCTGGCTCAAAAATTGACTTTGTATACATGCCAACAGTGTGTTTAGCAAACAATTAAATAAAATTGCATTCAAATAATTAATTTTTTCGTTATTAAAGAAGGTGTCATTTTACTCTTTTCAGTTCAAAGAGCTGATAAAGAATTGGAAATCGGCTATCGTCAGCAACTTTGCGATAAAGCTCCCGATTACCAAACTGTTCATTGGTCGCGAAACGCGAAATCCCGGTTTAAATTTTGATAAAAAAATAACAATTACAGCAATAAAATATCGTTCAAAAGAGGCAGCTTAGTTCTTGACTTATTTTAAGCCGAGCTGAAGTCCCCCCACCGCCCCAACCATGACGTTGTACGCATCCAGAAAACCCTAGGACCATTCGCAGATCGCTCATCGGTATGAACACATAAGGAGCATTAACCACCGAAACCCGAATCTGGTAAGTCAAGCCCTTTGATTATTTGGTACCCAAATTTTGCTTCTTGCTTGTGATAAACTCCCTTCCGTTTGCTTGATGCTCTTGTTCCCGTTTGAAATAATAACAAACACTGCCTTCCTGGACACGTGCGACTTATTCTGGATCACGCTTACCACCTTTCAATGTCTTACATAATTGCCATGTCCTGAAAAACCAGCTGATTCAGGATCACACGTGCTCCAGATTAATTTGGTACGAAATCCTCAATTTTTTGCTTTTTCAGTTTTGCACTAACAATGGTCGATTTGTTGTCGTTTTTCACTGACCCTGATGTGCTTGAAACCAGGTGATTGGACTGTTTTTTTTTTATTTATTTATTTTGCATGCAACCGGCCATAATATGGCGAAATTTTTGACCCGGATTTTTTCAGGCTGAGAAAAATGGCCCCCACAGCTAATTTTCTTAGTCAACCGACGAACAACACTCACGGGGGGATAGACACCATGAATTGTCGGTTTTCCACCACGAATTGGATGCAATTGGCGCACCAAGCTGAGCCTTTTCAGGTATTTTTCAATTCCTTTTGTGAAAATTTCCACTTCAGGGATTTTTTTTACAGCCCAAACTCCTGTCTCCGACGTGGAGTACTTACATCTCGCCCTGTATAAACTTCAGTCCGTCGCAGGATACGCTTTCCCTGAGCGATCTTACTGAGCAATTTGCTGATCTCGTGTTGGATAAACGCACTTTGAAAAGGCCACCAGCGTCGTATATGTGCCACTTATGCTTCCAGAAAGGACACTACATTAAAGATTGTCCCAAGGTAAGTCACAAAATTTTTAAACAACACTCGCGCTATTTTTATACCGGATTGGCACACGGCCTTAAATAATAATTAGTGAAATAATAATAATTAGTGCAGTGTTCTAAATTCCATTTTTAGTAAATTATGTCAGCAAATGCTTCTTAAAAAATCGTGTTAGTTTCCGGCTCAAAAATCATCACACAACCGGTTCTAATTGGGAGTTCGGGAATTGCTTATTCACAAACAGTGAGAATTTGTTTTATTACGTTTTAAATTTTTCGTTTATTTTTATTATTAATGATCAAAACGATTTTTCTGGAGTCGCTATAAAATAAATAATGGTGTACTGCACGACTCCAAAACTCTTGTCCGGTCGATTAAAATGTATAAAATATTGATACTTAAGACACGATTTTTCGCTCATTGCTTTGCAAAAATCTTACTTTTTTTATGTAATTTATCTCAGAGACAATTAGACGTAGTCAAGGTTGCGCAATTTACAATAAGAGTGTGAACAGAAAAATATGAAATCTGTATTAATATAATATTTTTGAGTTTTTTTATTCATGTACACTTGGTTGCAAAAAAATCGGAAAATGTCAAAAAAAATTGTCAGATTTTTATAAAGATTTATAACAATAGCTTAATCTATAGTATTCACTACTTATTGGGTTTTCACGAAAATACTCAACTAATTGATTATCTCGATTTGCATTGGATGCTCTCGGCATTTAAGTGTGGCATTGGAGAAAAAAATATTTGAATGCGACAGATGACAAATTGACAACTAAATTGACAAGGACAAGACCTGTTGCATTCTAAAGAAAAATCAATTTTCCGTTTTTATTGCAACCAACTGTACATATAATAATGTAACCAACTATAAAAAGAATCCAAACAACGAAAAAATGGTACCAAAAATTTATAAAATTAAAAAAAAAAACAAGTTAAAAACAAATTTTTTTAATTTTATTAAACAATTTATTATAAACTAAACTAAACCAAATAATTAGGTCTTACTAACGCAAGTTTTTTTTAACAGATGTAATGCTTTTAATAAATACATTAATATAGTAAAATTCTGGATCAGTTAATTTGAAATTAAATTTATGATAACCATAGCTTCCAAAATCTACAATTTTAATTGAGTTTTTATATTGATCCAAATCTTCTTGTTGAGAAAATAAAGAGTAATTTCAAAGTTGTGTTGTTACGTTTTAAAATATTACAAAAATCTATTATCACATTATGCTTTAAGCTCTGATGTTATGTACTATTTATTAGCAATTAAGTTGTTGTCAATAGAGAAACAAAAACAGCACACATGCCCTGTATAAACCGGGAAAAAACAGGAATTGTTTAATTTCTGCTATTTTTTAGAATTCTCTCTACTTTTATTCTGTTGACCCTGAAACTTTTTTGCTTTTTAAACTAGTTGTCTGTTTCAAAATTGTACATTTTTTACTGATGATTTCCTGTATTTTTTGCATTGCCCAATTTTTATTTTAAAGTTCTTGAGCATTTATTTTTGTGATTGTAATTCTCAAGAATAAATTTGGGTGATGCTTTGTAGTGTAGATAACCAGGGGCGTCATTTGAAATTTTCTTGAGGGGCGGCAATATGTTAATTGATTAGCGCACGAGTAAGCTTTTAAAATTAATAAATATAACGCTAGATAATAATTTTAACACATATGTAACTAACTGCATATAATTTATTCATTCAAACAAATGCTAATAAAGCTAAGGTTTCTTAAAAAGCGGACTGTAATATATGACTGCGAATGACATAATTACTTTTATTTTTAAATAAAATGTGTATCATCAAAATGTAATTTAGATCTTTTTTCACTATTAACAAGTAAATCAGAATGCAAGCAAGTTCATCCCGCCTTTGTGGAAAATCGAGCTTTATTTTTTGCAAAAATTTAAAAGCTTTCTAGATACAATAAAAAGGAACCTACACATGCTAATAAAGCTAAGGTTTCTTAAAAAGCGGACTGTAATATATGACTGCGAATGACATAATTAKTTTTATTTTTAAATAAAATGTGTATCATCAAAATGTAATTTAGATCTTTTTTCACTATTAACAAGTAAATCAGAATGCAAGCAAGTTCATCCCGCCTTTGTGGAAAAACGAGTTTTATTTTTTGCAAAAATTTAAAAGCTTTCTAGATACAATAAAAAAGAATCTCAAAAGGAATTTTGTTCGTTTTGATAACAAAAAATCTATTAAACCAATAACAATATGTTTTCAATTAGAAAATATTGGAGACTAATCATTGTTTTGTCTAATGTTTCCCAAGAAATACGTTTCGTTTTATTCAGCTCAATTTCCACGAAATCGTTTAAACGTTCACGTCGAAAATTAGTCTTGGAGTCAGCACTTGCCATATTTATTTTCATGTTCGATTATTGGTGTAAACATTCAAAGAAAAGGCTTTTGTCTTGATTTAAATCCTGGCACTTTTTTATGTTTTGTTCAAAAAGGAAACGGAGGAAGAGGATCTTATACATACATCCTTAATTCTTTACTAACTTGTAACAATAAATCGGAATAAATTTTAAGTCAGCACAACGTGCCAACATTTATCAGTCAAGTATTTGAAGTGTCGATGATAAATTTTTCTGTATGTTTAGTTTCGAGTCGTCGCTTTTTTGTTATCATTCAAACGAGAATTTGAGTTTGTTTATGAAACTCAAACCCACTTATCGATATCGACAAAAAATGTTTCAGTAAAAATTCAGTTTCAGTTATTGCAGAGCAGTGACTCTAAAACGGAGTTTTCGTTAATCGGATGGGAGTAGAATCACAATTTTAAAAATACATCAATACCATTCGAGAAGTGTCATTCAGTGGTGAAAATCGATTCCAAATAATTTTCAGTATGTCTCAAAGTTTAACCGAAATCTTGTAAATTAATTATACTTGAGAGTTTTTCACGGATTCTATTATGTGAAAAGATGTGAGAAATCTGAGAACACTCAGCGTTATCGTTAATATTGAAAACGAGCACGATATCAATCAAGGTTGTACTTATAGTTGAAGTTTGCGATTTTTCACTATTGTAACGTTAAATTTTCAGCGTAAGTGTTAATTAAATATTGTTGTTTGTTTTAAAAAGTGTGGTTCTTCAGTAAATCAATTAGCGTCAGATCATTACCTGTTGTCCGTTGCGAAGAGACAACAGATAAGTGGGTTTTAATCACATGATCATAACCCGAGCTCATCATTCGCTAACAGTGGATCAGTTAAGACCCTACTGAAGACGCATTCGAAACGTTAAAAAACTGTTTTACCATTCTACGGAAATCGCGTAGTCGCAACATCTAACTCGTTGCGCCACCTCCCGCTTATTCTTTGAATTCATCAAAATTATTTTTGGCAACAGGCGCGTCCTAAAGGAGAAGGCAAGACCCCCTACCAAGGCCGGAAGCGCTGTTTTGGCGAATTTAAATGTCCCAAATGCAAAAGGAAGTGGATGAGTGGGAATTCGTGGGCGAATATCGGACAAGATTGCATCAAGTGCCAAATAAACGTTTATCCGCATAAACAGGTGAAATTGTAGTAAACTATATTTTGGTTTGTGACTAATTTTTGGGTTTAGAGACCGTTGGAAAAGCCGGACGGATTGGACGTTTCTGACCAGTCGAAGGTGCATCCTCAGCACTTGTGCCAGAAATGCCGCGAATTAGGGTTTTACTGCAGGAGAGTGCAGTAAAGTGATTTTTTCTTATGTTTTTTTAAATTTTTTGTTAAGAGTTTTTATTCTTTTTATATTTTTTTAATTAAGTGTTTTGTTTTGCCGTTACCTGTCTTGTTTGATAAGTATATTTTTGTCATTTATTAAGTATTATGTTTGTGATTATTTGGCAGCTTAATGCGAGTTGTTTTTTCTTGTCAGATGTTAATATTGGGAAACAACGCTATTTTTTTATAGACTTTATGCGACAGATTGTAAGAATTGTTTACAGTGTAAACAAAATATACCAACTTTATACAATGAATAGTTTTCATTTCTACAAATTCCTGTGTTTTATCTGTATAAATTCGGTTTAATTATTATGCACGAACCATTTTTGTATATAGGTCTTTAAGTGTGCTCTAACATTAAATTAAGCACAACCTGAGCTAACAACCCCCACGATTTTGTGTGCAACCCGTTTGTAATATCAAACCAAAAATTGAAATAAACGTCGTGAAATGACTTGCGCCTTATTTACTCAACAATAAAGTAAAATACTTACGGAAAGTGCACGTTTGGCGCCAACATTTTAAATTTCGCGACAGTACTGACATGACAGATTCCTGTACTGTCGACTGAAAAAAATGCGAATGCGCACTCTTGATGTGTCAATTTTCTAAAATCAAATGTGTCCGGAGAGGTTAGGTTTTTAAAAATAGAAATTTATTTTTAACGAAGCAAATAAAAAATAATTTGGTAACGTAAAGTGTGATTTTACGCCGGGATGAAGTAAGTTTTATAATTGCAGTTACATAATTGTGAATCAATTTGATTTTAGGATAATCACAAGAAGTGTAACTTTGGCTCTGGGTTTGTCTGTTTGTGGCATTTCGGGGTATTTACTGTACCTTTTATTGAAAAAGGACGAAGATGACGATTATAGTGACACACTAAGCCGCAGTTCGAAATTCAAAATTTTGGAAGTTCCGGTTCACAAAGACATGGTTAAAGTCCTCATCGGGCGTGGGGGGAAAAACATCAAACTGATTCAGGAACAGTCAAACACCCGCATTAATTTCAAGGATCGCGAGGGTCATGATGAAACAATTTGTGTGATTAGAGGCACAATTGAGGCTTGTAACATTGCGGAAAACTTGGTGGCTGAATTTATAAATAATCAACCGGTGCTTGAATGTGAGGACGTTTTTGTGCCCCAGGGGTGCATTGCGAGGATCATCGGTCGTGATGGTGAACGAATTCGGCAGATTTGTTGCAGGTCGGGGGCGAAAGTGACAGTGGATGACAACAGGGCGGCTGCCACTAGAAGAGTCACAATTAAGGGTTGGTTACTTTTAGATGTGACTGCAGTGTGAATAGATTTTTTCTAGGTACTAAGGAACAAATCGTCGTTGCTAAATCCTTAATTGAGGAAATCGTGGAAGAGTCTCAAAAAATCCAAGGCCAGATTGAGGCAAGCCTCGCCAAACGCGAACCCCGCCTCCCGCCCAGGTCCAGTGAGAGCCCCAAACCGGCCGAGAGCCCCAAAGTCGAAAGAATTTCACCAGTACCAGGTAATACTTTATTACTATAATTACACAGAATTACGTTTAATTCTCAACTCGGTAATTCGGGGGGGTGTCCGGGAGGTCTGGGATATTGTTGTAAAACTCGTAGTATCCGTTCACGTAGCCGTAGACGAGGGTTGCCCCAAGTGTGACCACTCCAAGGATCAGATCTCTGTTGTGTTTTCGTTGTTGTTGGTCATAGTTTGTCTTCCAGTCACCTTTGGGGGTTGGTAAGTCGTTCATTGTTGTCGGGGGGAAAATATCCTTCGATGCGTAAGACCGGCGAGGGATTTTCGCCCCGATTTGACGGAATAGTCTTGCAGCTTGCATTTTTGCAGCACCTGAAATTTGTTATGTAAGTTAAGCAAGGTGTGAATTATCTTATCTCGAAACCGGATAAGGTGAGTATGGCGGGAATATTGGAAATATTGGACCAGCTAACTGATTAAAATAATTAGCATAATGATAAGATTACGTTGTCTGTGTTTTTTGAAAACCTACCAGACGTTAAACTACAAAGTTTTGTTGTATTTCGTTGATTTAGGCTGTTAGTAAACGTGGATACTACTCAAGTGATAAAATTTTACCTGCTTTTGAGTTGCTTTCTCTCTTGTTTTGTTATTTTGTCCTTGGCTGTTTTACCGGTTGCTGATATACATACAAAACAAAAACGAATAAATCGGGTTAAAAAATCGTTTATTCGCTTTTATTTATGCTTTTATAGTTTCTTCAAGAATTCAATTTCTAAGTACTTACATTATTAAGATTTTTTTTCCAATATCTATGAAATTTCTACAAAATTAGCTTTTTTGACTGGCTTTTTTATCATTTCTTCTATTTTTGGACAAGCATTTTCATAATTGACGTTTATTAAAGTGAAACTTTTATTCCAACGCTTCAAAATTTTTCGTCCATCTATCGCATGTCGCATTACAGCCGGGTAGGGGTAAAGTAAAAAGCTGACCGTGTAGCATTTATATTTTCACTCATTCGTGCAAGTCTTTCTTGTGCAAGTATTTCTCTGTTTTGATCAGTGTATTGATGTATTTATTGATGTGTATTGATCCGACAAAAAGTTTCACTTGCATCGTGGTTTCTTTAAACCATATAATTTTTTTATTTCTGTAATGGATTTTTTTCTTAAATGTAACTTTTGTGTAGTTTTCGTTTTTGCAATAGAAACCATACTAAATATAATATTTTTTAATAAATTTACAAAGCAAATATGTATTTGGTTTAAATCAGAATTTTTTTATGGATTTCGTAACAATACACAACTGTGTTTTTAAAAAATAACAATAAGTGACATTTTTTTAATGAACTAATTTTAATTTTTGCAAATTATACCTATTATTTCCTAAAGCTTTAAGTCTTTTTAAAATGCTTTTTTTACTTTTTGACTGATTTTATTATTTCTATTTTTGAAAATCTTTTTTTGATGCAACATTTTAAGTGATTGTTTGCAAAGAAATCCTACAAGTGTAATATTATTTATTGAAAATCATAAAGTAATAATCAAATACCTTGCATGTGAAAAGTTGGAAAGTATAACATTTCATACAATAATTGATTGAACAATAATTGATATAAAATATCAGGTTCAGGTTGTGAAGTGACCACTATTATATGTCATGTGGTTCAAATTTTAATAAACTTTTTCTTGCTTTTCTATTTTTTTAAAGAGGATGATTGTGAATAAAATAGTATACAAACCTTGGTGGTCGTTGCTTCATCGGTTTATCAATAACCGCAAATTTCGCCTTGGTATGTAATCTATTATTAATAAATTTACAAGATACGTGTTTGATTTAGTAAATCAGAATTTTTAATTGATTTCACACATAACTGAGTAAAAAAAGAATTTAAAAATAATTGTAAAGTTGTTTTTTTGCAATTTTTATTGTGCTATTTTAAATTTCAACAAAAATTTGTTTTCTCTTTAAGCTTTGAACTTTCTAAAATGTTTTTTGATCATTATTATTATTTTTTGGTGTTTCAAAAGAAATAATAATGAGTGTGAAGTTTTTTCAAAATGTGTTTGATTTAAACCAGAATTTTCAATTAATTATGCTACTATACACATAATTGTGTCAAAAAAGTTTTATTTTTAAATAATCAATCTTTTTGCAATAAAATTTCTCAATACCTTGAATATAATTTTTACTACACATTGAATAATTCTAATAACAAATATAGTTTTTTTAAGAGTTTAGTCACAAAACAAACGATTACAAAACAAGTGTCACCTTCAGTTTTCATACACAGGATGTTAAAAAAAAATGTAAAATATTTAAGGAGGTATTAGTATGGACCAAAATAAACAAAAAATGTCTTATACAACATAGGTCCGCAAACCGTTGTTTCGGTGATATTGAATGTGAAAATTTTTAGTTTTAGAGTGTGTTAAAAAAAACGATTAATCCTCGATATCTCCGAAACCGTTTACTTTGCGGATCCATGTTTATTTTAGTCCATACTATTACGTTCTTAAATATTTTACAATTTTTTAACGCCCTGTATGTCTTCTCAAGTAATAATACAATTAATTTAATTAGAAAACTGGAATTCTTTTATGAAAATTAAATTTGTTAGGTCAACCGGACGCGCAATTCGAGGTGTACGTCTCGGCCATGGTGGACCCGTCCCGCTTCTGGCTGCAAATCGTGGGCCCCAAAGCCACTGAACTCGACGTCCTCGTCGAGGAAATGACCGAATATTACCGCAAACAAGAAAACCGCGAATCTCACATTTTGAATAAAGTGACTAAGGGGGATCTTGTCGCTGCTGTGTTCCAATACGACAGCAAATGGTACCGCGCTGAAGTGCTTAGTCTCAGTGATGACAATCCGCCTCAAGCCGAACTCTACTATGTTGACTATGGGGACACGGATTTGGTTCCTGTTGACGAATTGTATGAATTGAGGACGGATTTTCTTCGACTGCATTTCCAAGCAATCGAGTGTTTTCTGGCACGAGTTGGTACGACTGTTTTCCCAGGGGAATTCTCAAAAATTAAAGTTTTTTGTTTTTAGATCCTGTAGGAGAGGGCTGGTCGGTGGAAGCTGTTGATAAATTCGAAGAGTGGACACATGTGGCACAATGGAAGAAACTCTCAGCGAAAATCAACGGGTATTGTGTCAGGGAGAAGACAAGGGCGAAGCGGGAGGGCTCTCCTGTCCCCGGTGTGGATTTGTTTGATGTGAATGGTGAAAAAGACGTGGATATCGCGCAAGAATTGGTAAATCATGGGTTTGCTGTTTTTAAAAGAGATGCTGATTTGAGACCCAGCAGTCGGGCCACCAGTGTTAGTAATATTAGTGTAGCTTCTAGTTCGTAGATTTTTTTACCCAAATTTTCCGAAATAAAATTGTTGTGCTATGTGAATGCCAATTTTTATCCTGCACAAAAGCAATTTTTTTTAGATTTTCAAGTTACTTAAGCAATTTTACACCTTGTAGGTCTTCTACAATTAATTTATTTTAAGATTAAGTACAAATAATTTTAATTTTTCAATTTTACAAATTATTGTGTTTTATTCAGATAGATTTTCGAAGTTTGTGCCTTAATGAGTATCTTCAACATTATTGTGATCTTTTCTTAAGATATTGATGATTTTATATTTCGTTGAATAAACCTTTTTAAGTTTCAAGAGTGTTGTTTTTTTGGGAAGGGGGAGGGGGAACTTAAGAATATTATGTTAATATACAAATTTTACGAGGAGCGTAGCGAGGAGTGCTTTAAGCTTAAGCTAGCAACTGCGACACAACGTTCTATAATACGGTATTTTCTCTATTTTACTGTTTTATAAAAAAAATCGTTTTTAATCGAGTAATAAATAAGTAGTAAAATCATACAACAATAAATATAAAAATATAGCCAGTAATAATAATTTTCACTACGACTGACACTTGCAGAAATTGTTTGATACTGCCACTATCAGAAAAAAAAATTTCCAAAAATAACTGTTTTTGGTATTGTTAAAGATGCAAAGTAGCAAAATTTATATTATTAGTTTATTACTTAATTTGAAAAAACAAAAAACAACAATTTTCGGTCCAAATCACATTATACGGTACTGCTTTCAGTCGCAAAATATTGCGCCCTGTTGCCATATTAGGTTTTATTTCTTTAACACAAAATCTATTGTTTTACCCAAATATTATAATCGTTTAAGCGCAAAAACATTAAACAAAAAGTGATACCATACACTAACGTATAATTTAATAAACGTTTAGTGTCCTAATTGTAAAATTTGAAGTTGTTTGATGTGGATGTGGCACCACTGTCTTAATTTGGCGGGCTAGCGTCATTGTATTTGTCGTCCGGTCGTTCATCTTTTTGTCCCAATTACACCAATTTTAACATTATTCGTTTGTGTTTGTTTCAATAATGGGGGATAAAGGTGACTCCGGTAAGTCCCGTGGTTAAAATGGTGCTATTTTTGCGATTTGTTTGACCCTAACCTCAAATTCCGGTCAAATCTATTCCCTGTATTTGTGCTACAATTACGCATTTTTTTATTGCAGAAACTTTCGACGATGCGGTCGAGGAGCGAGTCATCAACGAAGAATACAAAATCTGGAAAAAAAACACTCCTTTTTTGTACGATCTTGTAATGACACATGCCCTCGAGTGGCCCTCTTTGACAGCTCAGTGGCTGCCCGATGTAACGCGCCCCGAGGGCAAAGACCACTCCATCCACCGCCTGATCCTCGGGACTCACACCTCAGATGAGCAAAACCATCTCCTGATCGCCAGCGTCCAACTTCCGAACGAAGACGCCCAATTCGACGCCTCCCACTACGACAATGAGAAGGGCGAGTTCGGGGGCTTCGGCTCGGTGTCTGGCAAAATCGAAATCGAGATTAAAATCAACCACGAGGGGGAGGTGAACCGGGCCCGCTACATGCCCCAAAACCCGTGCGTGATAGCCACCAAGACCCCCTCGAGCGACGTCCTAGTGTTCGACTACACGAAACATCCGAGCAAGCCCGACCCCAATGGGGAGTGCCACCCGGATTTGAGGCTCCGGGGGCACCAGAAGGAGGGCTACGGGCTGTCCTGGAACCCCAATTTGAACGGTTATTTACTCTCAGCGAGCGACGACCACACGATTTGTCTCTGGGACATCAACGCAACTCCGAAAGAGAACCGGATTATAGACGCTAAGACGATTTTCACGGGGCACACGGCTGTCGTGGAGGACGTGGCATGGCACCTCCTGCACGAAAGCCTCTTCGGGTCGGTCGCTGATGACCAGAAACTGATGATTTGGGACACCAGGTGTAACAACACCAGCAAACCCTCACACACTGTCGATGCTCACACGGCAGAAGTCAACTGTCTCAGCTTCAATCCCTATTCCGAGTTTATCCTCGCCACGGGGAGCGCCGACAAGACTGTAGCTTTGTGGGATTTGAGGAACCTCAAACTGAAATTGCACAGTTTTGAGTCACACAAAGACGAGATTTTCCAAGTCCAGTGGAGCCCCCATAACGAGACTATTCTAGCCTCGTCGGGGACTGACAGGAGGTTGCATGTGTGGGATTTGAGCAAGATCGGCGAGGAGCAAAGTCCGGAAGATGCCGAGGATGGTCCACCGGAGCTCCTCTTCATACATGGGGGCCACACGGCTAAAATTTCAGGTAATTTAATATTTCATTTTCTGAGAATTTGTAATTGTGGGGGTTAGATTTTAGCTGGAATCCCAACGAGCCCTGGGTCATTTGTTCCGTTTCCGAGGATAATATTATGCAAGTCTGGCAGATGGCTGAAAATATTTATAATGATGAGGAGCCCGAGCAGCAGGCCGATATGGAGACTCCGGCGAATTAATCCAATTTTTTTTTTGTTATTTATGTTTCATTTTAGCGTTACCTTTAAGCATAATGAGTTCTCGAAATCTTACTGAAGTAATTAAGTCAGTGTGACTATTTGTGTTTATCACTTATGTTATGCACAATATTTTAATAATTTTTTACAAATAAATAAATGCCCAGTTCAGTCCAGTTTTTCCCAACTGTTCCCAACTGTGATTGCTATTAAACATCCAGCATCCAAGTGAGTGCTTTAATGGGGGGGGGGAGGAGTTTAGAATTGCAAGGTTGGTAGCACTCAGTATGGTAAAAATAACGATTTGTTTCACTGAAAAATGTTAATTTACAATGATTTCCGGCTTAAAAACGAACCAAATCCTTTTAGAATAGCTAAAATTGCTTTATTTTAGCTTAAGTATGCCATTTTTGTATTCGTTTCCATTAGCAGGTGGCATTCGCACTGTCAAAGTGACAATACCGAAGACAATATGTTGTAAAAAAAAATAAAGTCTGTTTTTTATTTAAATGGAAATTACCAAATCAAAATTTTGGTGAAAAAATTGGTAGCAGCTTGTCTCCATAGCCACAAATTTTGTTTGCTCTTTGTTTTTGTCCCTAGAAATTTTGTTAAAAAAATATGGTTATGTTTCAAATTGAGATGTTGTCAAAATTTTCCTAGTGAGTTGGAATTTTTTTTAAACGCTTTCTTTTCACTTGGGTAGACATATATCAAAAGTCCCCGAAGGTGGTGGGCGAGCTCGAGGAGGGGGAGGGGTTTAAAGATGTCTTTTTTTGGTTTTTTACTTATATCTCGGAAACTATCACTCCTTTAGGTTTTTATCTTCTTTTCAAAATTAAAGCTTACAAAATTTCCTACAAAAACGGTCCTTTGCATTTTTGTTGTAGGACTAACCATAAGCGAGTTACAGGGCTGACAAAAAATATCATTTAAAAAAATGTGGTTTATCCGCATTTAAAACAGAATAGTCTTGTAATTTGAAAAAAACCGACAGTAAATTGAATTTACTGGGTCCAATACTTCATTAAAGGAGGAGGGAGTCACGAGGGTCTATGAATACAAACTCATCGTTTATGTAATTTATGCAGAATTTTTTGTAGAAGTCTATTTCTGCATTAAAATTTTCTACAAAAATGGTCCTATTCTTTTTTGTCGTATGACTAACTGTAGGCTTTTCAAGTTTGGAGTCTACATAAAATTGCATTAAAAATCCTTTAAAACACAATTCATTACTATTTGGTAAGTATTTATATGTGTAGAGCGTTCCCCAACTAAGCTGGTCTGCCTGAAAGGTGACTTGGGTGTAAACATTTAAACGGAGGTATAAATATAAAATTTTGGCAGAAAGAGAGAATCAATTTCTAAGGGGGTTAAATGGGGGTAAACGTTTAAACAAGGATATAAACATAATATTCTTTAGAGGTGTAAAGGGGCATTAAAATCAGATTTTTCGAAAATTTGTTTTTAAGGGGATCAAACGGTGTACACATTTAAAGGAATATAGAAACATAAAATTTGGAAAATACGATCTTTAGAGAATGCAGAAGTCCACTGAGACAATACTTTATGAAAATCAACATTCAACATTTATTCATAAACATAGCCCATGCGAAGAACGAGACTACTATAAGTACTAAAGGCTTTTTCCCATTTTATATCAGAAATACACACGGACAAAGTCGCAGGCAAATGCTAGTTCAGCATATAAGGATGAACCCCGAAGACTTGATAAACCCTCCTGACACCCTCTAATAAACTGTTGGACCGAATACAACCAATTTACTGTAAGTTTTATTCAAATCATAGATATTAAATCATCTATCTTTTAATATTGTACTGAATAAGACTAATTCGGTTTTCAATGTTTAAGTTGAAGACGAAGATGCAGCATATGAGGACGCCTCAGAAGACTTTATAGACTCTCTAATGAAGTGTTGCACCCAATAAATTCAATTTACTGTCAGTCTTTTCAAATCACAAAATAAATTCTGTTTTAAACGCGGATAAAGCACATTTTTTTAAATAATCTTTTTTGTCAGCCCTATAACTCGCTTACGGTTAGTCCTACAACAAAAATATAAAAGATCATTTTTGTAGGAAATTTTGTAGGCTTTAATTTTGATAAGCAGGCAAAAACCGATAGGAGTGATAGTTTCCGAGATATAAGCAAAAAACCAAAAAAAAGACACCTTTAGCCCCCTCCCCCTCCTCGAGCTCGGCCCCCACCCTCGGGGACTTTTGATATATGTCTACCCAAGTGTAAAGAAAGCGTTTAAAAAAAATTCCAACTCTCTAGGATTTTTTTCCACCGATCACCCTATTTTTGTCTAATTTGACTGGGCTATACAGGGATTTCTGATTTTCAATTTTTTTTATACAAATATGACTTAATTTTACATTTAAATTGTGAATTAATTTTAGTAAATTGTAAATATTCCGGATTTTTTTTTTATAAAATATAAATGTAAGTTTTTAAAGTCGTATTAATGCATTTGTATTAGAGTTGGTACAAAAAGCAAATATTTATTAACAAAGATAAAATTAAGGCATTTAACCCATGCTTTTGAATCTACTTTGTACCCTGTGGTGTTCAAACAAACTATGTTTTTTTAGAAATAATTTCTTTTTCAATTGACTTTTTGTTTTTCACAGTTAACATTGGTGATAATTTTTGGATTACTAAAATTAAAAAATTATAATAAAGCCATTTCAAGATCACGAATGTATTCGTTTTTGATTGTTATATCATTGTGCATATTGTAAAAGTAAAACCACTTTAGATTGCAGGGAAATAAAAAAACAAGTTGTAAAAGCAGTCATTTATTCAATACCAAATGTATAAAACTCTCATTTGGGGCCCGTGAAGTGGCTCTTTAGCCCTTGCCAGCACTGGTAGTACTCCGGATCCAGCTTCTGGCACGTCTTGGCCCCCCATTTAGTCACAGCCAGCCCTAAACAGCTCTCAAACATAAACGCCTGTGTCCCATCAGCCACCCTCGCCGGCTTCAAAACCTCCACACTGGCAGCCTCAAAACAGTTGAAATCGGGTCCATGCGGGGTCATAATACTGTGCAAAGTGGCCCCTCCTGGCCGAAAAGTGCCCCTCTTCGCCTCGTACTCGCCGAAAATCAGTCCCATGAACTCCGACATGCAATTCCTGTGGTAGTAAGGGGGCCTGAAGGTGTGCTCCTGGACGGACCATCGCGGCGGGAAGATCACAAAGTCGGCAATAGCGGTGCCTTTTTTCTCCGATTGGCATGTAAGGACGGTGAAGATCGAGGGGTCCTATGGGGTGTTTTAATTTGTGGTTTGGCTTCTTGATACCTACTTACGCAATGGTCGAAGGAGACGGAATTGATGACATGGAATCTGCCCAAGTCGTACTTGTAGGGCACGTAATTGCCATGCCAGGCCACCACGTCAAAAGGGCTGTGGTCTTGCTCGCAAACGAAGAGTTTCCCCTGGTATTTGACCACAACTTCGTACTTAGGGACTTGTCGGTCTTCGTAGCAGGCCACAGGGGTGAGAAAATCGCGCGGATTGGCCAAACCATTAGCCCCAATGGGGCCCAAATCGGGCAGAGTAAAGTGCTGCCCAAACACCTCCAAAATGTACCCCCTTGAAGGCTCCTCAATTTCCACCGAAAATCGCATCCCTTGCTGAACCACACAGATTTCATTAGGGGCCACTTGCATTTTCCCGAATTCGGTTATAACTTTCAAAATTCCGGTTTGGGGGACTATCAAAAAATCGCCGTCGGAATTGTAAAAACAGCGATCTTTCATCGATCTATTCGCAGAGTAGATGTGTATGGCCAAGCCTTGTTTGTTTTTGGGGTCTCCGGCCCCCGCGACGGTATTTAAACCGGTGATAAAGTCGATGTTTTCGCCGGGTTTGGGCAAGTCGAAGGGATTCCAGCGCATCTGATTGGGGTCGGGGTCAGTGTCCGTCCAGTTGTGGGTGATGTTGCCCCCTGGGAAGGGTGTAAAGGGCTTGTGCCCCACCGATGGTCTGATTCTATACAACCAACTCCTCCGATTCTCACATCTGGGGGCTGTGAAAGCGCTTCCGGACAGTTGCTCGGCGTATAGCCCATATGGGCACTTTTGGGGGCTATTCTGCCCTTTTGGGAGTGAATTGGGGCATCTAGGGTCTTCCGAAGAAAACTCGGACCCGAAACCGCTCAAATACTGAACTGGGATTACAACAAACAAACTAAGATGTGGCTTACCTTGAGTGTGGACATGATAACAGTTGAATAAAGACTGAAATTTCTTTCATTTGTATCAGCATAAAATATCATTATGTAAATGATTCAACTTGTTTATAAAATATCTCAACAAACATAATGATTGAGCAGTTTTTGAGAAGAATATTAATATTAATTAAGTGCGAAAAGGTTAAGAGATGGGGTGACAATGAAAAAGTTTGTTAGAAATAATTTTTACTTCACAGAAAACCAAATTTACAGTCTTAAACACAATATTGTTAAATGAAACGAGATTATAGCCATAGCCAAACGCGGTTTTTGTTTCACTAATTTATTTCAGCGATTGATAACGTAAAAATTCATATACAAGGGGGCAAACACCCTGTACACAAATATCACACATCAACAATATTTAATAGAAAAAGGAAAACGGTTTGTACACAATCTGAACGTTTTTACATAAATAATGTATAGAAAAAAAACCTGCACTTTTTAATTAAAACACTGAGTATATAACTAGGACATGCATACCTACCTTGTAGTTTATGTATAATAATTTTGGTCGCGAATAGGGCAAACCTACCAAACCTCAGTACTCGAATTTGATAATAATTTAACAAAACAGTATAGAAAAAAGCTCGTTTCGCCCCCCTTTCAAGTTAAATTATTAGTATGGGAATTGGGAGGAGAAAAGAACTTGTTCTCTTTCAGACTGCGTCATTTGTACGCTACATTTTTTGTTAACAAATACAATATATCTAAGCAAGTTTATGATATTGCGATTGACAAATATAAGAATTACAAGAAGTAATCGGGTGTCCTGCGCGTCACGTGGGGTTCGCCACGACGAGGTGCTGGGTCGAATTGTAAGCTGAAAATAAAACACAATTAAAAATAAAATCCCCAACGAAATTCCGACTCTTACAATGAATATTTTAGGGCATCATCTAATTCCATGATGGCTGCTTGATTACCGCAACGGTAACAGTAATTGGGGGCGCTAAAGATGGTGACGACGTTGCGGTCATGACACCAATTGTAACCTTCCATAACTAGCTGATGGGCACGCGAAACTAATGTCAAACCGTTTGAGTGATTGAAAGTTTCGGAAATGTCCTGGCCGAAGGTGTAACCGGCCCCTCGAGGCGAAATACCCCAGCCGCCGCGGTCGTCTGGGTCCGACCACAGCAGGTCGCACATTGGCCCCTCATGGGGAACCTAAAAAATATTCTTTCTATTGAAACTACTACTAAAAAACAAATTCGGAAATGACAAACATTTGAATGTTGTTGCGTGAAATTCGTCATTAAATAATTAGTCAAGCTGCCATATCAATAAAAATGCGTGTTGTCACCTGACCCAATTTTATTTTGCTTATCCAATATTTCAACAAATTTCTCTCAGTTTTTCCGTTTTAAAACCCTCGACAACTCGCCAAAATAAATAAAACGGAAGCTTATTTTTTGAGCCAATTCGCTTTTATTGATTCGATTTTCCCCAATGGACTTTGAAAATCATTTTTCTAGTAGAGAACGTGAACAATGCTTCTGTCGATATCAATTTCTTGTGTCGTGGTGGGAGAAGACATTGTTTCCTGTCATTTATAAATTATTGAAAACGGATGATCGAAAATTTTCATCCAAATTTTAGAAGTTGGATCGCAATCGTAATAAATCATTGCTCAATGAATTAAAATTTTTAATTAACATGAGTTTGAAGATTTACCAAACAGGTATTACCAGCTTACTAGACCGGACTGATTTAATACTCATAAATATCTAAAAATACCGGCAAACTTTCCTTGGCGAAATTATTTTTCCCGTAATAAATTTTCGTGAAACTTCGTGAAGAATTCGAATAATCTGGAACGACTCTAAGATAAACAAGAATCAGGTCAAGGCCACAATGTGATGAATTCGTTATAATTAAGGGTGTTTGGGGTGACAACCGCTCGACATTTCCATCCAATAAATTGTTTGGAAGCTAAATAGATAGACGTTGGACCTTGAAAGCAATTACTTCACGTTCGACTGGTTTGAAACTTTTTTTCCACTATCATTAATGGAAAAGCAACGTTTTACTAAAATCACTTTTTTCGATTCAATTGCAATCAACGTTTGAAATTTTCAAGCAAAAGTTGTTAAAAAGATTTACGCAGTAACGTGTCACGAGAAAGAGGGTTTATCGCCCTCATAGGGACAACTAACGACCGCGTAAAAAATTCATAACAAGATAGGCAGAATCGATAACTTGGCAATTTTTTCATGAAAATTGTGCAAAAATCCATAAAAGTGAAGACATGAAAGAAAATTTCATATCGATTCTGACAAATTAAAAGTGACGGTTATAAAGGGGATGATTTATTACGATGTGGTGTCGGATTTTTTGTTTCTTATCTGTGTAGATTTATCGGAAAAGTTTCATATTAAAAGAATCAAAATTTATTTGTTGTTTTCTCAAAACTAATTTGTTTCCTCGTTATTCAAAACAAAAGGAAAAGATTTCTTGTTTCCTTACGAAAATAATAAAAACACAGTGACACATTATTATATTTCCAATAATAATAATAAACTATTCTATTGATTCAAAATAATCAATACGAAATTATTTCTGGTTTAATAAATTTTCTTATCGATGTGTGTTTGACTTTTATTAAAAACGAGTCTTTTATCACACAAGAAGTCTATGACCACGCTTTTACACGCAATAGACAATTGATTTTGTATTCCAGGTATTCAATAAAATAAAACCGGAATAAATTATCCCTAATTACTATGATTTCTAAGAATTCTTAAAATTTACGTTTCAAAATTAATAATTTTTCATTATATTTTTCTTTGAATACCATTAGGTTATACAGGGTGTTTCAGAACTCGCAAATCAAAGAAAAGTGTCATGTAAGATACCAGAAACATGGAAAAAGTGTAAAAAAAATTCTATATAAAAATTTCGACATTATGGGAGTTTAAATTTTACACTTTAACTATTTATTTTTGTTTTAAAAATAATTTTAATTTTTTTGCTTCATAAAAATAATATAAAATAAAATAATTTTCCAAGGTTTTTTACTGCAGGCTATTAGAAGTGGAAACAAAGAAGCTGTATCATAAATTGTAACTATGTTTAACGTTATTTGTACCTTTAACAAATATTTATGAAAAAACATATTGTACAAGATCATCAATTACATTAAATAGGCATTAAAAATATGTCAAATGTCAAAAAATAAATCTCAAAATTTTGTGACAGAATTTTTTTTAACATTTTTTCCATGTTCCTGGTATCTCTTTGTAGTTTTGAACCATCTTGTATTTGGCTTAAATTATTTCAACTTCTAATTCTATTATTACTTTTACGTAATTTATAATTAGATAAAACAATTGCATGTACAAGAAAAGTAATTGATTTAAGGAACGACTTCCTGATATTAAAATTAATTGCATAATGGCCAAATTATAATAAAAACAATTAGAATTTTATTTTTGATTGAAAAAAGTGTGTCATTTTCGAATACGTCCCTTTCAAATCTGGTCGCGCTCTACATGTTTCGGCCCCCATACCCACCTCTTGTAAACGATCTAACGCCCTAATGTGATCCAAGGTATCGATGCTGGGACTCAGCCCTCCATGTAGACAGAAAATTTGGCTATCGACGAGCGCCGTCAATGGCAAATAGTCGAATAAATCCGTAAAGAATTTCCAAACGTTTGCGTTTCCGTATTTTCTCAAACATTCGTCGTAAAAACCGTAAACTTGGGTGATTTGTCTGGACTCGTGGTTGCCTCTTAGAATCGTTATTCTTTCTTTATACCGAACTTTGAGGGCTACTAGCAGCGTCACCGTCTCAACGGAATAGTAACCGCGATCTACATAGTCACCCATAAAGAGGTAATTCGTGTCGGGACTCCTTCCTCCTATCCTGAACAACTCCATCAGGTCGTGGAATTGACCATGGACGTCCCCACAGACCGTTACAGGACATCGCACTTCTTGTACGTTGGATTCCTTCGAGAGGATTTCTTTCGCCTGGAATAAGGAAAATTTTACATCACTGGATGAATCACTAGGTGATTACGAATGAATGAGTGGTTTGATTAGATTTTATAAAAGATTTATTTGGCTCCAAGGATCTAAAGTGCTTATTTTACTAGCGATAACGCTAACCAGGATTGTAAATAAGGAGTAATAGTAAACTGAGCGGTGTTAATTACAATAAACACTTTAATTGCTCCCGACTTGAGATAACACAAGCAAACAAAAATCGATTTGGGGGACTCAAAAATACAAAAAGGGCAATATTTACCTTATCACATAGTGTCTTTACTTGATTTTCTGATAGTTGCTTACAGTCATTTAACTGTTCTATCCACTGATCCAGTTCTTTACACGAAGCTTTATCATCCATTGCTAGCGGTATCTGGTCATGCACACAAAATAAGTTAGATTATAAATAATTACACTAAACTGTTCGAAATTCGGTTTGTTTCTCTACATAAATTACTCGTTATTTTACTTTTTATCTATCCTCGGATGAACACACCAAAATGGCGATTATGTGGTAGATTTATAAAGACCTCTAGCGGCGGCTTTGTACACTCACACATCAAACCGGGAAACTCAAACGAGAATACATTACTTACGAAAGTGATTTTACCTGGGGCTGTTTTTCACATAATAGTGAAGCAGCGGACGTCGGAGTCCGAAATTTAATCGGTTTTTGAGTTTGGGGGCCTTTCATTGCTCTTACAAGGTGAATTGACGCTTTGTTGACATTTCTCACACAAGGTCGTTTGTTTCCCAGGCCCTGCCCATGCAAGCTGATTGGTCCGTTCAAATTTGAAAAAATTAAATCCAAAATATAAAATAAAGCCTAGATTGTGAGATATTAGTAAGGGAGTTCTCACAGAGTGGTTTACAAGCTCAAATTATTGATAAAGAACAAAAAAATCTTAAAATACATCCGATAATACAGAAATCTGTAATTTACATTAAAACACCATTTTTGCTATTTAATGTGGTTTAAAATTCAATTCTTGATAAGTGTAGAGTTGTGGCAGTTGATTTGTTCCGTAATTCGTCAAAAAAATAAAAAAATCGAGGCTTTTCAATTGATGTTCTTGAATAAACTAGTAACTTTCTGTTGTGAATTTAGTGTTTTTTATGGTTGGGTTGGTAATCCCTGAGCCACCTCTCTTTTCCATTTCCTTTTCTTTTCGTGCCGGTTTTGTGCGAGGAAGGTCCTCTAAAAAATGTCTGAAACTCTACAGTTAAAAGGCACCCTTTTGGGTCATAATGGTTGGATTACGCAAATTGCGACCAACCCCAAGTACCCCGACTTGATTTTGTCAGCTTCCCGAGGTAAGAACCCCAAATTCAGCCTCATGTTGGTCCCCTCTAATCTCCGATTATTTGCGAATTTCGCAATCATCCGCCTCTATTTTGACCTGATTTTGCAAAATTAGCATTGTAAGGTGTGGATTTTAAGGATATTTTAATTTTTTTTGCTTTTAGACAAGACTTTGATTGTGTGGAAGCTGACACGTGACGAGACATGCTATGGGGTGCCCCAGAAGCGCTTGTACGGCCATTCCCATTTTATTTCTGACGTCGTCCTGTCCAGCGATGGTAATTACGCCCTGTCTGGATCATGGGACAAGACTTTGCGTTTGTGGGACTTGGCTGCTGGGAAAACAACGCGCCGATTCGAGGACCATACCAAGGTTTGAAAATCACATTTTTACTGTTTACAGTTTGATATCCTCACGTTGCAACAGTCGGAAGATTTTTTGTTTTTTTGTATTTAATTGCGACGACTGAAGTTTGACTGTTGGGCCCCATTTTGTAAGTATCGTGAGACATATTAGACTAGTACCTCTGGAAATCTCATGTAACCATTCGAAATACTTAAAATTTGTGTCTGTTTAGGATGTCTTAAGTGTGGCTTTCTCGGTTGATAACCGTCAAATCGTGTCAGGATCGCGCGACAAGACCATCAAATTGTGGAATACTTTGGCTGAGTGCAAATATACCATCCAGGATGATGGCCACTCTGATTGGGTGAGTCACTTACAACTTCCACCAACTGTGAAATATTGTTAAATGTGTGTTTAGGTGTCTTGCGTCAGATTCTCCCCCAACCACTCCAACCCCATCATCGTGTCCGCTGGTTGGGACCGCATGGTGAAAGTATGGAACTTGACCAACTGCCGCCTCAAGATCAACCATTCTGGTCATACCGGCTACTTGAACACTGTGACTGTCTCTCCTGACGGCAGTTTGTGTGCAAGCGGCGGTAAAGATTGCAAAGCAATGCTTTGGGACCTCAATGACGGCAAACATTTGCACACTCTTGACCATAATGACATCATCACCGCTTTGTGCTTCTCGCCAAACAGGTAATTGATAATCCCCATAATTTATTTCGTAATGACTTCTTAATGATGACAAAAAAACTTAACCACTTGATGGCTATGAGAGGTTAGCGGATATGGGGCTGATTTTTTTATTGAAGAAAAAAGCAGTTTAATTTGTTACGATTTGTTTAATCTTTTTTTTTCTTTCGGTAAAGGTATTGGTTGTGCGCCGCTTTTGGACCTTCCATCAAGATCTGGGACTTGGAGAGCAAGGAAATGGTTGAAGAACTTAGACCAGAAGTTGTTTCCCAACCTCTCAGCAAAGCTGAACCACCACAGTGTCTCTCGCTTGCGTGGTCTACCGATGGACAGACTTTGTTTGCTGGCTATTCTGATAACACTATCAGGGTTTGGCAAGTCAGCATTTCTGCCCACTAATTCTTGATGTATTTTTTATAATAAATAAATCTGGAAATAAGTTATATTATTTTCTTTATATCTATAGGATTTAAGTTTGTTTGTATTTTCTAAAAATAAAGCTATTAAACAGAAATGATTTTTTTGTTGAGAACTTTTGCACTTCAAATTTAGAGTTAGGAACCCTTAAAAAGAAAGTTGCGGGTAGTTCGCCATGTAGACAAACGACGTGTATTGCTGGTTGCATACAAATAGTTTTTACACATTTAGTGTTTATTGAGTTGCCTATAATAGAGTAATTTTTTATGGAATTTTTGTCTGAGTATTCAAAAACCCCACTGTTCTATACAACATTTGATTAAATTATTACAATCTAAATTAATTACTAATCTAGAAAGATTTTAGTTTTTTTGTTTAATCTCTAATAATTATGGGTTTGTGTTTCACAACTTTAATTATAACGCAACAATGTTTTTTCACTTCTTAGTACATAATTACCAGTTTAAAAATAATTAAATTTGAAGACGAATGACAAAAAAAATAAAATAAAATATAATTGGTTATAACGACTAGGTAACACACGTTTATAGTTTGTTAATAGTATACTAAAAAACAAATGAGTAGATATCAAAATCTTACTTTTAAACCAAGACATTTGGTATATGAAAAATCGTTGAAAACTATTAAACAACGATAACAAAAGAACAAAATTTTTCAAAATTCTTTATTTTTAGACACATATAAAGTACCCAAAGATACAAAAAAAATGAAAACCACTCAAAATCAAGCATAATTATTTTAAAAGCACCCAAAAACACAAAGTCTCTTGCACTCTAAAGCGAGTTTTTATTTCTCAAAAAACCTTGTAAAATTCCTTCAAAACCTTCCATAATAATGAGACGTTGTAAAATGTATTTTTCATACAACGTGTTTCAAAATGATTTTCGTCTAATCGCCTATGGATTTTCAAGTTAAAAAAATGCCGTTTTAAAAAAATAGGGATACATAAATGTTAATAATTTACGTATTTCGGTTGACAGCTGTCACTGTTGACAAAACTATCTGGTTCAAAAAGAGTAGAGCGGCACAGAAAACATTATGTAAAGATATTCCATAAACGACTAGATGTAAATTATTTTGAAATACGTTGTACTTTTTTTATATTGAATGTCTTTTAAACTGAAAACTGTTACACAAAATACTTACTCATTGTATCACTGAAATAGAAAAAATTATTTTTAGATCACATGATGGGTTCACAGAAAGTTAAATACAAACAGATGTTAATAATTTGATTGATGACATGGTCCGAGTAGAATTTCGGAGATAAAAAATTAAAAACCCGCTGAAATAAATACAGTTTCTGGTAAGCATAAAACAAGGCAATTAAAATACGATCTCAAAATATAAAAATAATTTCTTAAAGCGATAACAATATTTTATCAGATTTGTTGAAATTTGAAATACTATAGGTACACAAAAAGAGAAGTTTTGGTTTTATCAAAATGGGTCATCAATTTTGTGCTCAAGAGGATTTTTATTTTGCTAGTTATGGAAAGTAAAGTCATTTGCGTTGCAAGTAGCAAAGTTTTACATTGTGAGCACAACAATAACATTATTTATAGTAATTGCCCACTTAGCAATAGTTATCTGAAAATAATTTTTAATTAATAAAATTAATAATTCAGAAAATTATTTGAAAGACTAAATATTACAACTCGTGCCTTGTCCACATTCATTATTATATCTGTAATAAAAAAATAGAAAAATTGAACTAATTATGTCATTTCCAAGTCGAATTAAATTATTAGAAGCACGTGACCAGGTATATTTTCCCGTTGGCACTAACGGTACAACCGACAGTGGGTAATTTTACAATCTTTTGAAATTCGTGCGTAAAAATAAATACTTCCTTGTCAGATCTTGGAGACTTTAACAATAGGTCGTGGCATTGTTCTATCCAAATGCAGAATTAAATGTCGGATGTTTTTGACAACTCCCATCCCAATTTCAGGGCAATTATCACGTAGACAAGAAACATCTAACGATGCGACTAAATTATGATTGACATGAACTAATAGAAAATGGGAAAATCGTTTGAACTTGTTTGGTTTCCAATAAAAGAAAAACCTTGACTTAAAATACGCGAACCACCAGGTGGTCATTTGCGTTTTAGTATAGATTTTAGATAAAAGAAACAAGAAATCAAATTTTTTAAATTTTTTTTTTGAAAATCAGTAAAAAAAATTCAAGAAATGACTAATTATTGCAAAAAACGTAAAAAAAACACTTGATTTTCTTAAAAAAGAAAAAACTGAGTATTTTTTAGAAAAAGTTTCAAATTTTTTTGTGATTTTTTTTTCAAATTTAACAAATAATTAAATAATGCAAAATTGTAAAAAAAGTTAAATTTTTTTTCAACTTGATATAGATTACACAATGCTCAGATACAATGTACACTTGTTCCTTTAATTCTTTATTATTTTGTAAAACTTTTATCAATATTGACCGATATCGGTCCGAGAAAACGGTTTGATAAAGAAAATTTATAGGGTTTTATTAAAGGGGTTCAGCCGTAAAAAACTTGAAAACATTAGTCTCTCCATGATTTATCAGATAAAATATCGAAAAAGTTATATTTTCTCTTTTCTTCAAATCAATATTGAGAGTGAATACAATAAGAAAAAAAACTACTCTTACATTTTTTGTGTGGTCATTGGTTGTTGAAATATCGATGACCAAAGATAAAAGGATCTTTTTTCATTAAAAGTTAGATATCTCAGCGACAAATTGACGTAAAAAAAATAAGACGATTGAACAAGCAAGCTATGCGGCCCATGCATTAATTTAAAAAAAAAAAATCTCGAGGTCGTGAAAAAAAGAGAAAAATTAAAAAAAATTAAAAATTTTCCTCGCTCTATTTCTTAGGAAACTTTATGCTTCAAAATGTTTTTTAAAAATCTAAATGCGACCATCTTAACTTCATTTTTCATTTTCCAAAAATAACTAAGAAATTTAGGAAATTTTTTTGTTCCCTCAATTTTTTTCAGTAGTGTATTTTTCTCTGTATCAAACTGCCCTTAACAAATAAAGAAGTAATTGTTTTTAATACAAAAAAACTTTAAGTAATCTCAATGCAACAAAATACAAAAATAGTACAAACCATTTTTAAGAATTTTTAAAAATAATATACGTAGTCAAAAATTTATAGTTACCTATGCCAAAGAATAACTACCATGACATTTTAAATGTAAAATTATTTTGGAGTTGTCTAAATTTGAAAAATGCCACAACAATTTATTTTTGTTGTAATTCTAATAATAAAGTTTCTAAAAGAAATATTTTTTTCAAAATATTTTTTATTTCCCTGTTGACATTTTTAGCACAAGTTCTGAGAGTTAGATTTATGAGAAAATATAAAAAAAATCGTTAAAATATTTGCAAAAAATTGCAATATTATATCAAATTTAAAAATTTATAAAAACAGTAAGTAGAAAAAATGTATAATTACTATTTATATGAAGTTATAAACAATAATTTCAAGTAGTCTTCATCAGTAAGTGTTAAAAAGTTATAACGTTAAAATGTTTAAAAAAAACTTTAAGTTGAGTTATCGCAACACAATTTTTAATTAAATATTAAAATATTATATTCAAAATTTGTGGGAGCCCGATTTATAAAAAAAATGTAAAAAACAAGCCTTTGTACTAGTAAATAGTTATTTATGTGATGTCCCGATTATGTACGTAATGCCAAAGGCGACCTAATTAGAGAGCCGAAGGCATTTCATTTAAGGAATTAATGAATTAATGATTATTCAATTATTCATTCAATTTCAGTATATTTTAAAAGTAAAAATCGTTTTTTTTTATTTTACTTCCTAGGGAATAAAGTAACAAATTATTAGACAAAAATGAAGGAATAAAGCGTCACTTTGTATAGTCAAACTACCTGCAGTTGATATTTTTTGTAAAAAATACCAAAATCTTTATTGTTTTAGTTTATATTTTATGAAAAAAGAAAGAAATATCTATGATCTGAATAAGGTTCTGAGCCTTTTCAGATGTTGGTAGCTGCGATAACCCAATGAGAAAGTTTTTAGAAACTCCTCTTTGGCTCTTGGTGAAGAGTTGTGTCTTCATTGAAGAGCATTGTTGTTTGCCTACTCATCCGTTGTCTTCGTGCTTTCGCGAATCGTTAGAAAAGCGCTAAAACAGCCTCCCAAATCTCGCTAATCAGAGCAATAATAAAGCAAAGAGTTTTCCCGTGTTCCTAAAAATAGTCGTCGAATGTAGCAAATACACGCCGGTTTGTTGTAAAAGTCAAACCGTGTAAAGGAGCAGTATCATTGGTGAATCGTCTCCGTGTAGAGCGTTTAAAATTCCCAGGTGAATGCCAGTCCATCAAGCTACCTTCTAGTGGTCAACTGGTGCTCAGTAATGGCGTTGTTGGTGCGTGTGCTCTAAGCCAGTGTGGTGTTTAAAAGTCGACTTTTGCAACGTTTTAAAATAAACCTCGCACATTTTGAAGAATTGTAGCGTGGTCAAGAGTAATAATAGTTTATACAGACTGGACTTAAATAGCAACGGAGGGATTTTCGTGCTAATGATGTGATTGTGCTATGTGAATTCTTCTAACTATCGCGGACCCAATGTTGAGGAAGCCGACTCTAAAGGAATGTAGATAAGGTAAAAGAATCCATAACAAATTATCATCGAGACAGGTAAAATAATTCAACGCTTCATGAGTTTATCCAAAAAGCGGAACCAAACAAATATTTACAGAGTCGCAGACCAACCAATTAAGTTATTATGACAACTCTCGAAAAATCATCTCAATCTATTACAAGAATTCGATTTCGCTCTCCGGTAATTTACCGTAATTAAACTCGAAGAATGTTTGCACCTAATAAGCGGTGTTTATTATGATTGTTAATAAAATAAGTGCTTCTAAATGCGTTTTTCTTCGAGCGGGAGCAACAGGTGTAATTTGCCTAAGAAATAGGCTTTTCGCCGCCTCAAAACGATTTATTACTCAAAAACACCCGCAATTTGAGTAACGGATT